CTGGTAGAAAATCCATTCCAATCCTGAAATTCAGAAAGAAAATCTTCCAAAACGGAAGCTCGAAGCCCAATAGGATCAGTGATGTAGCTAGTCCAGATATTCTTCCAATATGTCTTGAGACCATCTACACCTATTTTTTGCAGAGCCTTCTTGTTGGAGGTAGCACAGGGATCAATATCAAATATTTGAAGAAGAGCAAAGGTAATTGCCCAAAAGCCACATGATGCACTGTCTTTTTGCAAATCCAGTGCAATTGGAGTATATGTCTTGACAATCTTCCTTTCAGGCTATAGTAATTGATGTTAATAAAATTGTTAATGAGAAAGATAAGTCGTACCATATGATCACCACATCGTGGATTAAAAAATTGGGCAAAGAAAGCAAGATCACCAATATCAAATCGGCGTCCATGAGATTTGAATGGCTCATAGCAAGAAAGACTATCTTGCAGATCATGATAGGTTTTCTTAAACACCAGCCAGTGGTTGTTGTAGTGGTTGAAAATCAGACAATGTTGAAGATTGATAGACTGACTCATTGTCCAAGAGCGGCCAATCAGAGAGTCCTCCGCAATTATATTCTGGATATTTGACATTCAGTAACATTTAAAAAAATGAATAAAAAGTGTATACATCACCAGAAAGCCCAACAGGGATAGAGTCAGTCAGAGTCCAGTCAAGTTTAGCAAGTTGTTGTGCAGGAAAGGCATATGTATCAGGAATAACCAATGTTGACCCCAAGATTCCAGTATTGATTGAGTTGAGCAAGTCCACAAAAAGAGAGATTTCATCCTGGCGGAGCATATATGTGGAATTGTTCCACCGACTGAAGTCTAGATCACTAAGCTTCTGCTCATCAAGAAGATCTGCCTCCTAATTAAATAGTAAGTTATAAAAAGGTATCTTAGCTTAGCACGTACTTCATTAGCTGTTGGAAGAAATTCTCTGATTCGTAATTTTTTGGGGGAAAAGTTGACTGGCTTGATGGGAGAGTTTGGAAGAGAGGGCAGAAGAGAATTGTGTGGCTTGGGCTTAGGTCCTGTTTTCTGACTGAACTTAACAGGTGTGCGATTTGGATGAAGTGGTGTGACAGCAGGACGTCTGCCGTGTGACAGCAGGACGTCTGCCTGCTGTTACACCTCGGCCTAAAATTGCATAAGTAAAGCATTGATTTTGAAACAAGTAATAAACACACCTTTTTGAGGAGTTTGAGGATGCTGAGACACCAGAGCTTTATTGGCCTGTTTGGTTTTGATATCAGAAATTGGACTTTCAGCCAAAGACTTAGAATCAGAGTCCTCCTCTTCCTCCTTCAAACGCAAAAAGATCTTCTCCAGATCTCTAGTAACTGTTGCATCAGAAGCAGCTTGATGACGCCGGCCTGTCTTTTCCTTGATAGGATTTCGTGTCTGGCCCTTTGCAGCTGGTCCACGAAGTTTCTGACTAGTTTCAAGCTCTAAAGGATCATAAGTCACATTAATAGAGAAATAAAAAGAATATAGCAGACCAATATAGTCCTTTACTGATCCATGATCAATCTGCAGTCTGACTGCCAAGATGTGATAGCAGGCCTTTCCTGTCTGATCAAATGGAGAACAGGTGCAAGAAAGAGAACCATCTTTCTCTTCAGTTACAGTAGCATAGCACAGAGATGAAGCTTTTGGAGGCATAGCAGGATGTTGTGTGCAGTATAGAAGAAGATGGTGGTAGTAAATGGGAGAGATGTCCTGGCCCATCTAATCTGATCAGCCAATCAATAGGTCTGTTCTAAATATAGTAATTAAAAAACCTGGGTTGGATCAGTACTTTCACAACCCAAAATCCAGGTTGGATCAGTACTTTCATAATCTAAAGTCCAGGTTGGATCAGTACTTTCATAAATCAAGAATCCAGGTTGGATCAGCAGTTTCATAACCCAAAAATCCAGGTTGGATCAGCACTTTCATAACCCAAAGTCCAGGTTGGATCAGCACTTTCATAACCCAAAGTCCAGGTTGGATCAGCACTTTCATAACCCAAAGTCCAGGTTGGATCAGTAGTTTCATATACCAAAAATCCAGGTTGGATCAGTAGTTTTATAAACCAAAAATCTGGGTTGGATCAGTACATAAGAAATGCTGAAATTGTAGTTTAATCTGGGGGTTGGATCAGAACTTCTTAAATCCAGGTTAGATCAGGACAATTATCCCAGGTTGATTCAGTAGTATCAAAATGGTTGAATCAGTAGTTTTAATATCTAAAACCCAGGTTGGATCAGTAGAATTTATACATGCTGGATCAGTACTTTGAAAAGCCGGGTTGATTCAAAGACTGCAGGGGGTAGAAACACATCTTGCATTCAAGTTCCATAAGTGAGTTCTAAACTTCTGAACGTGGGTGTCGCGCTGATATCGAATTGCTCTTAAGACAACACAACGGGCGCTACGAAATGAAGCCATCGCAGATCGGCGATGCGGCGCGAAGGTTTAGAGAAGACTATGGCTGGTCATTGGAATCCTTCAAGATCAAGGAAAGCTCATAAACAATCATCGCGACTTTGGGTACCCTAAATTCGGGTAATCCTACTGTATGACATTGTACTAATATGTGTAGAAGATACAAGCGGCCCCTCGTGGCTAGGAGCCTATGGGTCATACAATTCGTCAATGCTCGTATTCGATCCAGCAACAAGGAGATTCCTCACCCAGTGGACACGAATCGCTAAGTCTCTAGAATTGTTCTCATCGGTAGTTTCGCGGTTCATTTTCATTCACCAAATCGACAAGTGCGGTAAGGCGCGACGCGACGCGACATAAATTAGGCACACGTGCCTGGGTCGCTAACATCATCGCGGCATTGGTACCGGCTCCGGAATTCGGGAAAGCCTCAAACTTCTTGAACATGAACTGCATGGTCGATTGTTCACTTTGCATGGCGGCTGCCATATCAACGCAATTGTAGACCCAGCATCGACTTATCTCTATCTTGAACTCCTTCCTAACTGTCAAATCCACCTTACTACTCCGCACGAAGCATTCACACCATACGGCTCTGGAAAACGTGCTATTAGGCGCTCTCTCCTCGACTTTTGAACGTTCGAACCCTGTAAACGTGCATTTTCGATTTCACGTTCAAAGTCATCGTAGCGACGAACAGAGTCGGCCGAACGACCACCTTCCAATGAACGTCCTATCATTTTAAAACCAACGTTTTATTATTGTCTATTTCACCCGGTACAATATCTATCATCGTGGGCCCGCTTCTCTTCCTCTGGGTCTCTGCGCTGCATGTTGCAGACCACCTTCCAAGACCGCCAAGCCATGCCCCCACACCGTCTCCCAACGTCATAACCCATTCGCCAACGCGACGCTTGATCACACGCGCCTCCACCTAACGTCTATCTAATCTTATCCAGGTCCCGCATGTTCCTTCGCATGTGCTGCAATCAACGTTCATTAACTTGTCCTCTGATAGCTCGCTCGATAATGTGCACCGCTCGAACGCACTCTCCCAAGTGCTCAAGGATGCTCTCTGGGTCATCTGTAGCGATATCTGCCTTAGGCCCGGCGTTCCTGCCTCGATAAGCCAGCTCGGTTCCTTGACGGTCAACAGAGCTCCGATATCGATACTCTCTGATGTCTTTACGGGATGGACCCCCGTCCGGATGCGCATGTGCATCAGGAATATCTCTGGCGTATCCACGCCTGAGCTGCTTAAAAGGCTCTTCGGCGTCTCCTCTTCCTGCTCGGACAGGCCTCTTGTCTCTCGTCATCCTCGCCCGTCGACGTTTCCGATCCTCAGACAGGATGCGTTTCGCTCAATCCGCCGTCTGCCTGCTGGGCTTCGTCACTGCGACCATGGCCTCCGTGCTGCCCCGCGCGTTGCCCACCCCGGTCAGCGCTGCGACGGCGAGGAGTTACTTGGCTTCATGTGCGTTCTTGCATGCCATCCTGACCTCCATATGCTAACTGAATTGTGATGAACATGCAGTGAGGGTGGAAGTCGAGTCGAACTCTCCGGCTTACAACCGTGACCTGTTCAACCACTGGATCACGAGTCAGTCCGTCTTCTCATCCTCCATCTGTCTTTGATCTAACCGACTCCACAGTCTCTGGCCAGTGCAACACGCGCGAGAGTGCGTATGCTTCCGTTCTCGCCACAATTTACACTGAGAGCCGTTCCTCTAGCCGTCTTGAAGAGAGACGGGACGAACGTTGTCCAAGCCAGCAACTGTGCAGCAACCTCGGGCAACTGGGTCTCTCCGTACGACAACAGAGCAACCACCCTTGCTAGCGACCTTGACATCGTGCGTTGTTATGCCCTTCACTTTTTGTGATTGTTAGACTGATATGTCGTTTAAATAGGACCACCTTGTCCCGCTCAAGGAAGCTTGGGTCTCCGGTGCACGCACCTGGACCAACGCCCAGCGCGAGGCGTTCGCGAATGACTTGACGAGGCCACAGCTCATCGCTGTCACTGATACGTACGTTCTCTTCCATTTTAATTTCCTTTCTTCTTCTTCTTCCTCCTCGTCCACTTGGCTGACATTCTTGTTGTTTTATTGACAGCCTCAACCAGTCCAAGGGTGACAAAGACCCTGCCGAGTGGATGCCCCCTCTCACCAGCTACCGTTGCACCTACGCCCGCGCATGGGTGCACGTCAAGTACTACTGGAACCTCTCGGTCGACTCGGCCGAGAAGAGCGCCCTCACGAGCTACCTCGCGAGCTGCTAAACGCCCCCGCCTGCACCGTATTTTGTATTCAACATGCAAAAGAACGTACCAAGCACGGGTGGGCGCTCGATGCTGCCCACCACGAAAGCAGGAATGTAGTATTTAAATTTCATGAACCTGTATGTATTTCGATGTCTGTACGAAGGGTTACGAGAGCATGTAGGAGGAGAGGCGTTGTACTTTTTCTTCGATCGACAGGAGGGTAGAAGTACTTTCAATTGTACAAACGATTTGCAAATTTCGTCACGGATTCACCTCGAGTTCGATCGATTCTAGGATTTACGACTGCAAAGATGCGAATCGGGGATTCAGAAGACTTTGCCTTCAACCTGGAAGATCTGGAAATGGGTATGCCGGGATGCGTGTATTTATGGGCCCGGTGCATTGCATGCAGGTAAGGTTCGTATGAGGTGAAGTTAGTGATCGCGAATAAGAGCATCCAAGGTGAAATTAGATCTGTCGAAGACGACACGATCCAGTCATTCAAGAAAGTGATCCATTCCACCTTCCTATGCTGCGCCTTCCTTCGTCTCCGAGTCAGTGGGCGTTGTGTGGACTTACATACCGGCATAATCACCGTCACTATAATTCAGCGGAGACCTTCAGGCTAGACGAACAATCTCCTTGAAACACCTTGCATCATATTGGCTGAGCTGCCTTCGATCGCGGTCGTCCTCTGCACCGCCAGGAGGTAACCAAACCATTAAACCAGATTAGTTGCCGGAATACATCTGTGTTTCGTAAGGGCGGCTCTCCTTTCTCCAAAGGGAAGATGAAGGGAAAGTGCCGTCCAGCCTCTTCGAGTCATCATGGCGCTCATCCTCCGATTTTATCTATTGGAGGTCGTTGACATCATTCATCCAAGGTTCAGGGATTCAAAGTTGCACTGCACTGACGACATAATACATAACACAATAAGAGTGGATACATACACACTTGTCCTATTCCTATTCGTCTTGAGTTTGATAACTGCGTCCGTTTGAATACTTTGATTTCCTCGTTTTCGATAGTGGAGATGGGCGGTGCCCGGGAGTCTATCAACCCCCAACCTCAGAGCCGCTGGTCGCCCAGCCGAATCTGACGTAGCCGGACTAAGCCTTCGCGTCCTCGCTCAAGATCGTGTTCAGCTCCTCCCTCTTCAAGCAGTTCGCGAACTTGAAGCTCGCCGCAATCGCATCGATCTCCTCCTCCGTCTTGCCCTTGAAGTGGTCCGCCCACTCCCTGACAAGGAACTCGCTCATCAAGATATTCCTGCTGATCCTGCCAACGCGATCGGAGAGCTTCCACACGGGGGCAGGGTAGAGGTTGCGGTACTGCTCGGGCACCTCCTGGATGATGTGGTCGTAGAGGGGTTGGTAGATGTGCTGCACGGCGGAGGTGTCGGCACCCCAGGCGTCGATGGCGAGCCGGTGCTTCTTGGCGAGGAAGTCTTTGAAGAGGGTCATGTAGGGTGTGGAGAGGTCGATGTGCACCATGCCCTGGAAACCGATGTCTTTGTACAGCCAGATGGACCAAGAGAGGCGGGCCTGGGTTGTGTTTGTCGTCAGAGTGAAAACGAGAGAAAAAGAGCAATATATGCACCTCTTTGTAGATGGCTAACTGGTCCTTCAACACCTTGTACCTCGTCCTGTTGATTTCTGCCGTCGCCTCGCCCTCATACTGAGCCCTTGCATACACCGGACCCCACTCGCCATTCCATACACACAGCCCACGCTCATCCATCCACTGCCTCTTCTTTTCGTAGCTCCTCCTCAGCCTCCTCTTCTGCTCATCATCGCCCACATATGCGGCCGGGGCGTTCGGGAAGCCAAAGCTCGAGTAATCGTGGATCGAGTACCCCGTGTTCTCCCACTGTTTGTGTGCGTCACCAAAGTGCGAAAAGTCGGAGGCGAAGGTATTGCCGTCAAAGAAGATCGCGTGGTCGGGGTCGACGGTGCGGATGGTGTTGTACACGGCATCATAGAAGGTGACGAGCCGGGTGTGCTTCGAGTCGGTAGGCTCGTTGAGTGGATTGTAGCCTGCGATCCATTTGTTGCCTTTGTAGTGTGTTGCGAGCTGCGTCCAGAGCCAGAGGACACGGTCCTGGAAGTCTTTGTGGTTCCAGACTAAAAAGAAGTAGAGATGAGACAAATTATGATATGAGAAGAGAATAAACGAACAGTTGGCAATGTGTCCTCCGTGGTCAGCGTGCCAGTCCGTGTTCTGGCCTCCAGGGGCTGTGTGCAGGTCGAGGATGGTGTAAATACCGTGCTTTGCACAGAGATCGATGACGCGGTCGAGGTGCTTGAAGCCGCTCTCCTTAAGCACTCGCGGGTTCATGTCGTCTAATGATATAATGGAATAAGCTTTGGTGCTGGGATAGAGCTGGATAACGACAGACCTTCGAAATGGCGGTAGTTGAACGCAATACGAATGCAGTTAAGCCCGAGACTCTTAAAGAAGATCGCGTCCTCCTCTTGGAAGAAGTATTCGAGGAACTATGCAGAGATCAACTACTGGCTTTGGATTTGGAGGGCCTGGGTACACACTTTATCGAAGAAGAGGTCAGACTTCTCCTGTCCGATCGCTTCAGCAAGAGCCTCGCGAATCTGGTGCTCGCAACCGGGGTAGCCAGAGATGAAATTCTCCATGCTAGAGAACTGAGATCAGTCTCGATGCTCAAAAGCCACAAAGGAAAACGAAAACGCACTTCATCCACCCACCCAAGCCAGCTCCGCGAAGAACGACCTCCTCGCCTTGCTCATTCACGATCTTCGTGCCAACGACCTTCAATGCAGATGAAGGTGGAATCGACATGATTGCTTCAGGATTCGATTTGTCGTTCAAGTTGGAGGCAGACAACCCAGCGAGTGAAGGATGATCCGGTGTTAAGCCCCTCGACGAAACTGGGCGAGCCTTTATAGATGGGCGACGCCCAGGAAGCCGAATATATAATCTTGATGTCCTCGTCGCCCCTCGTCGGTGGAAACTCGCGGACCGGAGAATCTGGTGAGCAGGTGGTTCGCTTTGCCCGAGGATTCCCCGACCGCCCACTGCGAAACCACTGACTGCGGTCCGAATTTAAGGTGCTTGGGGTGGTACGCGGGAGATTTAAAGAGATTAAGGGGTCTGGGGATTGGAAATAGAGCGCGACTTGGGGTGGGGTGTGGGGGGCATCGCGGGGACTGATACGATCGCTAGGAAAGTATGGATGAGGCAGTTTTCTCCTTTCTACATGAACGAGGCAAACTGTTGTTCGAATGACAAGTTGCACTCGTAATTGATGATAGGTCAGGGAGGTGGATATATGCGCCAGGAAAGACGGGTTTTGGCGATGCGTTCACGAAAAACATGAACCAAAGGCGGCTGGGGATGGCGAGATTGCGCAGTGGCACAACCGGCCCTTAGATGGTCAAGGGCGATGTCAAGCCAGAACTGACGACTCAGGAAAACGGTAAGCACCTCAATCCAATCTAAAAATCAAGGCGTTGAAAAATGCTCACAAGATATTTGGGATTGAAGGTGCTACGGCGCCATCACGGCAGAAGGGATACATCCGATTCTTCCATTCAGTTGAAGGGTGGGTTGAAGCCTAGCCCATGCCGTCGCCAAAAGGATGGTTGGAAGTTCAGTGCGGGCTGACGAGGCTATCCAGTTTCTTCTGCTGAAATACAAATCTTTGTGGAAGGAGGTTAGTGGTCTTCGCACCCTACATCCCCAACCTTGAGGTTTTGTCAGGTTTTGGGCGTAGGAATAGCGAAAACGGTGAACTGGCGTGAAGGGAGAAGCGTGCCGTAAAGCCTCGACATTGACATGATGGTAGTTTGTAGGAAGGGTTGAAATGAATGCAGCAACAGTGCCCGACGCGCGTCGCAACATGCTCCCCACACCACAACTACCACAGCCAGTGCAACCACAGCCAGCGCAGCCCCCAGACCTCGTCGGCGGGCCCTTCGCTGTCATTGAATCTGACCCAGGTCTGTCTTGAAAACACTCAGATTCGGCTATGAACCGCAGTCACTCACACAAACCTTATAGGCGTCTTCACATCCCTCACCCGTCGTCTTGGGGTACGTGGACTCGAGCTCGTCGAGCTCTACGACATTGAGCCATGGGCCGTCGACCATCTCTCGCCACACGGGCTCATCCTATGCTTCCTCTGGCGGAAGGACGCACATCGACCAGCAGACTTTGACGACCCCGCAGCAGAGCGCGTGTGGTTCGCAAACCAGCTCAGCGACGACGCGTGTGCGACACATGCGATACTCAATGTGCTCTTGAATTGCCCGCATGTGGATGTTGGGGAGGATTTGAGGGCGTTTAGGCGGGAGACGGAGGGGATGTCGCCTGTGGTGCGTCATTTTTGCTGGGGTTGAGAGGTTCGTCGGTTCGGGTGGACGCTGAGGCTGGGGATGTGTAGATGAGGGGGCTGGCTATAACGAATTCGCCTGTTATCAGACCAGCACATAACTACCTTGCTCGGTATGTGTTTTTGCCGTCTCTGCCTCTAGTTCGATATATTTAACGTCTACTTGAATTACAGACCTGCAGACGTCCGCGCTTCCCTAAATAACCTCGCCATTACCACCTTCGATGCCGAGAAGAAGAAAGCCAAAGCCCAGGTTGCCGCGTCGAACCTCAAACAACATCCAGCCAAACGCACCAAAACGTCTGGAAACTCCAAAACTACGGGCAGAGGAAGGGGAAGACCGAAGGGCAAGGCCAAACCCAAAGGAAAACGCAAAGCGAAAGACGACGACACGGACATGGACGAGGATTACATCGAAGAAGAGGACGAAAGCGAGGAAGAGGAGGAAGAGGAGGAACAAGAAGAAACCTACCACTTCATCGGCTATGTACCTGCCCATGGCAAAGTCTGGGAGCTTGATGGACTCAAGTCGGGCCCTCTCGAAGTAGGCGAGTTACCTATGCCCCCACCCTCCAACGCCCCCTCGTCATCCAACGCAAACAACTCCAACTCCAACCCAACCCCAGGTCAAGGTGTGAACAAAGCCTGGATGGACGTCGCCCGCCCTGCGCTTCGCATGAAGATGGCGCGATACGGCGGTGGTGCGGCCGAGGCGCACGCAAACATCCGCTTTTCCCTCCTTGCCATCGTTGACGACACATTTTGTCAGGCGAGTGATAAGTGGGAGATGGCACGGAGGGAAGGGGGTGTTGTTGAAAGGAGGCTGGGCGAGCTGGAGAAGGAGGGCATGGAGGGACGCTGGGAGGACAACGTAGACCCATCGTTGAAGGAGGTAGCTCGACATGCTTTTGCTCCGCTGCCCTTTGGTGTGCAGACCAAGGAAGAACAAAACGGAGAGCACGACCCAAACACCGTTCAAACTCCAAATCCGCCGTCAGCACCAGGCAGGACGTACACGTCCTCCTTCGCCTCTACGAAGCTGGAACGCGACGCTAAGATACTCCAGCTCTCATCGCGCGCCGACCTGATAAAAGCATGGGAGGAATGCGTGCGCGACGCGAGCCGCGCGAAGATTCTCGTTGAGGACGAAGTTGCGAAGGGAATTGGAGCTCAGGTGTGTTTCTCCTCCTTTCTCTTCTCCTCCTGCTTCTGCGACCGTTCGAATTGAAGCTGATCCAAATATTGTGAACAGACAGACCATATCAAACGCACGCACGACTATGAGCCTTTTTCGCGTGCCTTCCTCACGAAGCTGCACGCCGAGGGCCTGCTCAACCCTCTCCTTGACCGCGATGAGGATGGGAAGAAGCGGAGAGGCCGGCCTCCGGGTGGAGGTGCGAAGGGGAAGAACGGTACAAGTAAGCCGGGGAAAAGGTAGTGGTAGTGGTGCTACTTTCAGTCCTAGTGCTGGCTACTAGGATTTGTTTTCCAGTTTGTAACATACTCTATTTCGTGGCGTAGCCCCTATCCACATGCTGCCCCTATCTTTTTCCGGTCCGGCCTTCCGCCTCTGTATACTCCCCCGCCAGACGACTAGCAGTACCTCCCAAGAGAATCAGGAGCAGAGTCGACGCGAGAGGAATATCGTCCTCTTCAGCCTTAGCCCGTCTTCAAAGTCGGAGTAATCGACCGCATAAACCTGTCGAACAAGTGAAGGGAAATCAACACCGAGAATGTCAAATCGCATCGATGACATGGGGGCACTCGTAGCTCTCTCGAAGTGTGAGCTTGTCCAAAGCTGGAAAGAGGGCAATAGGATCAACGTGCTAAGAAATGAATATTGTATTTGATGACTATTGGATATTGAGCCCAAGCTACAGAAGAACAACCTCGGAGAAAGTACACTTAAGTTTCCTCGAAACTTCACATTGTAGCACCCAATTTGAAGTAACGTACCACCCTGCAACTTCTAGATCCAGCACTCCTCTTTCTCTTCGCCCCCTTTCTCTTCCTACCGATCATGATAATAACTCCCCCTCAGATAGAACAACGTCCCATGGTTCTCCCTCCCGCCTCTCGCATCATCAGGGTTATACGCCGCCTCACCCGCACTTTCGTCTTCCTCTTCACCAAACGGCACACCAGGCACGCGCCACCTCCAGACCGAAAAACTCTTCCACGCATTCCCATTTGGCCGACGAGACCTTTCGATCTGGGCGTCTGCGTCGAGGAGGGCTGTCTCGAGCTGCGTAGGCGAGAGGAACGTTAGGACCAGAGTGGGTGTGCCAAGAGAGGTAGTGCCTGTCGTTGGTTGGGAGGAGGCGGCTTGGGAGGGCGGTTTAGCAGAAGAAGTTGGCGTTTTCTTGGACGGTGGTTTGCCTGAGGGTTGGAGGGAGGAGGGCATGAGGAGCTCGGCGGGTAGGTTGCGCGTCCGACCTGGGATGGTGATGACGGTCAGAGTGAAGGCTTTCTTGTCGATCGATTGGACCTGCAGGTGGCGTTTAGTGGGTAATCAAAAGGCAGATAGAGACGACGAGAAATCAAGACGAAGAGTAGAAAGGCGAAGTCAAAGAGTAAAAAAAAAGGAATTGAATCATGAAATAAATCTAGAAAAGAAGCAAGAGTATACATACAACGCAATCCTTCTCCACAAGCTCAGAAGTCGCAAACGAACGCCGATACGCGATGACATCGCCGACACGGATAACGCCCTTCTTGACGAGGACAGACAGCTTGACCTCACTCGCGCCTCTGTGCAGGAGAAAATACATCAGTCACTATCGACACCGAAGGAACGGAAAGAATGTACCCAGCCCGTGCATTCGACTCGCACGGGATGCTGAACGAACCCTTGCTACCCGCAGCCACAAGGGCATTCGTCCCGTTGGCAACCAGCCCATTGGCTGCTCCTTCAGCCACCACCTCGTTTGCTGTTGCGCCATTCTCTTCCTGCCCGACCTTCGCTTGCTCCTTCCCACTCTCCTGCTCTCTCGGAGGCAGAGGTACCCCATGTTCGCGCTCCCACACCTCGTCCTTCCACAGCGCCGCCAGTTTGCCGTCTCGGATTCCTTCTTCGAATTTTTGCACACGTTCTACATGTGCTTCTGTGAACCAACCGAGATAAAGGTGGTCCTGGAAGGTACGTAAAGCGGCAAGGAGGTGTGGATCAGTGAAGAAAGTTGGTGAGAGGGTCTTGAGAGGGACAGATTGGGCATTTGTAGGTTGAGGCTCTGAAGATGAAGGAGGGTCGACTTCCATCGCGTTTGGGCTTGCAGGAGGTTTCTCTGGCTCGACGTTGCCAATTTGCAACGCCGCTTGCGGTATATCTTCGGCTTCTGGTTTCGTGCCATTTGAAGTTGGCGGAGGATGCTCTAACGGCCGTTCTCCATCTAAGGGCTGCAGCAAAGGATGATCGACGCCCAGCGTCTCCTTGAACCCAATGAACGCTGTCGGAGGAAGGAGGGCCTGCAGCTCAACACGTGCCGCCTCTGAGAGCATATCCCATGTCTGGGCGTTGATGAGGTCCTATAATAATAAGCGAAGCCGGAGCCCATTGAGCCTAACGTCTCCGTATGATGTAGGATCTGGAAACAGCTGGAGGCAGAGGTAATCGCACACGAGACACAACAGACAAAAGGGTAGAGTGGAGGATGAATCGAGGGGTAATAGAAAGGCACATACACTCATGTCGAGGCTAACGAGGTCACTCTTGGGGCTCGTGAGTAGCATCTTGAGCTGCGCTTCGGGGTCAACTGGTGCTTTTGCTTTTGCCACAGGTTTTGGTGCTCCTCCAGATTTGGCTGTTCCTGGTGCTTTCGCCGTTGGACTGCTGGGGGCCTTGCGCTTCGATGCGCGTCTGGTGGGCTCTTCGTCAGAGTTTCCTGCTAGTAACTGCGGAGCCTTGACTGGCGCCCGCGTTGACCGCCGTGGTCGGTCCATGGTGAGTACTTGCTAGTTTCAATGACCAGGTTGTTCTCAAATGTCTTTCAGGTAAGCAGATCGATGAAGAAAAGGAATCGTCAAGGCAGGAGGACTCCAAAGAACGTCATGGTAGGTAGCAACCGCTATGCTGACCTATTTCCGCGTTATTTGTCCCAGATTTTTGAGCCAAATACCGGGTCCAATAGATGTGTCAGCAGCCGTCAACCCGCCGCCTTCCTCTTTTGGATGACTTTCCTTTCGCAGCGGCCGACTCTCCGTGTTCCTCCCAAGGCACTCTTGGGTGCTTCGTGCGTCACACATTTCGGCGACGGAACACCCAGCGCAGTCGACGGGTGATGCCAGATCTGCTCTGTGGAGCCTATAGGCTATCTAAAGCCTGATAATTGAATCTCCGGGTCGGGGAGAGCCTACCGTATCGGGAGGCGGCAAGTCGAGGAAGATGGCGCAAGAAGCGCTGATCGATCGACGGGCGTTTGCCGCTTTTGTACCAAGCGCCCACTGTGCCCCACTACTGCTGCGCACGCGGGAATGTGGGAAGGAGGGAGGGATTCAGACGGCGAAACCTGGGGATACTGCACTGTGATCCTGGGGCTTGCCACGCCTCTTCTGAATCCTTGTCGACACTTGTTTCCACGGGATTCTCCCTGTCTTGACGAACCTGCCCCCACGTGAAAACAGGCTTTCAGTAGCAAGGCGAAGACGAGCTGTTTCAGTGAACAATCTTCCAGTAAGAACTTGATCGCCGCTCTTGTGTGTAGCGCCCACTGTCAGTCCGAGATGCCAGGAATATATGGTCAGCAAAACAAGCGACGCTGCGCTCATCTCTGTTGATCTTGGGAAATAGGAACATAGTAGGAGCGCCCCACCGGACACTAGAGTTCTTCCGGGATGACCTCGTCATGCCTGGACAGAGCGTGAACAGCACCGCGATAGTAACTAGGCGAGTTGTTTCACTGATATTCGGCTTGGAGGATGGAACACTGCCTACTCCTCGTGCTGCCCTCGTGGGTCTACATTTCCTGGGGGAGACTTTATGTTTCAAATTTCAAGGCGAACGACGTGTCTGGAAACGGGGTCCTCAGGACATGGGGCTCTCAGATTTACTCGCCGGCTGTGGGCGCGGATCAAGGCTTTGGACATTCCCCCCTTGCCAGACTTGTGGCCTAGCATTACTTCGTAGTTATATTGGAAGCAGCTAAAGATATCAAAATGCTCACTACCTTTTAACTGTCAGACCGACGCTATACAGCGACTTCTCCTTGCTTACCTAGGCCTGACCTGCAAATTCCTGTTAATTTGCCAGAAACAATGACACCAGAGTCACAAATTGATCTCTACAATGAATCTTGCCAAATAGAAATGGTAACAAAGACGCGCCACACAAGCTCAAGCTTCCTCGTTCGCTTAGCGTTTCCTAGTGCCTCGTCGCTCAGTGCTAAGCCACGTCGTGCCAAAGACACAAAAAATAAGGGCATTGTCCTGGGATTTTATTTGAATCGAGATGCAGAGGGTACCCTTGTTCCTGAGTCTTTCAACCTCACGAAAGGCAGGATACTGATCAGTCCACGGCCTTCACTCGTCGTCCCACGGAGCAAGGGAATTTAATCCAATTTGGCGCTTTCTCGCGTTATACGCTCCATTGAGGCTGTCGACATTGATGAAGCGTCCTTATTCTAGGCCCTCGTTTCGCATTAAAATTGGCGCTTGCCTGTTCAATTATTCAATGCTTTTTTTCCCTCCTCGTTTGGGCTTGCTGATGGGTTCAACAGCCGGCGCGAAATCGCATAAATCTAGAATCGGTGCAACACAGTCGGGCAAGAGGAGACAATAGGCAAAATTGAGATGACTACCGCAGACGACCATCGAATCGTTTCAGCGCTCGAGATAGTCCGTTGGTGGTCCATCGGAGGACTCTATTAGCGCCCACCGACGACATGTCGGCGGGCGTAACTGAACGTTCTTAATCTTCACCTAGAATAAAGGTATGGGCGTTATTCTGCATTTATTAGCGGCCTGTGTTTCACAGAAGGTCTTATTCCTGAAGGTGAGGCAACCCTAGAATTCTACCCAGTTGGAGCGGAGTGATAAGCTCTGATAATCCCGCCCTCCCGGTGGGTCTATCAATGATAGATGTCCAGTAATATATTTCTGGGCCTAATTCTCCCTTTCTCTCTCAAGTATAAAACATTTACCACCAGAGTCCGAGTGCGTAGGAAGACATCCGGCGACGAAACTCAAAACCACCAGGTTGACCGTGAACGTCGGTGGGAGATTTTCCCCGTGGCTCGGCCAGGTGTAAATAATCCATGGGGCTACTCTAGAACATGGGGATAAAATACGCTCATGCAACAGGCCCCGATGACAATATACATATCGTAATGTATGGTCGTGTAAGTCAGAATCAAAGACCTTAGCGCTGGCAGTCAGCGCTATGGGCTTATGACCATCGGCTCCTGAAGATGTCCATGACACTGACATTGACAAGGGAAAACACCGACAGATCGCCACCAGTAGGAGCCTATGGAGGAAGGTGAGGGGTACTTGCGTGGTGTGGGATGGGGTGTGGAATTACCTAAAGTTACGTATGCAACCGTCCAATGTCGTGATGTCCTCTCAAACCCTGATACGCCATCCCCCTTCTCGGATCGTCCTTGCCAGAGTCTGACATCGGCGCGGGCCTTATTGGCACGTCCAAGACGCTATAGTGGACTTGAGTTACTTTCATACGTTACTTTGTTATGAAGAATCAGAATGACCATCTCGGAAGGTCTTGTGCATGCCAAATCGTCCGTGGGCGACGTGCGAACGGATTTGGATGTTACAATGGGTGCGAACTGTTTTCTGAGGACGCGTTCTGACGGGAATTTCCTTCAAGTTCGAGAGGCTCCGACTCCTCTCTGCCCACATCAACGAGCTTCGATCATCATGATCGCAAGGGGAGCTAGGGAGGTGTTGTCGAGTAAAGATGCTTGGTACGCTGATCGGCACGGTCCGGTTGACCTAAAAATAGACGCTGAATGGCAATCTATCAACCTGAGGCTGAAGTTATCCAGGTTAAACAACCGGTTCCATCTCAGCAGTTAGACGAATGGGCTGGGAGCATCAGGCAAGTATTGGAGATTGAATGACGAATGAGTTGCTGTAGTTGCAGATGAAATGAATCATGAAAAACGGTAAATGCATCAGAGCGCACGTTCGCGGTCGGGTGCATATGCTTGAGGAGCCTTCGACCGGGAAGTCGTTCAGTTGCAAATGTTATTTTAGGGTTCTTCTTATGTCAATCATTTGTCTTTTTCCATTCTTTTTCCGTTCCTTCTATTCGCCTCGAAGATCGGCGACTTCTAGTGCCTATGTACTCTCTTCCTCAACCAAGTAATACGGCCCTCGCTCCCGGTCTTTTCTTATCCTCCTTTTCGTCATTCCGGACTCCGGAGGTGTGGGGACGCACGCGACATAGGTCGCTCGAAGCACCCAAGCACCTCGTCCCGGATGTCGACGACCGTGAGCCGTGAGCTAAAAATAGGGGCTGCAGCCAGCTCCTTGCTCCACGCACCGAACATCAAGCTGATACTAGAACGGGTCAGGGATTGTCGGTCGGCCGGTGAAGCAGATGTGCAGGCCTAAGAGTACGCCGAGCTACGGACAAACGACATGAAAGCCTATCAGACTCCCGAGAGGGAGTGGGAGAGAACGCGGAGGATGGAAGGGAGGAATAGCAGTACTCCGGACGGAGAGTTTCATGATCGTCTCGACGTTTGATCCTCTCTCATACTCCCTTTCATCCTTCCAATGTCCATTAACTATATAAACCAATCAATCCCGCCTGCGCCGCGCCTGCCCGGTGTGCGCGTGCAATTCCAAGGGCAATTTATCGTCGTCACTCTCTAATTAAATCAACAGCACCCATACATACGCGTCCCGTCCTGCCCCATCCTGTCGATTCTCGAATCCCTTCCTGTTGAATTTCTTCCGGGCATTTCGGGAAGACGCGGCGCCGCCTGATGCCGCCTGGCGAATTGATCGACCTCGATTTCATTTTGCACAATTTGATTTTTGGGGGTGGAGATCGATCTCCAACACCATGCGTGTGTGGCTTGGAACGGCGTGGGTTTGTATTGCGCGAAGTGGGGAGGAGAGGGGATCGAGGGGCGGAGAGGAGAACAGGGGAGAGACAAGAACAAGGGTACCTTCGATGTCGAAGGTTTGTTATGTAGCTATAGAGTAGCGCATCAAGGATTTCGCGGCAGGAGTCGACTAGACGTGCGTCGCGTGCAGTCAGACTCAAGGGCAGTCAGTTCAGTCAATTTTCAGAGGGCAGAGGAGAACATATGTAATAGTGTTTTAATGTACATTTTATTGGAATTCGTTTAGCCTAGCAGAGCCACCAGCTTCTCGAGTCCGTGGTCGCTACCGGTGATGAATGATAATTTTTCGTACACAGCGAGGTCGTTAGGTATGGTCCATGCAGCTGAGTCAAGAAAAAAAGAAAAGGAGAATAAATCCAGGGAATAGAACGGGCGATGCAAAGTCCGGATGTCCGTGAATAATGTAGAGTAGAAGTAGAAGCGAGAGCCCAAACGAGGAAAGGAGGCGGGGAGACGGGGAATATAGAACAAAGGGGTGGCCAGAAAACGAATATAACGTGAACAGCCAAAAAAAAAAGAATAAACAAGACGGCGCGATTCGAACGGGGAAAAGAAAGGGCAGCAAGCAACGAGCTCAACACGCGACCCCCTCATTGGTTGACCCACCGCGTGCCGCCCTGCGCGACGGGACACTTATGGTTCCCCAGCGTCTTCTTCGTCGAGAAGAACCGCCCACACTCGTCGCACAGAAACTCGCACACCTTGCCGTGCTTCGCGACCTCGTGCCGCAGGCGGTCGTGTTGCCGCGAGAAGCGCTCCGAGCAGCCGAGCGTGCAGGGGAAGGACGCGCGCGGCTTGGGCTTGTGCGCCTCCATGTGCACCTTGAGTGTGTATTGTGAGGTGAAGCGTCGCTCGCACCCGAGGATGAGGCAGGGGAAGCGCCGTCGTTGGGCTTGGGCGTCGGTCTCGGGGGTGGTTGGAGAGGCGGAAGTCGATAGAGAGGATTTGGGGTGCGAGTGAAGGGGACGAGACGGTGAGGCGGACCGGGAGGAGGAGAGCTTGATTTCGCGCGCGTCGATGCTTGAGCAAGAGGGTGTGGGTGAGTGTGAGAGCGTGGATCGCGGTGAGTGGTGGGTGGGTGGACATGATGATGAGTGTTGGTGCCATTGTGAGGTGGAGGTTGAGGGGAATTGGTGTGGTAGGGATGTTGTGAAATCGAAATTAAACGCGTTTGAATATTCGTGCATGTTCGGTTGTGGTGAGAGAGACAGGCCTGGTGAAGGAGGGGTAAGGAAGAAATCCTAAACGTTTCCCGCAGGAGACCTACCACTGTGGTCTGACCGTGGCGAACATGACACGACGGAGATGGATGGAGAGTACGCGTTGGAGTATGTGCTCGGCTCGGGCACTGAGGAGAAAGAGGAGTCATATCCCGACGTCCCTTCGTATGGCCATGAAAATAGGCCAGCGTCTAAATGCTCCTCTAAGGAAAGTTCAGCGGAAAGAAGAAATTCGAGAGGAACCCCACACACCGTAGGGAGAGTTGTCGGCTAGTTGGTGTGGTGCCGTGAGGCTTGGAGGGCATTGAGCTAGGGACACCTCCGTGAGCTAACGCCTCCACAATCATGGTGAGAGACGTACCTGACTCGTACATTTCAGCCTCCGAATACATAGGCCCTGCACTCATCCATTGCGAGAGAGAGATTTGAGGATCTGCACGCCGTCGCGTTAATAATAGATTCAAAAAATGTTGTCGAGGACTGACCATCATATCCATCAAAAGGTGGGAAGTCGTGTAGGCTGTAAGCACCGTCTAGAGACGGTGTGTGGATTCTAACGTAGGGGGCGCGCGAAGAGTATCTGTTCATGTCGTAGGGGGAGCAGGAAGACTTGAGGTTGTCTGTCGTGGGTTTTAATATGGCGCCGGGTGTGTCTTAAGTGACAAAAGGGGGCGTACCAAATGAGAGCGAGGGCGCTTTCACAACTGGCATGATTGTCGTCTAGATGGAGACAGGTTGGATGGGATGTCGAAGCTGGTGTCCGGTATGAGGTGGGCGCTACGGGGCTATTCTCGAGACGAGGGAAAAGGACGAGGTTCTTATCTGGGCAAGGCAAGGAGCCAGGGCCGTGGCTTCCTATATGTACGGATATGGATGGGAGCTGATCGAGCGCCAGATGTGGGAAGGCACGCCCTCGCGCGAACAGCCTCCGTCCGACATAGAGTTTCGACACAAAGACGAGAAAAAACGTGGCGATGGCATGGGGCGCCCAGAAAATAGGCAAAATACCAGAGAACGTGCTTGAGATCGAGCACAAGCCCCGGAGCAAGACGCGCTGAAACCAGCAGCAAGGGAGCACAAGGCGTGAGGAGGGATTTCGGAAGACAGGGAGAGAGATTATGTAAGCGCGGAGGAGACAAATTGTCGGGAAGCCAGGATCTGAGCAGATCACTGTTTGGCCATGTTTGTCCTGTCTTTCGGATTTCACCCGCAACAAGGCGAGATTTGAGACAGGTCTAGATCTGCCAAATTGGGCATGATGAAGACTAAATACAATCGCCTCAGCACTGTGCCTGGCAGGACAGCCACCTCCGCGCTTTCAGGAGATCCATTCTTCTGTTCCTGTTTCCATTATCCTCCCCCTTCAGCTTTCTTGTAGCCTTTTGTCCTCTCAATTCCGACTCTCTCTCTCCATCTTAGCACCGCTGACCTGATCCTGATCGACACCGCCGGCTGGCAGTTGTATACTTGCTCTCGTCGCCATCATGATATGTACAAAACTCATTTGTCGCGCGAATGGGAGCGGCGTAAGTCTTCCAAGGGCGCATCAATATGTCAGGCCATCATAGCTCCCACTGATTTTGATCTACAGGCCCTCTTTCTGCCTTTATGACCTCTTTTTGATGGCTTCTTATTTCATGACGTGCACAGCAACCGCCTCGCTTGTAATTCAACGGTCTCTAAACCAGGACATGTCTGTCTGGACGTCAGCGCTCTGAATCTACTTGACTGCATTCGCGCGCTCTCCTGCGATGCCAATCTGTCTGATTGTTGCTTCGAGTATGTTCTGACTCTGCGCTTGCTCGACGTGGAAAGGATATTCTGGCTTGCTTTGGAAAAACGGCTCGGCCTCGGCTACTTACTCGGTCTGTCCTCTAAACACCGCCACGGATTTATTGCAGGTTAGCCTGCTGATCCTCCGTCCATGGGAAAAACCTCAGGTTCGCTCCTCCACCTACAAACGCACAGCCAGGCCGTGATTCGGGAGGAGCGCGCAATAATCCTGGACCTTCTGCAGCGCTTCCACGATAGCACGTTTGATAGGAGGCTGGTACCCATCCTGGTGACTGGTCTGCCTGGCCAGCTTATGTGGATGCGAGGCTTTCTTTCCGATAGTTTTCCTGGGTGGTAAACCGTGTTGAAGGCTCAGTCTATCCTGAATGGTGACCTTTCCTGCCCGCTGTCTACGGTTAACCGTTTCTGCACACCTCAGCAAAGCCTCATCGATTCCGTTCCATCCCGAGCCCTAGTCTACCCCTTTTCAAGTGATTGATTTCCCCATAAAGCATCTTCCCGCCTTTTGATGCGGCGCCCCGACCTACTGGCTGTGCACGAGCGTCATTCATCTTCTCAAGCATGGCCTCCTCTGCCCATCTCTAGGCAACCGTATGAACGACACCTGGATACACAACTAACTTAATTCGAGAGCTGGAATGATTCTCGAGGTGTATTTGGATCGTGAGCTGTGTTGATCCTGCGTCTATCCCCGTGGATCGTTTACTATGTTCCTGGCCAGTGAAGCTCCTCGGAGCTCACGCTAACATTCCGGGAGGAAAGTTTCTAAACTTGAGATTTGAGCCGCCTTCGTTTTCGTTTCGTTCGACGGAGGCAAGATTCGTCTCGCATCTCGCATTTCACATCTCATTCTGCATCCCGCGAGGGACGCGAATTCTTCCAAGTTGAAACGGTACCAAAAAACTAAAACAGACTTCCCATACTTCCGTGCGACATATTCACATTTATCGCCGGGTTTGGGAAGTCGAGGCCAGCGGGCGACGTCGGTGTACTTTCCCTTCCTGCCGGACGATCGAGGCAGCGACGAGTACGGCCGGTCAACGTCCTCAAAAGTTATTTCTGCAACACAGTCTGGACGGCACGCTCCTCCGGTTCTCTCGAAGAAAGGGAACGGGTAAACGGTACGGCCCTCCGGTGACACCGAATTTCTGAAAGTTTAGTCCGGGGCGTTTCCGAGGACTGTATCTGCGTTTGCCATATGCACCTATGTTCGGACGGACATACTTTGTGAGCGCTCGGTGAGGCAGGATAAAAATCATGATTCGTGAGCAAGCGCGCACTGTCGGACGGAGGCTCCTCGGTGGCAACCCTTCGACGTCCACGCGCTCGACATCGAGGTGAGTAATCCCAGCTGCGTGAAAGGCAGCCGTACCCACTCACTGAATCCTGTCATGACGATCTCCCACCTCGGGCTGGTAGGTAAATAATTCCCGACCTCTTTCCGGACGCAGAAGAAAGATGGGTTTGTAATTTTGCGTCGTTGGGTCGTTTTTCTCGGGGAGAAGGCCGTAGGCGTAGGCATTCCTTCCGATCACATAGGAGGAACATGAGGAATTTTCCTCGACTTCCCCACGAATAAGTATTAATACGAAGTTCTTGCACTCGTTTTTTTTTTTTTTTTCTAGAGACACTTTCAAGCCTTGGAGTTGACAACGAAAATACCAACCCTCAGGCCTCAGGACTCGCATCCGCCACAATACATGGCAATTTTACTGAGGAAGGAGCAAATCTAAGCGGCAGGAGGTGTGGATTGGTCAAACCTCCTCGATCGTCGGGGGACGCTGGTCACGCTTGATCTGAGCGCGCCTCATGTAGATGTGGGATAAGATAACGTGTGAAAAAATAGCCGACGCTGAACGAACGAATGCGAGAAAGATTCATAAATCAAAGTGGACTGGGAGGAAGCTCGGGAGAAAACTCATCAGCCAAGACGCTGCTCGGAGCGCTCAGCGCCTGTCGATCTGTCTTCCTTCACATAATCACTTTCCCTCTTACTAATACTCAGGCTACTGGCCCCACATATGCTGCGCGCCGTGAACCCATCATCCCTCCCACAGGTAAAAAGGTACAGGCAGAAAGATCGACACTGAGCGCTGAGCGCGATTAACGTTTGGGTCTAATTCTGTTTATCCAGGAACACATATCTTTTCCCCAGGCGGCACCGGAAGCGCCAATCATTAACATATCTTAGTACTTACTCCACCTGCTGATGGTGTTGTTGATGATGATGATAGCCTTTGCTCGGGTTGGACAGCGTCGACGTCAACCCAGAATCTGGGTTCTGTCACCTAGTGTTATGTGTTCTGAATTCTATTCTGAATAAGTACCAAGTTTGTGGATTAGATTGCTGCCAGGTTCCGAATCCTAGGCCTCTGTGGCTTCTGCTATGCTCGATGGGGATTAGGACACCGTGAGGCCTCATTAAATAAGGACCACTCCCACTGAGATGGGGTAGCGTGATCATGATTCCAATGCATCGACATGATCGTTGACAGTGGCAGGCATCGGGCGGTCAGACCTGTTCAAACGCTTCGGATTCCATGATGAGGGGCAACTGAATTGATTATCGAATCAAACATGTCAAAGCCTCTGTCAAGGTGCCGGTGGGTGGGTCCCAATACGTCGAATGGGTGGGCGTGGACACTGGGCTGTGATCGACTGCCTACCTGCCAGAGCCCGGTGTCTGTGCTGGCGACGCGAATCAGGGGTAACTGATTGCCATAAAGGACGCTTTTGGCTCGAGGGCGACGACATGCGTTGATGAATCAGGATGATGGGCAATGGCTAAAGCTCTCTACTGGGTGTATGTGACTAACTGACATGCGAGGCTTCTCGGAGACGCTCGGGGCCGTGCACCGAGTTTGCCGAGACGCGGACAGGCTGTGGGAGCTGCAGCACGAAATTGGATAGGAATCCAACAAACCAGCCGGCGGATGGGGATTGGGAGGTTGGGCAAGAGGAGGAAGGGGAGTAAGCATACTTGGACCTCGGGACGTGGGCCACGGGTGGTCGGATGGACCTTGAGATATGGGCGTCAGTTTCAAGCTGATTATCGGTCGTGTGCAACAAGACGGATGTCAGCTCGATGTCGAGACCCTGCCCTGTCTCCTTGCGAGCCTAGGCATGAGGACTAGGATTCTGGGAATGGAGATCGTGGTCTAAATTTTTGGGAGGTGCACTCTACCTGCAGCTAAAGACCCAATCTGAAGTGAGGATCAAATCGCTTGAAGATAGGATGGGGTACGTCGGCCGTGGTTTAGGCTACCAAAGTGAGGTCGGACTTCTGGAGGAGAGACGGGCTCAATGCTCGATTAGATAGCATTAGATACGTCACCGGACGGTCTGTTGACACGATGCGATAAAATAGGCGGCAGGCGAATGTAATGGTCCTGCCCACCGGTACGTGATTAGATGACCTCCACAAAAGTATAAATTTTAGAAGACGTCTTACGATAGATGAATTCCGTTTCGTGGTGTAAAGTGACAATGAGGTTACGCCTCAAGACAAGTGGATCGAAAATTCAGAAGATTTCACAGTGACACATGAGGATCTGGTCAATGTTCCTGAGGACTGGGGTCACTCACAATAAACGGGTATTGTGCTCGCCCGCTTGTTCTTGCTGTTCCTCGACCTCGAGATCGATCATAATGCGGGAAGGGATCCCTCACAACGGCGAATTGTCCCTCCGAGAATCACATCCGCTTTTTGCTGCTTGCATACCTTCAGGCTGCATGGCTCAAACTCACAGAGGGACCTGCATGCCGATCATTCCGGCAGGTCATCAGAGCGCGCGTCGATCAGGCCCTCATGAAACTACCATTTTTGTATGGCGTATTACTTTTCTGGGAATATTACCCAAGAAGAATGAACGCCGGCCTAGATTGCTATAGGATGAAAGGCATCAATTCGGCTGTTTCGGGCGGTTGTTTGCTTGATGCCGTTCTATTGGGCTGGGCCTTTGAGAATGCTGTTTGTGGCGTGCAGGATTGGACGAGTGAAGGACTTTGGTGTGCCAAGTGGGATGTCAGAGTTAAATATAACCCGAGAGTTGAGTGTGGGGAAGGTACTGGAGATAGGTAACGTAAATCTTACCGTAAGTATTCGAGAAGGTGCGTGAGGACACTAGGGAAGATTTCTGACGGACTAGGACCATGGAGAACTGTCTCGAATACAGAAATCAGAGTAAAATGTTGAGCCTGAGCCGCAGCAAGATGGTTTGTCCACGGGGAGTTTGAACGTCGGAGTGGTGGCCTAATTTCCCCTTCACAACATGAAAAAAGACGATCTTTTCATCTATCAGGGCGCCACGGGATGACCAGAGGTTAGGCTCAAGGTATCCGAAACGATATTGGGCGCTCGCTGAGTTCGGGATTTGTGAGCGCGAGCCAGGAATGAGGACACGCACCGAATCGAATTTATTTTCGACAAAAGCTGGAGGTGTAATTACGGAGCAAGCGCCTTGAGGTAGCTGCATTCCGAGCTACCGCCCTTCATGACCAGTGCAGGCATTCAGTCCCTCCATCATCAGCATCTTCATCATCGTGCATGCCAAACAATAAATCGTCAAGGAAATATATTGAATCCAGTTGGCGAACACTTCACGCCCATGAATCCGACGCAGCGCGCGCTCGATGGCTGAGAGAAGATGTAATTAAACTGCAAGGAAATAGATGAACATACGGGTTCAAAGGCGCCGTTCCGTGTCTGCCCCATGGCTTGTTCCGTGCTCAACAGGCACAGAGTAGATCATGATATTGATTGCAGGTCGTCGAAGGTCCATCTGATAAGAGGGAGGAGTTGTCGAGATGTAAACATCGCGTCGTCGACGTGGGCGGTGATGAGCAAAGAGGCGCACGGACTCAGAGGCGGGGCCGGGTCCGGACGGCCTCGGTCCATTCTAGGCATCCACTTTGAAACTCAGCCCTCTCCGACGACTGAGAGGCCACCGCAAATCGCCCGACAAACCCAGCAACGACGACGACCCCCACGCTGCCCAATCGACGTCCGGGAGCACCGTGCGGAACAGCGAGCACCACCCCCAAGTTCCGCTTTCGCTTCAGGTTCGGTACATTCGTCACGACAGACTCGTGGCGCAGCCATATTACTCGGCAAGGCCCAACCAATATTATCATGACTTCGCTTTCGAGAGCATCGACCCTCACACCATGCAGTTCACCGGCACCTCCTGGAATTCCAGTGCAACCAGACCATTTCTATGGCACCGAGAACGTGCAGCTACCGCCCTCACCCAACTCCGACGGCAAGACATACCTGGACCCTGCAGATGACCCCCTGGCGCATCGCGGAATCCCTGTCTTCAAGCCCACAATGGAGGAATTCCGGGATTTCGAAGAATATATGAACAGGGTGGAATGTTGGGGCATGAGGAGTGGTATAGTGAAGATCATTCCGCCCAAGGAATGGTGAGTCTCGCAGCTGTAACGGTTCTGCCGCGTTCCGGCGCCAATCTCGTCCTAATCTAGGACCGACTCCCTACCACCGCTCAAGGAACAGCTGGCCAATGTCAAGATCAAGACGCCCATCGAGCAGCACATGCTTGGGAGTGGTGGCCTCTTCCGCCAGGAGAACATGGAGAAGAGGAAGCTGATGAGCGTTCGGGAGTGGGCAGAGCTTTGCATCAAGGACGAGTTCAGGGCACCGGGCGTGCACGACGTCGGTCTCTCTTCCCGTGGCGCGAACGTACCAACAACTCGACCCCCCAGAGTTGCCCGACGGACGAAGCAGAAGTCGGAAACTGTGAAGGCAGAATCGACCGGCCCGGCGTCGAATGTTATCACTGTCAAGGAAGAACCGACGGAGGACTGTCACTCACTTTCGGAGGAGCGGACGACCCAAACCATTGTGACGCCGCCACACAGTGAAGTAGTCCCGCCGTCACCTGCCCCGACGGTCACCGCCAGCAAGGGCAAGAAGACGAAGAAGAAGCAGGCACCAGTGAAGCAAGAGCCTAAGCCGCGTCCCAAACGCGTCAACCAGACCCGCGAAGCTCGAGAGGGCAAGCCTGGCCGATCGTGCTGCTCGAGATCGCGCGTTTCTTGAAGTTTTCGATCCTCATCAGGAATGGCTGCCTCCGAACACCAAAGCGGCGGATTACACTCCAGAGTTCTGCCAGACACTCGAACGACATTACTGGAGGAATTGTGGTTTAGGAAAGCCGGCTTGGTACGGGGCAGATACACAGGGTGCGTCAGTTTGATCTTCTCTCTATCGCATACATTTACAAGTACACCTCAGGCTCCCTGTTTACCAACGAAACGAGATCGTGGAATGTAGCTCACCTGAAGTCTGCTCTTACGAGACTGTTACCATCCTCTAGTCAAGGTTTACCTGGAGTCAACACACCTTATCTCTACTTCGGAATGTGGAGAGCAACTTTTGCCTGGCACGTCGAAGATATGGACCTGTTCAGCATCAACTACATTCACTTCGGTGCCCCGAAGTTCTGGTATGCCGTTCCACAAGGAAGGGCAAATGCCCTCGAACAAATTATGCGAGGTCAGACAATTTCTCGTTCGATCGTTCATCCTGTTCCTGATCATCTTCTAGGCTACTTCCCGAAAGATACCTCGCAATGCCCTCAATTCCTCCGCCATAAGTCTTTCCTTGCCTCTCCTTCTCTGCTAGCGAAGGATTCCTGCCGGCCAAACCACATGGTGCAGCAAGCTGGCGAGTTTGTCATCACATACCCGCGGGGTTACCATGCCGGCTTCAATTTGGGTTTCAATTGCGCAGAGAGCGTGAACTTCGCTCTCGATAGCTGGCTCGAGCTTGGCCGTAAGGCCAAGGCATGCGAATGTATCAGCGATAGGTAAGTCTTAACGTTCTCCACTAAAGGTTGACATACTCAAATGGTTATCAGCGTTCGCATAGACGTAGACGAACTTCTCAAAGAACGAGCCGAGGAACAAAACCTTCCCCCCCCTCTCGTCGAGGAACCACCACCAGCGAAGCCCTCTAAAAGGTCGTCACCAAAGAAGCAAATTGTCAAGCAGGAGGTCCAGGAGGAGAATCTACCACCAATACAACCGTCCAAGGCACCGTCACGGAAACGCAAATCGGACGCGAGCGAAGAAGGCCCAAAACCGAAGAAGATTAAGTTCAAGGCGCCGTCCAAAGCTTCTACTTCTGTAGCAGGACCGTCGACTTCAACTGGCCGCTCGACCTCTAAACATCTACCAAAGGTTTCAGTTACACTTAAACTCGGGCCCCGGCCAGCGGAACCAGAATCACTCCCCTGTTGTCTGTGCGTGTCAACGAGCGAAGAGGGCCTGCTGCGTGTTCAAGACCCGCCTGTCAAGAAAGATGCGATCGAGGGTGCGAGTCACCCTAAAGTGTGGATGGCCCATGAACTATGTGCCAAAATTGTTCCTGAAACCTGGGTCGACGACCTGCTGCTCCCGCATGGAGGTAGCGAGCGGGTCGTGTACGGTGTAGATGCCATCGTCAGAGATCGGTGGAACTTGGTGAGTGTTTTTTGTTTGGTTTTTCCGTGATTTTCCTTTGCGCCGCAATCCAATGCATCGCACCGCAATTATAATTTATTTTTCTTGATTTTGGATTTTTATCATCAACGTACTCACGGTGTATTTGTCTTTTGTTCGTGCCTCGTAGAAATGCTCTGCTTGCACGAAGAACAGGATGAAGGGCCACGGCGCGCCTGTGCAGTGCACGAAGGGCAAGTGTCCAAAGGCGTTCCATGTCAACTGCGCCAAGGAAGGTCACGCTCAGGGCATTGTCTTCTCCGTCGTACGAGACGTTGAGAAGGAAGTAGTCCTCTACAATACTCCTCCGCCGACAGCTGCTGCCTGTGCTTCTGCCAACCTGTACGAGATGCCAGTCGAGTCAGATCCAAGCACTTTCACAGGAGATCCAGCGGACTTCTACGCGATGGCTGTGGACGGCCAATTGATAGGCCCCACGGAGCACCACAATTCTATGGCCGCCGACGAGACCACCGTTCTCAAGGTCATCAAGAAACTTGAGGTGCAAATCCTATGCACCCAACACAACCCGGTACGTCAACATGAAACTCAGAGACAGCATTCACGGCTCCTCTGCTTTCCATTTTCTTGCTTTCCTTGTTCGTCCATTAATCTATGCGTTCTGCTATTTGTTTATCCAGGCTGTGGCCGCCCAGAAGAGGGCCAGTAAACAAGACAAGATTCGTCAGGACCTGCTCGCACTGCCCTCGATGGCGCGAATCAAGATTCGCGTCAGCGCTGGAGTGTTCGAGGTGTCCTTGATTAGGGTCATTGAGGAGACTGGCTCGGTGGAAGTGTTGTGGGACCGGGGCACGAAGCGGGAGTTCAAGTGGGGAAGTGTGGTCTTTGGAACGACAGATGGCCCAGTTCAGCAGAAACCATCCGATATACTGGCATATGCGGAACAAGAACAGATTCATCTCCAACATCAACAGCAGCACCAGCAGCAAGAACGTAAGTGTGTTATTCGAATTCGGTGTGGGATCGAGGTCGTTTGATGGTTTGTACTTACGGATGTTTCTTTTTTGGCCGTCGTTTCATTGCGATTCCTTTTGGTTCGTTCGCAGGTCCTCCGAGTGTTCTGCCCGTGAATACCTTCCCATCCGTGTCAGCTGCTACGGCACAGCGACACTCATACAACCAGACCTCTTATGCTCTAATCGCACCGGCCCCCTCTTCTTCCGCAATGCCGCTCAACCGTTCAACGTCATCCTCCTCAACAACACCGGCCACTCAGCCTGCCACGAACCTGAACCACCAGGCGTATGGGAACAGAACGGCATACACCATTCCGGCTCGCACGGGGTCTTACGATTACTGGGCCTACGCATCTGCAGCCGCAGCTGCGCAATACAACAGTCAGGCGTACGGATACCCCTACAGCGGGTACTATGCTAGCGCAGGAAACAGCACGAGCGCTGTAGGATCCAAGCACTATAACCCATATGCGTATGCTCAGGCCTACGCCGCCCATTCATCAGCGCATGCTCAAGCCTATCGCACAGGTGCTGGCGCTGGCCAGCCATTGAATTGGCAGCAGCCTTATCAGGGGCCGCCACAATTGCAATCGCAAACTCACCCACAGCAGCAGATGCAAGGTCTGGCCCAAGCTCAGGGCTCGAGTTTGGGGGTAGCTGCAGTTCGGACGAGTTCTGAGGCCGGTCACGCTTCGGAGAGTTCGCAAGCTCCTCACGAGTCTGGCACGCAAGCGTCGTCTTCATCTTCGTTTCGGCGTGATGCATCTCAGCAGGTGACAACACCCCCTTTCGTGGATGGAGCAAAGTCGACCCCTCAGTCCACTACACCCTCTGACGAGCAGTCTCAGGGTCGACTGGAGATGAATACCGCGACGGAGCCTGCAAGTGCGGGTGCGTCCACCGTGCACTCTCCCAATACCGTGGTGGCCCTTGGAGCACAAGTGTCCTCGTATCAAGACCTTGCTACGCTTGCGTCGCTTCCGCCTACCCAGATCGCTGATATTTTGCGAGCCAATCCCCAGTTGCGGGAGATGGTAATGGCGGCGGTTGACCAGGTGAAGAAGACCGAGGCTAACCCTTGACGGATGAACTTTTCATAACTTATCTCTTCCTGGTTTCGTCTTGCTTTCAAGGTTTCACGGCTTCTACTTCGTACTTGCTTCCTCATTAAACAAATTCTCATTGTGTTTTCATCTGACTTGGTTCATTCCTGCTGTCTCATTCCTCTCAACTCCTCGTGCACGTCTTGTTATTTTATTGGCTACTTACGCTTATTGTATCGTCTAGTCTCTCCAAGCGTTGTTCAATGATCGAAGGCGGACTCATCCTCCGCATTCTGTGGCGGTGTCTGTCCATAGGTCCGCATTCATGCGTACGCCAGGTTATCTGGAACACCTGAGAGAAGCGTGGAGTGGGAAGGTCTATCAGCTATCCGACAGTTGGACTAATCGTTCTGATATCCTGTTTGTTGGAAGGCCCGTCAAGCACTGGCTAATACAGCCCTCTCTGCGCCACTTAGGCATTCACCTAGCCTTGTCCTCTAATATTCGTCCTGACGAGACATTTGACACTTGGACCAGGACGCGAATGGTGGGTTGAATTGATGCACCCTTCTCGATGAAGCTGTGGCCACCGCTTCCTGAAAAATCGTAGTGCCGCATGTGGTCTCTTTCTCGTCGATGCTTTCTTCTTTGCAGTATTGAATTCTGCGACGTTCTTTCAGGTGCATTTACAGGTAGTAAGATAATTTAATATTACAGTAACATACCATTATATAGAGCTAGGAGTACGTGCACGGAAGCAAGCACCTGCCAGTTAGTTAGTTTTGTTGACAGGGCCTGAACGTGGTATTTTGTATTCTACGTCGAAAATCCTGCATTTGAGCCGTCGTTTTAGACATGTATTAATGGAGTAGAGTGCTCGGAACTTAAGAGCTTGACAGTTAGGTGATCAGGAACAAGGACAAATCCCAGATTCCCACTAGACTCGAGGCCAATTATTTCTGTCTCCATTCTAGTAACCGAGATTAGAAGGAAACTCGCTGCTGGCGGATTACCGGTTTTGTCATACGCCACACTTCGGGGTCCGTTTCTTGGTTCAAGTTGTAGGCGCGCATTCCGCTTTAGGAAACACCGATCCCGGCTTGCAGCTGTCCATCCCGCCCTCCACAAAACACGCCAGACAACGAATATTCCAGCACTCCATGAAATAATACACGCAAGTAACTAACAAATGATAGAAGGCTCGACGAAGACGAAATCCGGGCTAACTTAGGGAGAACTCAGCTAACTTGGGAATCATTGTCTTTCCATTGACACTTTCCAATCACCCCGTGTAAGGCATTTTCCAGGCTATCTATATTTCTGCCTTTCCCGCAGCGCCGGGTACTTCTATTTTCCGCCTGAGGCGCGACAAAGGGGCTTCGCTTCTGTTCCGTTGATTGGCCTCGGAACGGAATCAAATTCCAAGACGCGAGCGGGGCATCGAACGCGTCGCCACAAGCGGTGCAACACGCTGGGCGGTAATAACTCTACTAGTCTGTGCGGTGGTCGCATACTCCACAGCTGCATGGACTAGTCAGAAAACAAATAAATGCCCAAATGATACAGAGCACGAGATTGGGTGACAGATTGACAGGCGTATATGTAAGTAATTGCGACGCACATCAACGGGGCTCTTGTCTCTTGCCTCCATGATCCCCTCGTCTTGCTAGCCCCCAATCCCTCATGCCTGCCTTTTCCAACGGATTTGCAGCCGACATTCGCAGGCCTTTGGGAAGAGAAGCTGCGGTGGCTCTCGACGCGCTCCAAACCGCTTATTACGATCTCAGCACTGCCACTATCGCGCGGGATGCATTGACCGCTAACCTCTGCTCTGGTGGGTGCTTGGAATGACGAGGGAGAGTGTTCTGTAGCTCATGGATTTCTCTGCGGGACCAGCTGCTGCGTTGGCTTGGGTTGTATATGACATGATTCTATGCTTTGGAAGAGAGGTGAGGGCTCTTTTTTATGCTCGTTTGCGTTGTATTCTCACTTGACACGTAGGTTCCTCTAGTCTGGGGGCGCTGGTTTGTGTCCTAGAACCGTAGATGCGAAAGAAAACTCCTAATCGTAGATTCAGGAAGGAACCCAAGGGTCGACATACGAGACGGCTCTACGTTCTTGTACGGTATTTCTCCGTCCTGAACCTGGCGTACGTGGTCTTCTCCACTCTTTCTCCCACCTCGAGGCTGACCCGTGCCCTTTTTTTTCAGATGGTACGTCGGCGGTAAGCACCACTCGCCTCGGGCTATTCATCCTGTGCGCCGCGGAGCTCATGCGATGCTTCCCAGTGAACACAAGCTTTGATATTACGCCCAATGTGAGCCAAGTCATGACCTCATGTCTGGTGCCCATCTCACATCCCCTTTTCTAGTTGTACGCCTCCCTTCGATGTGTTGTCTGTGTTGGCGTTCCAATTCTCAACTCCACTTCTTAGCTGCAAAGTCTGGCACTATCTCCTGGTCGTGTGAGTGCCTTTGGAAATGACTCAATTCAAGGGCTGGAATGTGCTGATTCTTTTTCTCGGCCCAGTAATGCGACCGCAATCACCCTGCTTCCGGATGCCATGATTCTCATCCGTGTGAATGCGGTGTATAACTGGAATGTCACGAGTGAGTGCGCCATCGCATGAGTAGAACGGGTGTTTGATTTCCTCTAGCGTTGGTGCTCACCATCTCGTTATTCATAAGTGGGTTTTTTTACTTCCATTCTGCATGTAGAGTTCGCCATTTGTTGATTTGGACGATTTCTTCACCAGCCCAAATGGCGGTATGTACTTCCCTTTGCTCCTGTCATTCAAAGCCCTGAATTTGTCTAGACGAGCCTAGTAATAGGCTTCCTAACTGCCGTGGACACCCCAGTAATACCGCCAGTGAGAGGCCTACAGCGGCCGGGCTGCATGTTAGCCCCATCATTGCACCATTCGAAGATAGCACTCGCTGCATGGTGCGTAATGCCTTTTCCCTATCAGCCATTCTGTCAGCTGAATGCCCAATTTCCTCGTTTGATTTCCAGGATCCCTTCGATAGCAGCACAAACGATATACTTCGTCCTCATGCTGAAGACACTCCTTCATCTCATGCGCGGGCTGGACAAGAAAGGCGCTGGTCGCGTCAACTGGGAGAATTGGATAGAGGTCAAGCGGCTCGTGCCGACTATGGTGGTGTTCATCGAGCATGGGTTTGCGTACTACGTTTTCGGCACACGTATGTTGAAGCTCACTTACAGCCCACCTGTCACGTACTGACTTGGCCATCTCTTTTTCTACCAGTGATTAAGGTCGTCAATGCTGTTCTCCTGATTGGCACGTCAGGACCGCTTCAGATGGTCGGCATTAGCTGGATGATGGCTCTCTATCCTATCGTTGTGCGTATAGCTTGCATCTCCTCTCAGTCGTCGTTGCTGTCGTTCTGAATCATTCCCCAAAACACGCAGATATGCCGCATCTACCTGTCCATGGTCGACTATCTTCATTCGAAGCGACACCGACGGCGGCACCACCTGCACGCAAACGGCCACACCGAGACGGGCTCGGAGGAAGATGTCGACTTCACGTTCAACCCGCAGGACGAACCGCCTGCCGAAGATTTAGGAAGACTTGAGTTCGCAAGGCGGAGTCGGGGCTCGTGTGAGATGCTGGAGATAGAGGGACCGCAAATGGTGGAGTTTGGAGACGAGGAATATTGAACAGCCACTCGCAGAGAGTAGAGCACACGTCGTTACTAAATTATTCGCTTAATTTATTGTGGCATGCCACACCCAAGTAGAGTCCTGGCGATAGTAGTATCAATCGATAGTCCGAGGTACATACATGGCGAATAAACATACATTGTTCGTCCACATTCTCTCTAGACCAGTTGGCACCAGACATTGCCCCACCGATCCTGCGCCGTGCCCGTCAGCCCCCCAAACTCATCTCCATCCGCGCTGTCGATGTAGCCCACACCATAGCTCGCCCCCGCGTTAAAAGTGCTCGTGGGGCACTTGATACCTACGAACGGCGGGCAGGCGCGGTCCATGATGTTGCACTGCTCTAGGCACGGCAGGAGTGCGGTGTACGGCTGCCCCAGCTCCGGCATGAACTCGTTCCTTGGTGGGTCGCGTGTCTCCACGGGCACGAGCGCCGACAGGACCTGCTGAGCCACCTTGGACGCGACGATGCCCGTCGCGGACGGTTCAGCGGGCACAGACGTGAACCCGTCAGGGTTGGCAGGGCTCGCCTCAGAACACCGAGGCAGTGAAACAGCGCACAGCCAGCGCCGGTACTCGCGTTGGCAGTCGTCGCACCCTTTGAGTGGCGAGTACCAGTCGCGTCCGCACGCGAAGGTGCTTAGCACGTGTGTGAAGTTGGCGATGTAGGAGATGAGAGGGTCGGTGAGGGTTGATGGGAGGTTGGCGGCAGTGTAGGAGGTGCTGCCGGCTGGTGGTGCGGGTAGAGGCATGCTGTAGGCCACCCCAGGACAGAACGGGAGGGAGTGCACGAGTGGACACAGGAAGGCGGCTAGAAAACGTTGCAGTCAGCCATCGGCTTTGCGGAACAGCGGGAAGGAAGTGGAACTTTGATTTAGTTGGAAGAAGGTTTGGAAGAAGTGAATACACAGGCTTCGAAAAAGAAACTGTTTGGCTCAAACACTTTGCCGTCCAGCTCCAAACGCAACAGTAGAAAGAAGTTCTCGTCACAATGATTCACCGCCGCTAGCAGCTGATGTATATGCTTTGAATTGTTCAGAGAAGGTTCTGCAGTCCAAAGGCAGTCTTGCGAGGGAGCCACCTCAGGGTCCCTGGAGCAGAAGAAATTGTGCTCAAAAGTTGGGCAGCAAATAGTACGGGACACAGCTGCCTGCACCTGGCCTGCTGTCTTATCCTGGATGCTCTAATTCACCAGGAGAAGAAACAGAGTGGAAGATACGTAGCATGGAAAGAAATCGTGTTCTCAAGTTCGCTACCATGAGACCCTCTACCATCGCTAGACGAAACCTCACAAAAAACAAAACGAAATGAAATGAAAGGGCATGAAGGAACAGCAAAACACGAGTGATAAGACGACGAACCTGATTTCGTTGTAAAATATATCGGGCCGCTAACTTTCGTGCTATCCTGAATGACGAACGCCGTGTAGTTCGTTGACGGAGTGAGGCCGCTTAGCAGCCATTGCGACCGGTACCCTAAGATGTCGCGAGCCCAAACCATTTGCTCGTCGATGGCGCCAGTAGTCGTCTGAGATGAGAGGAAGCAGCCCGTCCTCGGGCCACCCGTGATTGCTCGCGAGGTTTCTGTTACAATCAAGGTCATGTTCGGAGTAGATGAAGGTGGAGGTGGTTGCGACATGTTGGCTGCCGGTAGTGTGTAGTTTGGATATGAAGGTACTGGGATATCGAACTTGGCAAATGGGGCAGATAGTACAATGGCTTGATTGGAGGTTGTATCGCCGAGGAATGGTAGCGTTATGTTTTGGTGTAGTGGCTCTGGGGAACAGTCAGAAATACGGACTCTTGCAGGTGAAATCCTGCGCACCTGCGTTTGTGGACAGCCCGACGTCGAACGAAAATCCGTCGCTGTCGCTACTTTGGACAGATAGTAGCCCTCCGTTTGGAAACCCGCCCGTCCAGCTTCCTAGTCCATCCACCATCTTGATTTCGAAAACATTTGTCCCTCCAGCAGGCCCTGGGTCACTCTGACCGTCGGAATTGCTGATATTGGATACAAAGAAGCGCGGTTGAGAGCTCGTCACTGAACATAGCGCTATGCTAACAGCAAGACGTTCTTCCTGGGGAATTGAGAACGACGGAGGGTTTAGCCTGAGGGTGTTGAAGGAGGCAACAGAGTCGAGTGTTAGTTGTTGTCGTGCCTGTGCAAATGCGAAGGTAGCGCTTAGGAGACATAGAAGAGATTCAGGAAGCATGGCCCTAAATTGCCCGTCGTCGTGGCCGTCGTCGAAGAAGTCGCTGTGGTGAAGCACTGGAGCATATTCAACGCTTGGCTGAATTATGTAAGCAGATATGAGTCTTTCCCTCAAACCACCACCATGCCGTACGCTTTATTGAAGTCTCAATTTAAGCTCATCATATGGATGGGATCGTTCAAATGTGGGCATTCTTTGAATTAAAATCAATTAATCTCAAGTCTTTCTGTCATACCAACTAGGATTCTCCTTATTTCAAGACGAGATTCCTCGCGAAAAGATGGCCCGTTCGTAAGGCAAAGTTTCTGCTATAGGAACCGGACCTTGCCAGTAATCAGCCAAATCCATTGTGATTCGTCATTATTCGTGGATATGGGCGAGATGCCGCGAACTTCAGCGTTGGTGAGACTGATTCTTGTTTCTCACTGTTCATTGACGTTCACTAATGTTCTTTCAGGTCAAGGGCATGTAATACTCTATGTACGAAGAACACCCCAGCCAGAAGATTTATTCGCGGATTTTGCGTGAGATCACTGTCGGTGCGGGATGCCCCTGTCTTTATGAGCCTTCAACATACACCACATTCTTGATGAGACATGGTTTGCCTTCATCAACAAACGTGATGTTCCATATCTGCAAGCCGTGCACCTTTCTCGCGTCGATGTTGTTGCAAATAGCCTATCAGCCCGCTATCTCGAGTCCCTTCTGCAAGACGCTCCTCAACTGAGATCACAATACAACTATATCATCGTGGGAGGTCTGTTCGTTCCCTGCCACCTCTAACAAGACAGTAATAGACCCTCTAGCTGGAACAGCAGGCAGTGTACTTTCCAATAGACTATCAGCGATCAAGAGGGCATCCGTCCTAGTGATTGAGGCTGGTGGAAGGTGCGTGCTCTAGATGTTGAATGGAATCATTGTAGTGATCATTCCCTACCCTTCACCAATCCAGGCAATTGCAATCCCTTTCCTAGGTGTCACTTTACCAAGGACTTCGGTTGACTGGAACTACACCTCGACGCCACAAGAAGGTTTAAATAATCGCATCCTGCAGTATGCTCATGGCTACGTCCTCGGCGGAAGCAGCTCTATTAGTGAGTCTAACCGTAGGGCGTTGTTGCAAGACGCTTAAAGCACTCCTCGAAGATTTGATGACATGGAATCGGGGCTCAGATGACACGTGGGATCGCTTCGCAAAAATTACTCAAGACTCGGGATGGTCCTCAAAGTTGATTCAGAAATACTACCTCAGAATGAGTGTCCATCGCTCTTCTGTCATTCCGCAGCAAATTAATCGGACCCACGAAAGGCGTCCAAAATGGACCCTCTTGCTGACGGTCACGACACAACGGTCGAGTTCGATCCTTCTGCACATGGCAATGGCCCCCTCGAAGTCAGTTTACCTGGATTCCCGACCCAGCTAGAGGACAAGGTTTTCAGGACGAGCCAACGGCTTGGAGGAAGGTTTCGACGTACGGTAGATTTGAATGCAAGAAAGGCGGTCGGAACCAGTGCGTGCCCCTCCTTTGTGTTGGGCCTACGTCGCAGAATCCTGATTAAATATTCAGGCTGGATGCAATCGTCAATCGGGCATAGCAAGCGTAGCTACGGCCTACCTCGAGCCAATTTTCCGGTATCGGGCTCTCCGGAGACCTCCGCGCCTTAGGCATCACACCAATACTCGACCTTCCCAGCGTCGGACAGAACCTCACAGACCAGCCATTCGTCCCAAGCTACTTTACTGCCAACTCCAACTTGACCTTCAACTCTGTTCTAAGGAATCAAACTGTCTTCAACGCCAACCTAGAGCTTGGAGGTTCATCTGCAGGACCTGGCTCAGTGCATATGGAATTCATCTTCATCGTGAGTTAGTTCGCTAGACTGGCATGACTCCGTAATAGCTGACCAACCGTCGTGCTGAAAGGATGGGTTCGGAGCCTTTGGACCTCTTACCCAGCCTGCAACTAGAAATTTCCTGACGGTAGCGTCAATTGTTGTCTCTCCGCTTTCGCGTATGTACTTGATCTTCACTGCGTATCGGAAAGTGCCTTACGCCCCAGCCTCAGGTGGCAACCTCTCACTCGCCACGACAAATCCGTTCGACACTGGCGGTTCTGACGCACGAATTCGATGTTGGGGCCCTCGTTCAATCGATGAAGGACGCTCAGAAATTTGTCTCCGCTTCTCCTTGGAAGAGCTCGAAGCCGCGCACGCGAGGAAGTTTTCGACTATTTTCCACCATCCCGCCGTACGGCTGCCATGTCCCCCAAGAAAGCGACCCGCGGCGTCGTCGATCTGTATTTGAAGGTCAAGGCTGCGGAGATGTTGAGGATTGTCGATGCATCAATTTTTGTGGGTGCTTCCCCGACGCCCATTTGCTGGACGATGCTGATGACGCGCTTTCGACTAGCCTGTCATTCCTGTGGTACATACGCAAGCTGCTGTGTGCACAGTAGCAGAGCGTGACGGAGATCTCATTCTCGGGTCTCTATGACGAAGCTGAGACCCCATTGAACGAGCCCTATCTCTCTGGTTCTAAAATGATATCGCTGAGTTTACACTCAAAGACAACGCAAAGGAATTTCCCAATTTCTTTAAATTTTAGCCTCTTCTTGCTTTCGTCGACATGCCACAGTGATCCAGTATTCGTGATTTCTCTCTTTCAGGTGTTCGCGGCCAAAGAACTCGTACCCACTCTCGCTCCTCGCTTTTGTCGTGCCTACCCGGCTCAACTACATGGTATTCTAGCGGTCGGTCTAATCGCTAGCGATCTCCACACCTAGAAACGACTTATTTCAACGCCGCGACTTTGGCCCCGCCCTTCTCGGAGTCATGCAGGAGACCACAATATATCATTTACCAGTGATCCCGAGTATTGAAACTATTTAGTCTTTCTCCTGATGCCGGGACGAGACAGGTTGCAACAGAATTTTCATCAAAGAAAACCCTTCTAGCATGGATTTAGTAGCACTAGTATACCGGCATGCGGGAGTTGCCCCCACCGTGATCCCCACAGTTTTGCCCGCAGCTTCCAATCCGCACATACACTCTTTACCTAGGTATAAAGGAAGTTAAGGACCAGCCGGACTTTCCTCAACAACCTCGCAGTAGCGGCGATGTTCTCTTCCCAGAACCCGAGCGTCTTCCTTGCGTTTGCTCTTCTCCTTCTCAGATCTCAGCCGTCAGAGGCGAGGTTATTACAAGATGCCTCCCAATTGCGGGCACAATACGACTATATCATCGTCGGAGGTTAGTCACCGACTTTCCTAACACCTTCTCCAGGAAATTCGCTGACACTCCTTCTTCACTAGCTGGGACGGCAGGTAGTGTTCTTTCCAACCGGCTTTCAGCAGACCCAAAGACATCCGTCCTAGTTATCGAGGCTGGAGGAAGGTGAGTATTACAAAGGGCACAGATCATGTCTACCATTGATCATCCTGACCCTCAACTTGAACTTCACCGACAGTCCTGATGCCATCCAGGCGATTGCCGTCCCGTTTCTAGGTGTCACTTTACCAGGGACCGCGGTCGATTGGAATTTCACCTCGACGCCTCAAGAGGGGTTGAACAACCGCATCTTGCGGTACACGCGTGGCTACGTCCTGGGCGGTAGCAGCTCCGTCAGTGAGTAGAATCTCCATCTCGTTTATTCATCGTCGGACATGGCCTCACAAAACATGTTTCGAAGACTTGATGGCGTGGAATCGTGGTTCAGACGACATGTGGGATCACTGGGCGAGAATTACTCAAGACGCCGGTTGGTCCTGGAAGGCAGTCGAGGAATATTACTTCAAAGTAATCGTTCCTTTCAGTCCTATGCGTTCTCAACTCAATATCATTTTCCCCGACAGACTTCCAGAATAGTACCTCCTGCAGACGGCCACGATACAACTGGACAATTCGTTCCTTCGGCGCACGGCAACGGCCCCGTAGAAGTCAGTTTACCTGGATTCCCCACTCAGCTGGACAACAGGGTGATCAAGACCAGCAAGCAACTCGGAGGGAGGTTCCACCACAATATAGATCTGAATGCCGGAAAGGCTCTAGGATTCAGTATGTGTTACTCCGTTTCCACCGTCGTCCCACTGCATGCTGACGTTCTGACGAAATAATTAGGCTGGGTCCAATCGTCCATTGGCCAGAGCAAGCGTAGCAGTGGAGCCACAGCCTACCTCGAGCCCGTGTTGAATAGAACGAACCTTGACGTTTTGACGAACACGATTGCCACGCGCATTTTGCCGTCCAAGAAAAGTCCATTGACTTTGAACATCGTGGAGATCGCAACTTCGGGACAGCCCTCTAGTACTCAGCCTTCTTCGTTGTTAAATACTAATGTCTAACTTCATACTTAGGCGCTCGTCATAATATCACGGCCACCCGGGAGCTCATCGTGTCTGCAGGCGTCATCAATACACCTCAGCTCCTCTTGCTTTCCGGAATTGGACCCTCCTCCGCCCTTCGCACCGCTGGCATCACGCCTATCCTTGACCTTCCTGGCGTTGGGCAGAATCTCACAGACCACCCTTTCATCCCTAACTATTTCACCGTCAGCTCAAATGCGACGTTTGACGACGTTTTGAGGAATGAAACCATCTTCAGTGCAAACCTGGCTTAGTACATGGCATCCGGTCAGGGTCTGTTCGTCATTACAGCCGCCAACACACAGGCTTTTATGCGTTTGCCCAAGAGCTCCCCACTGCTGAAGCGGTTTGGCGACCCCTCATCAGGACCTGGATCAGGCCACACAGAGTTCGGCTTCATGGTGAGTTGGGCTAAGTATTCCAAGGATGCAGTTTAGTAACATTTGACAATGTTCACCTTGAAAGGATGGATTCGCCGCTTTTGGACCGCTTCCCCCGCCTGTGACTGGGCACTTCCTTACGCTGGCGACAGCAGTTGTCTCTCCCCTCTCCCGTGTGTATATTTTCTGTCCTCAGGAAAGGCGGATCATCTAATTCCCCTTTCTCAGGTGGCAACATTTCGCTCAATTCAACGAGCCCGTTTGACAAGCCCCTCATCGACCCGGCTGTTTTAACACATGAATTCGACGTTGGGGCAACCGTGCAATCAATGAAGGACGCCCAAAATTTCGTCTCTGCCCCAGCTTGGGATGGGTTCGTTGTGGCACCATTCGGCGACCTCGCGCAGGCGACGACTGACGAGCTGAAGGTCGCATACGCGAGGAAATATGCTACCACAGTCAACCACCCCGTTGGTACCGCTGCAATGTCGCCGAAGAAGGCGAACTGGGGCGTCGTCGATCCGGATTTAAAAGTTAAAGGGGTGGAGAAGTTAAGGATTGTCGACGCGTCTATCTTCGTGCGTTTCTTCCACCTCGGTTGACGTTTGATCATTAGTACTGATCGTACATTGTAAACCAGCCTGTCATCCCGGAGGTACATCCGCAAGCTGTGGTCTACACAGTAGCAGAACGCGCAGCGGATCTCATTCTCAGGTCGCTATGACAAATTCGTACCTCTTTTGTTGTAGTCCTTATAGTCGAAACTGATGTACGAATTTGAACGATAAGGTCAAGGCACCTCCAGATTGCTCTACTTTTCCTAGGATTACTCTCACACCCATCAACGGGTCTAGCGCCGCGCCACTTGATTTGTCTGTCGTCGGCTCAGCCGGCGTTGGAGGAGACCTCAACGGAGCTTCGACACATCGCGTCCGTACTTGCGAAACCATTCCGATGGCCCCCAATAAACGGGCCATATTACACTTTCCTAAATGGTGTATACGATGAGAGGAGCTTCATGTATTGAACAGAACAAAGCCCAGTTCGCATTCCTGATAAGGTAAAACTCCAAACCCCTTTGTACGAGACTCAATTGAAAGGAATGGAGCGCAACGCGTACGCAAAGCGCGTCGCCCGCTCGTTTGCTGTGGCACCGCCCTATAAAGTCGAGGATTCCGTCAACTTTTACTCCTTCAACCAAAGCCACATCTCGCCTACTTCTACGCCTTCTCGCGAGACCATCCAAAACTCTCCTGCGGAAAGTCCAGAATGTGCACCGGCGTTAAATACTGCACCAAGCATAGTTGCTCTCACATTAGTTATGCGACACACATCTCCATCGTGCGTATTTCTTGGTTTACTACAGCTTGAAGGAGGTTGCTTATTATCCACTAAACAGTCCCACTGCCAACGACAATCGTGCCCTACCTCTCTGTACAACGGAGAAGGGAGCGAATTCGAGTGGGAAGAGGACGTGATGTACCCCATTGATATCTCCATCTCCGAAGCTAATAAGGGGTACGCGCATTCATTTCTTATGCCAAACCATTAGATCTGCTGATACTAATATCGCACTTTAACAGCCCGGAGACTCCCAGAATCAAGTATAAACGTGTATTCCTCAGAGGTGGAGAATGCGAGTCGTGCCGCGGCACGTAAAGGGCCCATTATCTCAGCACCTTTCCTTGAATTTTGGGAAGAATTACATGTTTATATATGAATTCTCTGGTATGGTACAATATTAATGCACTCTATGGTAGATGTTCTGTTAGTGTTACTCTATTGATCAACCCTTTTTCCTCCGTCTCCTGGTGGCTGTCGCAGAATGTCTGTCGCTGTCATCGAGTTCTCTAGAATTAGTATGAGAAATGATTCAAATTGCCTTCCAGTGAGATTTTGTTATGAAACGCAAGGTAGTAGTAATAAGTACGACGAAGTAGTGGGCGCTTACTCTCGAGATCAACGAGTGCGATGATCGGACGATGGGGATCAAGAGTGCGCTTAGTCATCTTATGTGGCGCATAGATAACCTCTTCTGCGGGTACCGGTCAGACGGCTGCCACGCTGACTGAAATACTCTCGAACACCATAGTATACCCGGATATCACCTATGATTCATCGCTCCAGTGACAAGACCTTAAATGGGCTTCAAAGCGTGTAGGTACACCCGGCATCTGAAGAGGGGAGGCTTACGCGCTAGAGGAAATACCGCCGGATCTCCTAGCTACGCAAAGTTATGCTTTTGAATTCGGATAGACTTCTTTTGGGCCTCCGATAGCGTTCACCTCGCCCATATTCTCCAATTTTACCAGCTACCATAACTGTTATGATTTCTTCCTCATCCTGAAGACTTTGCCAGGGCTTTATGTTTCGTTTCGCACTCATTTATTTTAAGCCATATAAGGATGAAAGTGACTAGCGAATGACTTCCCGCATTTACGTCTATACACTATTAATCGATCAAGTACATATGATCTCTTTCGCCATGGCCGGCGCTAAACACCAAATGATAGATAGTTCACAGGGAACGAATAGAGTATATCTCTTGCGCCACCAGTATGCGAGCGCTGGGAGGAATATTATCATTAGCTCTTCAAGTGAAGTTGTGTGCAATGAAAAGGAATGAAGCCAGTCCATATTCCATCGATCTATCATAGAATACAGTAGTTCCTCAAACCCGTTCAAATCATCTGGTGGCGTTTGAGTCTCCTAGGCCTTCCAGTCGCAGCCTGCGGGAGCAGGGGGAGATCTTGAGCTAACCTCATGGTAACGGTTATGAACCAAGGGGTAGATCGTTCTGGAAGCCTTAGACGCCAGCTTCTCCCTTATCTTGAAAACTCTGAGATGGTGTGATGTAGCGTGCCAGCAAAGGCGTCTCGACGAATCAGTGGCTAGGATGAGATTATGTACTGAATGAGGCGGTGATGGGTTTAAGTGGGCGATGAGCAACTGAAACTTGAAGATTCCGCTGTGTATCAAATCCCTGGAGGCCCATTGGAGGGTTGATGGAGAACCGTGAGAAATCAGTATTACGTCATTCCGGTGTCCAGCCAATGCGAGGGCGCCATCATTCACGCCACAAACGGATCTCCAACTTCAGTCCACAAGTCCACAGTGCACTTTACCGGTACCGTTCATGTGGGCCTTCCTCCTCTCTAACGTCCTAGACTCACACGGCCATCTCGAAATTTACGTCTGAAACCTTGGAATCGCCAAGATATCGCCCATGGCTCTCATCGCTAGGATTTCGCGACTTTTGGGGACCCTTTCGCCGAGGCACTCTCCGGAGGTGCAACCGTCCGAGCTGACATACCGGGCTATTGTTTGATATCTGGCCCTAGCAACGCACCTACACTCCATTGGTATACGAAACAACGTCTTGAGCGGTCAAGAATAGCTCCTTCATAGGTTAGGCTGTGCTCGATCGCTGTTGACTCTATCGCGGCGGGCTGAAGCTTGGACCAGGCGTTATGTAAAGTGAGTTTTTTATACTTACCCTTCGCCCACGGAAATCTCACTAGAATCCTCCCTACGCCTCTCTAGTAGGGCTTTTTATGTGGGTCAGGATCAGCCTTGGCTTGGGCGCTGATGAACTGTCGATGGTTGAACAAAAAAAGATGCCCAGCTTCAATTGGAAGTTCATGCCGAACCTGTGTCATTTTGTGGCCAATCAGCGTGCACATACACCGCGCAAGATATTGACGAATCGCATTCGTCAACAAAGCGAACGGCCATTTCACTGCCCATTGTGTGCTGCCCGCAATCCCCGAGCGGCCGTGCCAGGGCTCTCCCGGCAAGATCAGGGTGAATAACCTCTTCTCCGGCTGTGTGGGTGACAGAAATGATCTTATGCGGCAGCATTTTTGACGCGTGGACCAGCGCGTATAAAACGGATGAGCCATTTGTGCTGGGACCCCACCTTCCCTTCCTTCCCTCCCCCTTCGCCAGTTTTCTCCTTGTGGGAACTTAATCAAGACCTTTACGACCAAAAGACATGATTTCGTTCGCTGTTGCTTTGGCTCTCGCCACCATCCCTTCCGCCCTCGGCGCTACATTCGAAGTTCAAGTTGGAGCTAATGGTCTCACCTATACACCCGAGTTCGTCAACGCGGTGCCTGGCGACATCGTCAACTTCACTTTGTCTGTATCTTGCTCTCCTTCATGGCTAAACCGCGACTGATGAGTGCAATTCTGTTCAGTTCTCCTAAAAACCACACGGTTACGCAGTCAAGCTTCGACACACCGTGTGTTGCCGCAGCCGGTGGTGCGAGGACTGGTTTGTAAGTTTGGTGCTTTTCTTCTGGATCGTGATTAAAGGAGACGCTTTGTAGCATTCCTGTTGCCCCTGGTACTTCGCCTTTGCCAGTCAGGCAATTCATCGTCCCAGAGAGCACCGCCCCCATTTGGTTCTACTGTGGTCAGACCGCCCCAGTGAGCCATTGTGGCTCAGGCATGGTCTTCGCGATCAATCCCCCAGCGGAAGGCGACCCGCAGTCTTTCAGCGCGTTCAAGGCGCGGGCTCAGGGTCAGGCAGCGCCCACTGACACTACGCCACCAGCATCTACCACGACACCACCCGCAACTAGCACGGCGGCGCCCCCAACCGGCACCCAAGCTACTGAGCACAAGATCGTTGTTGGTGGCCCGAACGGCGAGCTGACCTTCACCCCGTCCAACATCGCCGCGGCCGTTGGTGATACCGTCCTGTTCGAGTTCCATCCGAAGAACCATACCGTCACCCAGTCGAGCTTTGCACAGCCCTGCTCTCCATTTGCAAGCGCTGCAGGAGCTCCTGGCTTCCGATCTGGCTTGTAAGTACATGCGTGCTCCTTCATGCTCGGGAAGGTTTCATAACTGACGTGCATACTTGTGATATGAACAGCCAGTTCGTTGCTCTTGATGCCACGGAATTCCCAACGTTCTCGCTTTTGATCAACGATGTACGTCCGACATTGGCACCATCTCTGAACTTGTTCTGATTTGTTCCCGTATTTTCTGCAGACTGAACCCATCTGGGGCTACTGTGGACAGAGAAGTCCCATCAGCCACTGTGGCGCCGGAATGGTCTTTGCCATCAACGCCGTCGAGTCAGGAGACAACAACTTCGCTGCCTTCCAGGCAGCCGCCAGGCGTGCTGAGGGCGGTAGTGCCTCCACTGGAACTCCCTCTGCCACCACCAGCCCGGCTCCCACTGGCGGCGCCCTATCCACGCGGGCGAGCGTCGGCCTTACCGCCGGCCTGGTCGTTCTCGGTTTTGTCGCTACCTTCCTCTGAGTATTATAGGCTGCACGCCTTGTCGCTCGTTGGTTATTGGACACCATATTTAATTACAAGTTCCCGAGTACATCTCCCGAGTTCAAGACTCGTATTAATATACGTACTGTGTGCCCCCAGCGCCCTCTTTCATGACACGTCGCACACTGGACCATCATGTTTCTGAAATTGCCTCACCTGTCGCGATCACGGAAGGGGAAGTTACATACGTCTTCTATACGGAATGGGTAGGCCATGCTGCATGGGGTTTACAATGCCAGTCTTGTGACCGAAGCATGAGTTGACATTGATATATTTCCTGAGATCGACAGAACTCGAACTGAAATTTATCTCTCTTCTCTCGAACGAACATGTTATGCCAGGGCTTCGAGGCAAAGAGAAACCGACTGCACTGTACAAACACTGTTCTGCCCCATCCTAGGACGAGAATAACAGTGCGTGTCTTCCACACCTAAAGATCAAGAACTATTGTTCATTCCGTCTCGTTAATTTCCATCCATGCACAGTTGACCGTATCGATTCCTCTCCCGAATCCTCAGGGAACATCGGCTAGAAAGACAACATGAGCTCGTCAGACATTAGCTTTACAGTCCACGAAGCACTGACCAAGAACTTTTTCTGCAGAATCTCCTCGCACGTCCAACCCGCTTCCCTCGCTTTGCTAAAAAACTCCATATCTCTGTGCGCAAGGTGCGGACGATGGTGCGTGTAGAACACGAGGACGCAGGGCTCGAGCACGTTTGTGGGCGTCTTATCTGAGAGCACGAGTTCACAGGTCTTCAGCAGGGCATCGTGCTGAAATCCACAGTCAGGGAAGGGGTTCCGCTGAGAATAAGGAGACGCACTTGTGAGTGGCTAAAAATGAGATCGGACAGAATGACGAGGTGGAATTTATGAGACCTAGAATCCGGAGGTAATGCGTCTAGTAGAGGCTCGACAGCATGCCCCCAGATGTATCCCTGAACTCAAAGAGCGATAAGATAACGAAACATAAGAGAAGACTGCTGTACTCACCTGAATGTCAACACGGCCGATGAGCTCTTCCTTCACATTCTCAGACATGTTGTGCTTCATGTTATCCACCAGCGACTTGTCCGGATAATCTGTAACCACGACCTGTTGTCGCGGCCATTCAGAGAACCCGAAAATCTCCCATAACCCGATACACACCTTCGCAGCCCCATTATTTGCGGTTACAAGACTCGGAAGTGCGCCCCCAGCGCCGAGCTCGAGTACATGCCGACCCCGATATAGCTCAGCATTCGCGTCTAAAAATGTCGCGAGCGCGATGGCTGCATTCCAGCTAGAAAATTAAGATCCTAGATCAGCCTGTGCACACCCCTCAACCTGCATCGCGTACGCACAGATGGTGGGCCCATAGTGGGTGTGAGCCAACCAATCTAATCTTTAACTCTTTCCAATCCTCCTCGCTGTGGATGTTCGCTTCATCGCGCGTGTAGATCGCGGTGGTGGGTTCAGGTGTGGGTGGCCTCGGCGGTTCCTTTCGCGGGTTAGCCGAGGATGGTTATCCGTGGAGACATCGCAGACAGACTGTAAATACTGCCTCGAGGTCGAGTGCTTCGTCGTCAAAAGACATGGTGCGATAGGATATTGGAGGTCAGAGGAAAGTTTGGTTGTGACCTGTGACGCGGATGAACAGACGTGACAACTTTCCGGGCCGGCCAGAGTCCCGGACCTATGCGTACTTAGGTGAAATCTGCCTGCTAAAACGTAACTTTCTCTTGAAGAAGACGACCTGCGAATGCGATTCGTGTAATTATACACGTCGCTAGTCTTGGAGAAACCTATTTACAGTTAAGTTCGGTCAAAGTTGTCCTCAAGTTGGCCTAGGACTCCAAACCCCACTGCAGAGTAAGAACAAAATTTAGTCTATTCCATATCGTTTTCAACTCTATTGTTCGTTGTAAGCACATGCACAGCAAGGTCCTGGGAAATCCTTTGAGAGCGCTCTAAAGTACTTAATTTTACGGATTCGATTAGGGTATGGTCTTGAGTGCTAACCGAGCTCTACATGAATTTTGTACTGAGTTCATTACAGGACGTCCCCCGTGCTGTTGTTGCTAAATTTCGAATAATTTCGACGTCTTTACACGATATTCTCATCGGATTTAAATCACAGTGGCATTTGAAGGCGTTCGGACAGGATGCAAAACACTTGCGAAAATAGACGCCCATACTGGCCCGAGATCCGCGGCGTACGTTGATGTATATAAGTTGGCAGTGGAAGTCATATGTGAGAGTCACCAGGAAAACCACCAATACCCCCATCAAATAAGAGTGCACTGGCGGGTAACTCGAGGTCTGCAGGCGTTTCAAGCTTCTTGTGGAATTTCTTTTTTGCGTTAAAGCTGAGCAATTCGTCAGTGCGGAAGTCTAGCAATGAGAACGACTGAACAACGCACAGAGCCAATATAGAGTTGGCATATACTGGGCAGAGAATCAGAGAGGAATATCGCGGCTGTACGATAGAGGACTTACATCTTGTGATCGAGAACTCTACGCTGATGTAGAGCATGCTATCCGGGTTAAGAGCGTACAGAACGAGGAGCAGGAGAGGCGTAATCCTGGTGCCAAAGAGATATAGTATGTCTTCAGAGTATCCATGAGATCTAATTGACTCACGCTGTTAGTAACCCTGTCCCGACAAAGAATAGAACTAGGAATCCAATGATATCCACAAGTCTGTGCAAGATCGTGAGTTTCTTCTCTAATAAAGAAATTATGTACAAACCTCCTACTGTCTGGGCGGCTCTGATAAAGCACGACGGCCATCGTCACTCCAAGGATGGAATCAATGAAGGCCGTTGTCGCGAGCCCAAGGAAGATAACGTTCTGTAAAGTATTGTAAGAGTGCCAGCAGGAATGGCGGAGGATGACATACCTTTTCGGAAGGAGTGAAGTTGTGCAAAGAGCGCACTTGCTCCCTGTTCTCGAAAAGGTTGAACGCTGAACACCTGATCCAACAGTACACAGAATGCTGCCCACACAAATACAAGGAAAACTGTAAAATATGCATTGAATGATATGAGTAGGTTCTAGTCAGACTCCAGACTAGCGACGAATTCTTACCAGTTCCAACACCTATCAGCATTACGAAAGCAAATAAGTTGAGCTCTGCGCTATGAAAGTTTTCCAGACTCGTCGTACCTATACCGCAAATAATAGTGAAAGCTATTACGGTCTATATGTTGGGTGCTTTGAGCACGATTGGAAGAGGTCAATAGCAGTCATGGCTTACCTTGACAAAATGTGCAAAGACACGATTCAAGTAGAGATTGTTCGACACTAATTCATGGACTTGAATGCCAGTCATGAATATACCATTAATTTGACTTACATCTCCATATCTGATAAGTGTAGAAACTATGATGCCAATTCAGCATGATTCATGAAAAAGGGGGAACAGTGTCAGGACTAACCCTTGAACTGACATGACCATTGCGGCCTAAAAGAACTAAAGTAAGACATGGTCCGTCTTGCTGATGGGGGGATCACAACCTGCACCGTGCTAAAGGCCTTCGAAAGCATGTCATCAACGTCAAGAATGTGGATCAAGACTTCATAAGGCCGTACCTTAAAAAGTCTACACATCGCCCATTAGTCGCCCTCATATAATCAGATAAGAGAAATAGAGGAATGTACGTGATGACATTATCATCGGGATTGGGAAGATACCCATAGGATATCATCATGACATAGAGCATCTTTGACCCGATAACCATATGTGAGAGGTCGAGAGAGCTGGAGGAATGTATCCCGGGCAAGGGTGGCATCTATAAATGACCACCTATTGGCAGAATTGGGAAGACAGCCACGTACAAAATGAAGATGACCTGGGATCGAAATGAGTATTGGATTTATTCCATCAGGTCTTCGAGCACTGACGAATAGCTTTCGCAGTCTCGATTCCTTCAGGTAGTTGGTGAAATACTGATACACCTGAAGAATTGTGATGCCGAACAGGCTATTCGTCCTCGGAGATTCAGCGGCTTCCAGACAGGATATTTCGGACTCGACGTACACAGTGCCGACAATATAGCCCAGGAATAAGCCACCTAATCCTTGACCAGAGGCTTCTGAGAGGTTGTTAGACATCGTGGCAAGATGAGAGAACTGGATGCTATGGAAAATCTTGAAGAGTAATCCGTTCATTCATTCGAGTCAGTCAGAACCTCATCATTCTTGAAATCACCGCCATGAGCATAAAGCAACAGATCAACCTCGGGCAATGCATCTGGGACCTGGGTCTTGTTCGACATCATCGGCGCCAAACTTGAAGTCGGCATTACATACAGTCCCGCCTGTGCGATGAATAAGCAATATCGGATATTTCAACTACCTTAAGCCTCCCCCAATGATTGGGTAGTCTCGTACCAAGACCGTCAAATCGTCCACTCGTGGACGTGCTTATGTGAGCCTAAATGATTGGGGAGGACCAAAGTCTCGGTTGAACGTCCGTCAGAAAGCGTGGAAATCTTCTCCGGCCCGATATGATGGGAAACGCCGACGGGTCATCAAATGTCGGGAACTCCCCCTCTTGCTTCGATTATGCACATCACTCTCGCGATTTGGCCTCGAGGTCAGCCATGAAGGCGAAGATTGGGTTCATCTCTCTGATTCCCTGCGTAGTGCCCTGGTTGAGATGGTGTCACGGCCCAACTTAAAGTCTCTTCACCTCTTCCGAATCCATATGATGCCCGTTGACTTCCTGGACCACTGTGAAGGGCTAAAATCCCTTTGCATCGAAGACTCGTGGGGTATCTCCAGCAACAATATCGCTCCGAAACCCCTAGTCGGATGCCCTATCATTCCTTTGGACGAAATCCTCGTAGCAAGAAGTTCAATTCTTCTGGACGTGTTACTCCGTTCAAAAGGGAGAATTGACCTCAGCCACGTCCAGAAAGTGACTGCCGAGATTGAGGACGATCCCTCTACGGAGACGTCCTGGAAGCTGATACAGCACGCCAGCCAAACCCTCACGACGCTTGCTTTGGTGGTTAGGAAGCCGAAATTCCTGCGGTTTTTTGTGGATAGAGGTATGCTCTCCCTCCCTTGGATGCTAACTCTGACAACGAGTTTGTGTTCAGCCCAGCCGCCAGCCCTCCGTCCACTGATTACCCTGTCTTCGCTGACCCTCCTCCGAACTCTGTCTTTCTCTCTGGTGCTCAATGGCAACGTCGACCCCCAACGGCATAACCCATTGCACACTCTATGCCTCCTTCTCCACACGCCGGGCCCAATGCTCGAGGAGGTCCGTATCACGCTCGACTTTTTCGCCATGTCTCTGACCACCGTCCAGAATTGGGTTGGTGCTCCGCGCTCACGGGGTGCCGGTGAACGCCCATCGACTTTCCTTAGCGAACTCGATGATGTTCTATGCGATGCACAAACCCTTCCTCACCTGGCTCAAGCGGAACTAGAGATTATCCTCCCGGAAGCAGACGAAGGCTCCTCAGAGGATTTCGTGACAGATATGGACTATGAAGGAGATGACAAGGTCGACGCATGGGAAGCGAGGAGACTCCCAACCGTGTACGAGCTGCGGCGGAACTTGAAGAAAATGATGAAGCAGACTCATAGGCGATTAGGGAATGAGCTTCATATAGTACAGCTGGAGGTTCCTTGAGTATGAAACCTGAACTCAACTCATCAGACTCCAAATGCGTGACATACTTTTCAAAGTTTCGGACAACTGATCACACCTTCCTGAGGCTCATACACCATTCCCAGATAAATTTTGGCCAAAATAATTGCGCATTCGCGTAGATGAGAAGGCGGAGGACATGTGTTAAAGGTGGGTGGGAGAATAAAGTTTCAAGCACCTGAACAGTCCTCCTTTGACGATATCGCAGATGTTCCTCCATTTCCTCTGATACGCTCAATTGACCTATACGCTCTCGCAGACCTCATAGAACCAGCGCACGATGAAAACCCCCCTGCCGCTGAGCTCATGGTAAGCCACGATCACTACGATGCACGTCTTCCGACCTTGCCTGAGAAGCAGCAATCGATCTTTATTCGGCCGAAGACCTTCCTGGCTATTTTATCCAGGATTCCACCCCACTCCCGATGCACCAGTCCGTCGCGGTAAGGCCCCTGACAGAGGACCTAGTCTCACCACACGATGATAACCCTCACGCCAGCCGACCCGCAGAAATTCCCATCGCGATGAAGTGCACCTTCCGACCGTTCCAGCTGCAACGTCTCCAGAACATCTCTCACATACAATCGATTTGTCTTCGGCTCTTGACGTTCCGGGTTATGCGGTCGCAGAATCCATCCCTGCTCCTGTTCAGCATTCGATAGCGTTGGATCCGCTCAGCAAGCCCATTCCAGAGATACAACACGGCAATCACTCCACTACATCCTCTCACGAGCAGCCTCATGCCCGGCTACAGATGAATACCGCGACGGAGCCCGCAACTTAGTGCCGGAGCGGCGTCCACCGTGCATTCTCTTAATACCACGTTGGCCCCTGGAATGCCACAGCAAATATCCTTGTACCCAGCCCTTGTTGTGATTGCGTCGCCTCGCCTTCCCAGATTGCCGATGTTTTGCGAGCCAATCCACAATTGCTGGAGAAGGTATTGGCTGTTGTTAACGAGGCGAAGACCGATGATCACGCTTGATGGATGGAGTTTTCTTAACTTATCTCCTCCTGGGTTCGACTTGCTTTCAAGGTTTCGCGGCTTCTTTACTTGTCTTTACCTCGAAGCCCCGTGGGATTTCTTGGGCGAGAGTGTATACCTCCTTCTCTGTACATCGGGTCTAATGCTTAAGGTGCTTAATTCTCTTCTGATATTGGATATAAAGATGAGCAGGCTTCAACGTAGAAGCAAGCAGAAGTGACTCCACCTATGTATGTACGTATATGCGGCTGAGTTTTGATCCAAGTCTCAGGCTGCGCACACAATGAAAGTGGTGATAATTATGTATTGCCGCGAATTAAGAAACAATAGTTGGATAGGAGCGATTACTAGTTGCAGTCGCTGTATCTAAGCCTGAACGGTGACGGGGCTGCAGTTGACACCGACACCCTGGTCTAGATGGGAGCGCATCAGTACCGGACTGAACACAGGGCCACGGTGACGGCGAGGCGAAGAGGACTTACTAAAGACGTTCTTGTCACAGCAGACAGGAGAAGTTGAGCTACGCGCACAGTCAGTGCAATTCTTCAGCAAAGAAGTCAAGGAGAATGTACCAGGCAGCACCGGATCCAACGCCAATGGCAGTAATGGGGCTGCACTCGAGGCCAACGAGGGCAGTAATATCTTGCACCGCAACACCCACGAGGGAGAGCGCGTTAGTCGCGGCGACTGTAGATGGTGCTGCGAGGGCGCCACAGCACTGAACAAGGCCGGTGTTGCAGACGTCGGTGCTGGCTAGCGACGAAGCGGCAAGCGCGGTGGTGATGAAGACGGTGAATTGGGCGAACATTCTTCGTAGTGGTGGGGTTGGTGAACGGGTGATTTGCTCGACTGCTGAACTTGGAGAAAGGTCGAGTCTTTTATACTTTGAGAGATTAAAAAACTGGCCCCATGTCTTTAGCGAGAGCCGTATCAAATTTCTGGGCACCTTCACTTCTTTCCCGGCTCGGTCCGGAGTGTCCCGAGCCTCTAGTGTCTCTCTAGGCGGCGCTAAGTATTTCTAAATTCGGGTATTTTTTTTGCTTATGTTGGTCGGGAGCGTCCGCAAGTCGAGAAGTCGACAAACGGGAGAAAGAAGGGTTGATCTTCAAAGCGATCTTCTAGCGTCCTTCCGTCTCTTTGCCTTGCCATATTAGGCCAAGCGGTTTCCTAATTGGACCGAACCACCACTCTAGTCTTCCAGGTGGGGATACATGAGCCGAATTCGACGTTTAAGGTTGTATTAAACCATGATTTTGATTTTGAGATCCATGAGATGGAGCTTAGCCCGAGGATGTGCACCGACCTTGACAATGGGCGAAGGAGGTGGCTCGTCTCCAACATTGAGCAGCTGAGCCCTTTGAAGTTTGAATCTATGAAGCGGCTGATTTCAGTATTGGATCAGCAGTCGCGTTGATTTAGAGCGTACTAAATGAGGCCTGACAAAGACCTGATGCAGTTATCGGTTCGCTCGGGAAGAGCTTACACTAAACGTCCATTTCCCTGACTTGGATGACATAGTGGATTCTTGGTTACTCGTGCTCTCGGAAAGTTGCAATACCCTAATTTCGAGAACCTATAAAGGATCAGCAGGACCGCCATCACCCTCAGTTGAACACTCACGTCATTCACCCACCACATCCACCAGCCACCGCCTTCACCATGTTCTCCAAGGCTGTCTTCATTATCACTGCCGCCTTCGCCACGTTTGCCGTTGCGGGCTCGACCGGCGTCATCCACAAGAGCTGCACTACAGGTCCCGTCCAATGCTGCAACGTCCTCGCGGCGTCAACTTCCTCAGCAGGGCGAGACATTATCGCTGGTGTCAACGTTGATATTCACCGCGTCACTGGCCTCGTTGGCGCTCAATGCTCCCCAGTTGCTATCATCGGAGCGGGTAGCGGTGCGGCTTGATAAGTCGTCTCGTGTGGGTGACCGAAGAATGAATTGTTGAATGGATTTTGGTCTTTGTAGCGCGACGTCGCCAGTGTGCTGCGAAAGGAACTTCTCAAGTAAGTTGTAGTCCTGTTCTTGAAGGGGCTTTCTTTCGGCTGACGGATCGCCCCCAGATCAACTCGTCGGTATCAATTGCAGCCCTGTCAACGTGCAGCTCTGAATTGGAAATGAAATAAGTGATTGGTTGGAATTCCAACGTATTTTATATCTACCTTAGCACTCGCCTGTTATTAATTGGTTTGCATGTCGCCCTTGCATGAAGGCCGATTTGTGATTCGTGGACTCGTCCGACTGACCCGCCCGTCGATTTGTTTTTGTCGATGCTGAAGTCGAAGCGTGCTTTAAATGGAACGGGTGCCAATTCGTAGGAAGAAGGCGGTCGAGATCATTTCTGTCGAGCATCTGGCACGCAAGTGCCGTGTTGAAAGAGGAAGAGACGCGAAGGCGAATATCAAAGCTTCTGATCCTTCTGTGCATCCAAAATACTGAATTTCGAGTGCTTAAGCGAAGAGCATCGTTCATAAAAATTTAAGGTGGGTGTTACTGGTGTTCCAGCCCGACAATGATCGTCTCATCCCATCTAACATCCCGTGCTTGTATATAATCCCATCGTTCATGAAAGAAACCCACTGTCTTTGACCCGGTGGCCTTATTCCCCTTCAGCGACTCTTTCGCTACCCTGAGGACATTAACCAGGTCTGGGTCAGCCTTGACCTTCTCGAAGTCTTGGTGATGGGTGCGAATGCCGATGTGGTTCAGTTGCTTCAAAGAAGATAAAGAACGGAGGAGGTCCTAGCAAAAGTGATGGGTTGGGATCGTGTAATAGACTGGAGGGAGTCAGAACGTACAAGGAACAGAGGCCTAAAGTAGAAAAGGTCAAGCTTGAGGGAGCGAAGATTTGGGAGCAGCCTAACTAGTCCTGAACGAGTTGGTGGTGTCAGAAGGGTTGCAGAGACAATGAAAGCAATCGCGTACGTCGAACAGTCACTCCCGTGGCGGTGAAGCCCTCCAATTCTTCGATATCCTTGCAATGTTTCCCAAGTACGTTGTACGGCCTAATATCCTCGTTCCAGCACCCAGCACTTATCTTGGTGATTTTTGGGAAGCATTTCAAGATATCCAGGGCATACAACGGCACAATGAGGTTTCGTACTTGAGGAAATGCTTGCCCGTTGAACGGAGTCGTGTACTGAGAGTCGGTAGAGCCGTAGTAATACTCAGGCGAGAGAAGATGGAATGTGTGCAAATTGGTCATTGCCTTCAAAGCAGCCACGAGCAACGCATTTATCGCATTATCTTTCACGAATTCTATCCTCAAAGTTCTGCAACAGATCATTAGGGAATATCGAAACCCATCCACAACAGAGCATGGGCATACCGTACGTGCTTCGCAAAATACAAGCCCTCTGCAAAGACAGCGGGCTTCATATGCTCAGAAGCTTTGAACATACTGAACATCTGCCGATGGTTCACTTCCTTCCAACAACGTTCAAGAAGTAAGTAGCGCCAAATCGCACAGGTCCGGGCGAGGCTGCGTGTGGCATGTTCTTGATCTGTTCGCCGTCCTTCCCTCGAAGCCTTATTGTGATATCCAGACGTCTCAGGCGTGATCTCGTCGCTAAACCACGAGAAGATCTCCATAAGAATCTCCACAGGAAGTTGCAACATCTTGCAGTCCTTGTTGATGCTTTCGATGAGGGCGATTCTTGCTGGCGAGAGGCCTTCAGGGGCTGGATGTGCGAGTTTCATACGCTTAGGCACCATGGTTATGCCAGATACGCGCGGGGATTCTGGAAGGATGAGAGTTTATAAATGTTGGAGGGAGTCACTGAGTACGACGGGACCGCCGAAATCAGGCGCCCTGAGGATGGTCGTTTGAGTCAGGAAGGTCGGGTCACAGGTCCTGTCACGCGTCGGGTGGCGGGGCGGGATTCACGCTGATGCGCTGATGCGCCTGATGTATGTGTCCTTGTGTCATCATGCGCAATCGACTCCTAGCGAGCAACTGCGGATCGAACTCAATTCCCCGCATGAGCATCGAGTTCCTTGGAGACAAGCTGATAAACATAAGAGTGCATTTCATAGCAAGTGTGATATTTGACATGTCCATCAAGTTTCGAAAGTTTATAGCAAGTAAAAATATAGCGAGATGAAGTGAAGGAATGTCGTCAACGGGGCATAGAGCGGATAAAAGCACACGGCGCAAAGAAGCTCGCTACAAGTCGAATAGTTAGAATGCGCACGAAATTAGCAATCAAGGAGTACATTAGACAACAGGAAGGACCGAAGAAAGGGTTGTGAAGGGGATGAAATATGTTTAGAAGAGGTTTCGAAATTCAAGATGGTGACGAAGACGGATGCGACGATGCCAATGATGGTAATGCTGGAGAATTGGTATGATGCAGATAGATATGAGAAGAGTGGTGATGAGAGATAGTCGAAGCGTCCGACAATTCAACGTCTGCCCAGCGCGCTGCGCGACCACATCACGTTAGAGCCTCAACACAGGTGGACGGTGTGCCATGGTTCCCATCGCGCGTGGAGGCTGGCCAGCATCTTGACTCGCTCGGCTCCGCGTCCGGGGACCTGCTGGNNNNGCCAGTGGCGAGCGGATCGCCGACGTTGGACGCGGGCCCATGTGAAGCTGGTAACTCGTCGCCGAGTTCGGCGTGAACACCGAAGTCGCGGTCGTGGGTGTCATGCCGAACGTCGCAAACGACGGGGTGTAGCCGTTCGCGGCAGTCGCTGGGGGACTGACCACCGAAGAGCAGGCGGTAACAGGAACTGCTGGAGATGCATGTCTCGGGGGCGGAGTGGGCGTAGATCGCGTTTGTGGTTGAGGTTGCTGTGGGGGCGTGCTCGAGCGAGAGTTCGAACCCGAGGTGGTTGCCGAGTCGGGAGGGATGGAGGGAAGGCGGCGAACTGAAATAGGTGAATCTTGCGAGAATGATCCCGGGCCACGTACTGGGGTAGTTGATGTAACAATCGAGTTGTTCGTCGTCCTAGAACTTGATCGAGAAGGTGGTGGTTGTGGTGAAGGCGTTTTAGTGTACGGCGGCGGTGCAGTGGATGGGAAAGCCAAGTTAGCTTCGACACTCAGGCTGCGTTCGCGTGATGCCGAACTGGAACGCGACCCATGTGCGAGCAATTCGTGCGCGAGCTGACGGTGCCGAGAGACGCTGTCGCTGCGTGCATGAGCAGCCGAAGGCGCTTGAGCACTTTCGTGAGTGTAGAACGGCGATGGAGTACGCGAGAGACCGGGCGGCGTTGGTGGGCGTAAATCAGTTGTCTGCCCTGACGGTGTTGGATCAGGCGGTGGAACAGAAGCACCCCGTTTCGGTGGGGGAGGCATGAGAGTCTCTGTCGGGGTCATTGTTGGACTGAGCAAGGAAGATGGGCGCACGGGATACTTTGGTGAGGGGACTTGTAGGGCGGGACCTTTCTGGCGCATTGATTTCTGGCGCATCGACTTCTGGCGGCTGGGATCGAGGCGGGGAGAGTCCGGATATATTCCATACCATTCCAGGAAGCTCAGGGTAGCTGACGCTGAGTAAATCGCCACCGGAGACGGGCTTTCTCCGCCATTGCCGTGGCCGACGGTGGACGCGGTTTGGATTTGTAGGGGTGAATCGAGACTGCTGGCATTGCTGGTGAGGGAGCCGCTGGTCGACGGCGGCGAGAGGGCGGAAGAAAGGGGATGTGGGCGAATGTGGTGGGGGATACCTCCAGATTCCAGAATTTTCGATAGTTGTTTCTGGATATCTGAAGAGAAATCTTCGTCCGAGGGTTGGAAGAGAGCCGCGAGAGAGATGGGCCGAACGCTTTTCTTCCGCGTGAGGCGACGCTTCAACCCTGTTCTGATGGAGTCGCGGACGTTCTGGGGGACAGCTGACACGGGCGGCATAAGGGTCACGTCTTTGGTATCCGAGGAGGCCTGCTTGAACGAAGGATGCGGTTCGATGCCTGCACTTTGCGCCTTGATTTTCTCGATCTCCTCTGTTAACCAAGCCAATGAATCCGCATCGATGTCCTCCGGATAATCACCCTCTTCGCCATCGGTATCCTCCCAGGACTCGGGGTCGTTGAATATCCGCTCTGCGAGCGCGCTTCCTGGAATTCCGGTCGCGCACGTAAAGGGCGTCGAAGACACCAGCGGTGAGTCGAGGACATCGAGGTCGGGGTGGTTGAATCGTCCTCTGTACATGTTGTCGAAATTGGAACGGGCAAAAACGAGCGTCGTCAGAGGATTGGTTCTTTACAGTGCCAGACTGTGGGAGCGAAGTCGCGATGCCGATGTTGGAGAAGGTCCGCAACGAAGGCGCGAAGACAAAGGACAGACCACCACGGGAGGACGTCGGGAAGGGCAAAGTTGGACGGCAGAAGGCAAAGGTTATGTATATGCCCTGGCCGCTTTCAAACAGTCACAGTCTAGTGGCAACCAACACCGCCCCAGATCATCCTGAAACATTCTAGCATCTGGACCCTAGAATTCCCTTTTATAGACAAGTTCTGTCCGCTTTCGGCTAGTTCCACCGTAATTTCATTTGTTTTCGGAATTCACACAGAAATATACAAAGTCACGAACCCTCCTTGCACCCACACTCCTTGGATTCTCTCCCGGCTTTGTTGCGACCAGTGGACACTGCCAGGACTGTGTGTCCACTGCGAATGTGGGTGAGAAAACACAAGCTCCATCATGATGGGTTATGGGCGATCCGGGCTTCAGATCAGCGGCGAGCCCATTTGGTACAGCTTTCGGGGACAAGATTTTTTTTTCATTTTTCGCGCTCCCGATGGAGGACTCAACATGCCAGTCGCCCCAACGCCCCACCGCTCCATAGAATTCCCTTCTCTCTGAAGAGTTTGACGAGAGCGACATAGAAGTGTCTGAGCGACTCCTACATTCCAGGTCCCTCCGGAATTCGGAAGACCCGGCGAAACGCGCCTCTGTGCACTTGCAGCGAAGGTGCCTTGCGAAAAGCTGATCATTCGGGACTCGGGATACCTCTCGGTCATCGTGTTGGCTCTCCGTTTCGTATTTGCATTCCAATTCCTGCGAAACCCGTTACAAACAAAAGCGACAGCTAGGCCTGACGTGGAACGCAGCAGGCTCCTCCTGGATGGTTGGGTGGATTATCACTATCAATGGGATGCACACCATGACCATCGCAAGGCGTGATTACGATCGCCCTATTATGCCCTACGAGAGGAGGGCTGTCAAATATCCGCATGGTGCTGACAATCATATTAGTCAAGATTGCAGAGTTTGACTATGGGCGGCGAGTGCGGAGGATGTAGCGCAACTGAAGCGGACTGAAAGACGTCTGTGGGTTCGGGCTAGGCGCTATTTCCGTTTCGTCGGTCTAACATAGAAAACTTATATCCTCCCTCCGGGCGCATCGGACTTGCATTCTCATAGCTTCTCATTCGCTGGTACCAGTCGAGTGGATGGAGCCCAGCAACAGCAACAGAAGCGTAATCCAGCGCCAGTCCTGGTCCCTCCCTCTCCGACAACCACCCGGATCAGTGATTGTTCGGTAACCTTTGTAGGCTCCTACCCAAACAATATCATGACGGTTCATGTTCATGGTAGGATAGTGGGCACGGCGCCATCTTGATAGACGGTTGGCAGCTGCAGTAAGCCACCCGTTTCATTTCGACATGGGAGCTGACGCGGGTGTCTATTCATAGGACCGTTGTGGTCGGAAGGGAATCTGCCCTTCACTGATGGCAATCCAAGATGATTTTTATTAACAGGTACTAGTAAAGGTTCTGGTTTGGGCTTCACGAACAGAGGACTCTTGGAAGATTCGTACTACCGCTTCCGGGCTGGAAATGGAATGACCGTCAGCAGAAGACAGGCTTCTCACAGGCTTCTCCCGCCACCTTCGAGTCGAGAAGCGTCATTGCGCTGCGTCTAATTTCTGCTTTGCTTCCCGGTCTTTGTGATTTAAGAGGGATTTATTTTTAGGGTATGATTGAGAGTTCATGATGTCACACAGCACAGGCTTTCCTCGCAGCATCAAGAACCCCAAGCTTATACCAACTTGAGAAATATCCTCCACAAGTGGATCGTTTCAGCAAATCCTCTATCCCTAGAAGCCGATGTTGGAGTCCGCGGAGCCAAAAAATCTACGAGTCTCAGTCTCATCTCTTCCCACCTCATTTTGACGAACGGATTTCACTGACTCTTGGAGTCCTGCGACTATCGAATCACGCTCGGGGCCATCAAGTATCAGTGAAGCCGTGTTGAGGGCTGCGCAATCCCGTGAACCCCATATAACGCGATGTAGTCCTTCTCATCTTCGCCAGACGGACAAAGACGAGCGTACAAGACCAGGTGCGATATGGCCTCAGGTGAGGATTCGCATACGGCAGTCTCATTGTTTTCTTATTATTCCGTGGGCAGAGAAGGACATAGCGTGCGGACCACGTTCCAAGCCTCATTGATACCACGCGGGATAAATGAGTCTCCCTCTTGATCCAACTCTGGTTCCTAACCCTCTCTTTCATGGAAGGAGGTGAACAAGGCTGTGGTCACCATTCTCTTCTCTATCCAAGGCAGTCCGGCGCCAATCATACACATACCGAGAAAGCCGAGACAGAGCGGTCAGTCTTCCATCTTAAGCCAGAAATTTCCCAAGGCTGTTCTCACATTTATCTGTTTACAAAACCCTTCTGTATCCAAGGAGCGACTGCCAGAATAGCCTCGGGCTGTTGAAGGCATCCGGGCCGGCATGGGCGCCAAAAAAAAAACCCCTAGATCCCTTGAAGACTGGGACAAAAACCACTTGTATTTCATAGTATAGAGAATTTGTAGAGAATTAGTTCGAATATTTCTATCCTCTGTACATGGAGTCCTATCAATTAAAGTTCCCATTTTTCTTCCTCTGGATAATCCTCACGCGCCACCTGTGTATATCTAAGGGCGCGATGTCCGCTACGTAGCCCCATGGAAAATATCTCCTGCTCGAATAGAGTTCGACTTGCCATCAATAGAGGCAGCCGGCTGAAAGCTTGAGGCGCCCTGTATTTCTCTACTTCCTTGACCATTGTCTGATATGTGGATCTGGAGAGTCTCGCGAGACCAAACCCACAACGCGGTACGCCCCTTCGTCGAGGAAGCGCGGCCGAGATATCCAAATTCTCCAATCTCGGAAGATTGCCTACAGCGGTGTTGATAAAGAGCTCCTGAGAAGAACAAGACCATGCATAAGCGCTTAAGCTTTGGCGTTTCCGGAGTAAATTTATGCCTGCACGTACCACGATATTTTTCTGGTCCTTGTCGATATTCAAATTTGCCGTAGTCACCGTCATGTGGAGGCGGGACAATTCTTCAAAATTGGTGATAAAAGATGCATTTTTGCTGCTAAAGCACCATCTGCCCTTATTTTGTGGCAAGATTTCAAGCCACTCCAGGCTCTGTAAGTGCGACAGAAGTGCGGGACCAAAGAACTTGACTGCCATTTCATCAGAAGAGGCGTCATCTTGAAAGTTGGCCGGGATTACGCAGAGTGCCTTGAGGCCAGAATACGAGGCGAGGTATTCTAGAAAGGACTCAGTAATGAAATCGACCTTAATCTTCTCCAGCCAGATGCCTGAGGCGAGCAGGGCAGCCCAGATATCGTCCCGCGGACTTGATGTAAACTCCTTGGAAAAGGCGGACGTGTCGTCCAGGTTGCATACATCTTGCAAGTCCAAGGAAACGAGATGTCTGAGGTGGCTGAGTGTGGCTGAGTCCAGGCTGACGACGGCCCCACAGAGGCGTAGGCGCGTCAATGGCAATGGTGGGTTATTGCTAGGGAATCCCTGAAGGAGGTCCTGAAGGCTCCAATTTTTGATAGGCCCGTAGTACTCACGCCAGGGCTCTACACTGAGGGAAGAGAGGCGAGGAGAACGGGTGATTAACTTTGCAATATTGTCGATCGTCGCCTCGTAGCAATTGGCGCTGTTACATCTCCCCGACAGCGCGATCTCCGTCAGACCCTGCAGATTACGGATGGGTAGGGCTGTCTTCCAGTATCGGATATCAATACTTATCCTTGTCAAGTTCGGGAGCTCAGTTAGAGCTGCTACCACCGTCGTTTGGATCCAATCAGAGTCGCTCTCAGACGAGAACCACCTGGTTCAAGGGAACAGAGGGTAAGCCTGGAGATCGTGGAAGTGGAGTAAAAAATGCCGTCGCCCACCTAACTGATCTTACAGACTTGAGCGAGCTCAAGGCGCGAAAGAGGTACTTCTGGAGCACGCTGTCGAAAAGCGAGGGCTCGGGTGTATGGTGTTCGTTAGGTATTCGATTGCTGTCTACTGAAAGAGAACGCAGGACTAGCTCTCTGATCCCTTGCGCAGCGGCTGGGCATCCTTTGGACAGGATCTCCAACTTCTCGACGCTCGTTTCGAGGTTGGAGAAGTTAAAATCGAACACCAGCTTTCGCAGGACCTGAGCTGAGAGAAGGTATCCCAACTGCCTACAAGTGAGACGCAACTCTTTCAGGTCACCCACGAGGAGCTAATTGGGCGGTAAAAGAGAAGCGATTAATAGTAAGGAATTCGAGTTTAGTGCCCATGTACATACCTCGTCTGCAACAGCATGGATCAACTCAGGCGCCAGCGAGATAAATCCTGGGGGAGTCATCTGGGAATTAGTTCTACAACGAAGGTCGGCGGCAAGCTTATATAGTGATTCCGATCACCGCCCAATGCGCCCACATATGAGTCAGTCAATCAGGTAAGGTTCGGATCCGATCGAAGGAATGAAATAATTCAAAATTCCCTAAAAAGGAGGTTATGACTACCACCTACAAGTGTTGGGTGTTGCGGAGTACCGCAGTTGTCGCTGTAGCCTATGCTGAGGTCTCATAGTTAAATTACCACAACGGACACTCTGAAATTTTAAATCGCTCAAATGTGAGGTACACAGTACCATGGACCAGTAGCGGGCCGCTGTGTTGACAAACATTTACCGCATAATACGGCTTAACTGGTTTCATTATATATTCAGAAATAGACTTCTTAAACTACATGTTACGATATTCCGACATGATAGCTACCAGTCCTCGTATTCGTCTATCGTAGGATTTTGATCGTAGTACCGCAATCCTTCACCGTCACTGTTTTTATCTTCCGTGAAGACTTTCTTCTTACCCACAAACAGTGTCGGAAGTCGTTTAATCGGTGGTTGAGCGCGAAAGTGATACATGTTCTCGGCCATTTTTCGAGTGGCACGAGCAAAGTGCGACATGGCGGGGTTTCCGCAAAGCTCTTCTCTTAGGCTTTCCAGATTTGCTGGATCAACAGTCAACGTTTCGAGACGCAGCATAGATTCGGCTGCGAGATTGACAAGATCGTGCTGGAAAGAAAATCTGTCAGCGGCAAGTAGATCGTCAGTAGCTCCATGATTGACCTACCAAGGTGCTCTGTTTTGAGTCGTCAACATCGCAGGCGCCCGCATCTTCAGAGTATGTCGCCAATTTGGAAGACGTTATGGAGATATGTAAGTGCTTCAGTTTGGTGCAGCGAGAAAGGAGCGTTGAATTGAAGGAGTTGAAACACCATTTCCCTTCGAAAGGAGGTGATATCTTCAGGGTTTCCAATGTTTGAGCATGACTCTTCAGAGAGGTAGAGAAAAATTCTGTGGCTGCCGCATCGGAGAGGCTTGCGCTGTCGAAGTGTGTGGGCGTGATATCAAGAGACTTCAACCCGGAGTAAGATGAGAGATATTTGAGGAGAGAACGAGGGGCGCTGTCGTGTTTGAGCTCCTCTAATCGAGCACCCGCTGTAGCAAAAGCCTTCCAAATATCTTCTGTGGAAGACCCAACTTTCTGAGCCTCGAGCATGGCCTCGGTACTGTCTTGAGATCGGCGATAACCGAAACAAGTTTCGGCATTGAAGGGGTCATATACCCCTATCAACTCGAGCGACGTTAGGTTTCTGAGATGAGGGAGCGTGATGTGATCCAGGCGAACCAGCGCACAATGCAAAGAGAGATGCCGAAGGCGAAGAGAAACAACTGGGTCGCAATATTCCAAAAGTTGGTATAGACTTCGTGCTTTCCCGAGCGATGGGCCATAGTTTCGATAGTGGGGAACCTTGAGAGACCTGAGCTCCGGTGATCGGGCAATCATCCTTCCGATATTGTCCATCGTCTCGTCGTTGCTGCATGCACCAGAAATCGAGATCTCTTCTAAGTCCTTCAGATTGTCGACCGGCAATGGTGCTTTCCAGTTAGTGATGTCGAGATGAAGGTTCTTCAATGTGGGAAGACTAGCCAGGGCTTCGATCACGGCAGTCTGAACTTCTTTACTGTCCCGCTGGACAGGAAACCACCTGTGGGAATATCTGTTCTATCGAAAGAAAGTAATTCCGTGTGCCCTGCTCACCGAATAGTTGTAAGGCACCTGAACGAGCGCAAGGCATCCCGAAGGCACCCAGCCACTTGCTTCGTCGCCGACTGTGCTTCTGCTGGAATTGCGGGCTCCTGTTCAAGAACCCATTCGTCGCCAACGCGTACGTAGGACGGTCCATAGTATTGTGGGTCGTGCGCCGGAGAAAGAGAGCAGAGAACGAGCTCTCGAGCGTCTTGTAGGACAGTGGTCCTAGTCGCCAAAAATTGGAGCATATCAACGCTCTTTTTGATGCTATTGACGGTAATATGAATCGCGACAGTACGAAAGAGCTGCTCGTTGACCAGTGGCTGGAGCTGCTTGCATGTGAGGCGAAGCTGTTTCAAGTCGGACATAGAGAGCTATTAGGGCGACCAGCGTCAATTCGTTTCGTCTTGCAATAGATTGGCGGAGCGGACCTCATGGCATATAGCTTGAATCAATTCAGGAGCCAACGAAAGAAACGAATTCAGAGAGGCCATGTTGAGGTTGGAAGGAAAGGAGGACGATGGTAATATTGACCCTTATCGTATTGTGATTGAGGCTGTGGCGGCAAACTCCGTCGGCTTCAACCTCAAGGTTATACCCTGTCGAACGAAAATATGGAGGTCGTAATATCGTACTATGGTACATAGCTGGCTTGAAGTTTTAGAGATGCGACACTCGACAAGACAAGGGAGCGCTGTCCGAATCTATATATCAGGACAATTCGTGGCGCAAGAATCAAGCCCATCGTTGAACGACAACGCTGTTAAGCAGCCCAGCGCCTTGAATTGTGGCACTATCATCGTCGAGAGTGCGATTGGGGAACGTCGTTCCGATCGTATAATGGCGGGTGCGATTTTCTGGCCGTGATCTGGAGAGAGTCAACACGACGATAGAGGACCAAACCAGAGCTGGGTAGACTCACGCGTTGATGAAATTCCTAATGTCACCCACGGTGTGCGTCAGATTCATCCGGGCAACCATCCTCGTCCCATCCGCCAAGCGGATCTGGATGCTGGTAGTAGGCTGGCTTTGGTCGACCTCAAACTTGGTCGTGATGCTCTCAGTATTCACTGGTGCATGAGGTGCAGGTGGAGCGGCTGCGCTAGTGGGTGGGAACTCGCCAGGCATGGAACTCGACTGAGCGCTGAAATCCGGCACAACACCGCCGAGACGATTGCCTGTGCCAGAGAACACTTTGCTGCCTTTGGGTGGAACGTAATCTTCTTCAGTCCGCTTCGTTACGCGCAATTCCACATGTTGACCTGGACGGACATCGAGGATAGAGGGTGGCGCATGTCTGATCACGAGTGAGCCTTTGATAGAGTATAGGAAGAAGATCCGTTTGCTCACCCTGCGTTAATTTCTGCGAGGATCTGTGATTGAGCAGGATCGTCATAGCGCCTCAATTCTCCATCTTCGACCTGGAACCCATCGCGCCAGAATGTAAGGTGACGAATAGCGGTCTCTTCTGGGCAAGGAAGTCAATGAGATATCCCTATCGAGAAGGAGTCGATAACATACCTTCCTCAGCATTGGGATCAGGAATATATGTGCTCTCGACTTCATCACTTCCAAGTGTGTGGCCACCGCCACTAAATACGCCGGGTCTTGTTTCGGCAGCGGGAGGCGGTCCAGCTCTGAAACATAGATGTAGTGGAGGACACAAATAGCCAAAGACTAGTACGCACTGTGCTGCCCGTTGAAGGAGATCTCGAACCATGTTGCCTCCTGGAACACCTCTTTGTCGATCTGGGTTCTCGATAGATATGCCGCTGGAATATGGTAAGCCACTGCAGGGATTGACGGTAAAAGAGCTCACCTGCGTTCTCCACCAGCAAACCAGCTCTCACCGCCTTGATTTTCGTCGTCGTCGTCATCATCGTCATCGTGTGCATGGCCATGTCCCCCGTGGCCTCCTCCACCGCCACCACCACCACCCAAACTCGACAGTGTTGCGAATCGGCCACCTCCTGAACGAGATCCCCTACATTATACACTTCATGAGAATCTTCAGAGGCGCGGAAGAATCAAGCCTACCCTGATGAGGACGATCCTGCCCAATCGCCTATCCTTCCAACTCGAGGTGCCGCAGGACGATTGGCCCAACTTGCTGGTAGAGGTTCCGCTGGGTCTCCGCTGAGAGTGCGACCAGTGTTTTCATCTCCCGACATGATGAAGTTAAAGAGAAGTATGAACAATCACAATCGTGGAAGTGGAGAAAAATGGATGAGGCCTGAGGGCGACGCGTCCTCTCAAGAATGAAGGACATGTGACTGGATAAGATAAGATTGATTTCTGACTGGTGTAACTTTCTGCAGACCTTCAATAAAAAACAGCCATTTATAGAAGGTTTCCGGCTCATTTATTCGCATGGCCAATTAAATTGAATTAATAGAAGCCCCCGTGCGAATAAATCTTCTGAAAATCTTCCATAAATGGCTGATTTTTATGGAAAGTCTGATGCCGTGTGCTTTTCGAGACACAACTTGGACACAACTAGGTGTTATTCCTCGAAAATAAAATGTAAACGAGGAAATAATGCTTGCAAGGCACACAGGAGCACAGCGCGCGAAACCCTGGCCATGCCCTCAAGCCTCAGCGCTCAGCATCAATAAGGGGTCGTCAAATGTAGATGTCAGATGAACCGATGTATAAACCTCGTCCTCGTCTTGTGATTGAAGCGAGACCACAGTGCACTGGACTTAGTCAACAAACAATAATTTTCCACGTAGCCAGCAGGGAAAGTCGGTAAGTTGCGATTGCGCAACGCTTTAGCACTTCGGTGGGATATAATCTTCATCGGTGCGCTTTTGGACATGTACTTCAACCAACTGTCCCGCCTTGACATTGAGAATAGATGGAGGGGCATTTCTATATGGAAATGAGCAGTCGAGAGGTCAAGTCGGGGTAGAGAAAAAGAGTGCATCACTTACCCAGTGTTAATTTCTTCCAAAATTCTCTGTTGGGCTGGGTCGTCATACCGCCTGAATTCTCCACCTTCGAACTGGAAGCCATTGCGCCAGAAGGTAAGGTAACGGATAGGAATCCCTTCTTTGAAAGGGATATCTCAGCTGGGTGCGGTCAATTCGGGGAGGTACAAAACGTGCCTTCGACTTTCTGGTCTGGATCGGACCTGACAGTGTCTCCAGCACGTCCATGTCCGGGCTTCTGTTTCTCTACACCAGATTGCGGCGATGGAACCATGGAAGCGCCATTTCTTCAATAAGCGGGAGCATGAGAAATATGACACGACGACAGGCCTAGGATGGGTAGAACATACTTGATCGCTCGTTTGATCAAACCCTTGACCATAGACGGGATACCCATGAACCCACTGTCGGTTTTCTCATTTCCTGACATGACGGTTAGTCAACACAAAGGATAGATGATAGAGACTCGGAACACCAAGGCTCAACTTCAACTAGTCACTGAGTGACTGGTAACTCACAATAAGTTTGCCCCAACTACGCAATCCACAGGACTCATCTACGGGCAATATCAAGATATATAGCCCTCCCAAACATCCTGGGCACCAGACCAGGGATACAAGCCCTCACAACCTTCCTCCAACAAAGTGGCGCATTCACGATGAACGGACGTCGGCTCAAGAAACGTGATTTGCCTCTGTTCAATGATGAACCTGAGGCCCTTGAATCAGACATTGAAGATTTTTGAAGCCCCCATTGAGCCCCCCTTCTCTTAATTTTCCTATGCACATCCGTGCAACAGCCTGACCACCTTCGAGGCACCTCCTACCATTTCTTTAATTTCACAATTTTCGATAAAGTACAGCTATACATTTCTGCGAGACATTGATATCATTTCAAGATGTATAGATTCTTACTGTTAGATTTAATAGTTTACATTACACTAGGCCCCTAAGGGCACCGCGTCTTAGTACTAGATACTTGTTGCGGTATATAAATGCTGATCCAAAAAAAAAAAAAAAAAAAAAAAAAAAAAACTCACAATAAGTGATAAGATTAGGTTTTGTATTCCGTGGACCTCTCGCTCGGGCACATAGCATCACTTAGCAAGCGGAAAATATCTGGGATATTCACGAGGCAATGAAGATGGGTGTTGTTTTATAATCTCACGTCATACCACCTCGCAATTATATAACTTATATGCTCCAACTAAATCTCTTCCGACTAACAATGATGCACGAATTTAAAGCTGAGCAGTGACCGGGGAGCAGTTAATCCCAACGAGTTGGTCTAGAAGAAAATAGAACGTAAGTTGCGACTCAGCGTACAAAAAATAAAAGACTCACTTTGGAAATTCTTCTCGCAGCACACAGGGGAAGTATGGCTAGAAAGAAATGGGAGCTGAGTCCCAAAACACCATGGACAAAATTAGAAGAAAAACTGACCAGGCCGCGCCAGAACCAGCACCGATGACAGTGATGGGGCTGCACCCAAGACCGACCGTTCCAGAGACATCAGAGACGGCAACTCCAACGAGCGAGGCAATCTTGGTGACGTCGTAGTTGCCCGGGGCGTAAGTCGCGCCACAGCATTGGACGGGGCCGGTGTTGCAGTTGTCGTGGGCAGCGACGGACATGGCGCCGAGGGCGAGGAGGAGGATGGCAGTGATCTTGGTGAACATGGTGGTTTCGTGAGAGAGGTAGTTGCGAGTCGTAGAACGAGGCGTTTAAGTGATCAACGGGGCTGTTGAACTGGGGACTTGGAGGAGCGTTTGGAGGCTCTTTATAGCTGGCTGAAACATCCTTCAAGGGGAGTGATCTACCCAGCAAATCTGTCCAGATTTCTTTCCCCGTCCAGCAGTCGAATTCATCGACACATTGGGCCCTAAGTTTGGACGTTTTCAACGTGGCGAAATTATTGTCGTGACAGCGACAGTCAAGCACCCCAGGGTCATAACACCTCATTTGCCCAATTCTGGTAAGGTCGGGACCGGGAAATTCCTAGCGCCCGTGGTAGGTGTTCCCTAAGAATCATTTGCTATTATGCTTGCTTACGCGCTAGCACCGATGGCCTCCACGTGAGGCTGATCCCCGGTTGAAGGGGATTGGCTGTTCGACGCGAACGGTTGGTGTGATCTGGAGACCATCTCGAGGAGTGTTGACTGCAGCTCGCTAGAGAGAGTAGCCCAATTTGCTATGATACCACAAGTGTTAAGCCCGAAGCTTGAGATTGAAGTACAAAGCTAGAGTAGGCAGTGCAACTTGGGGGAGTCGATGGATTCTGTAACGCGGTGAGTCCTGAGCCCTGAGCCCTGAGCCCTGACGACAACATGGACATCCCGGACGAAGGGTGTCGTTGGTAAAAAAAAAAAACTTGTAGAATCGTGGTATCATCGTTTCTTGACAAGTGTGAAGCCCGCGCTTTGTGTATATCGAACGTCCTGAACAGATATTTTTGAGGAATCGTCTGGAAAGAAGAGAGAATGGCTTCACCGATAAGTTGACGATCGCCTTTTTGCACCAACTCCTCGACGACGGTGAAGAGAATGTCATCAGGAAGACGCAATTGGTGTGGGCGCATCGAAAAACGTCCAACTGGCGACATTTCGAGAGGGTGGCGAAGGTCCAGAAGAGATTTAAAAGTGGATGTTCAGAACTTCAGTGACGTTCATTCACGGGCAGTTGCGCGGGTTGACTTGCGTTACATAAGTTTGATATCCGCCTCCGGCCCGGCCGTTCTCGGCGGCGGAAGCCTTACGCTCATCCACCATGCACAAACCAACAGATTTCAATGGTCTTACTCGAGTTATCAGCGCCTTACTCATTTCGATTACTTCTTTTTCAGATGCACTGAAGCCACCTAGTTATCTCCCTCATCCTAACCCAACCAAGTCTTTCTGGCTATATCCGCCATCGACAAATCCACTGGGCGAAGTAGGAAGCACAGGCGAGCTGACTTCGAGTGCACACGTATGCATCATTGGGAGCGGTATCACAGGCGTCGGTGCTGCATGGCATCTAGCCAACCAGCTAGGATCTCAGAACGTTGAGACGAAGAAGAAGATCGCGGTGCTGGATGCTCGTGAGTTCTGTGAGTCGCCGACTTCTCTTGTTGAGCTGGATCTTATTGGTTGGGCCTCTAACCAGGTTCAGGAGCTACTGGTTAATTGAAGCCTTTTTCTTGCGGTGCCTAGGCTGACACTGCTTAGGTAGGAATGGCGGACACCTGACGCCAACTCTATTTTACGCCTTCCGGGACCGAGAACGGGCGTATGGCACGGACGAAGCGCGAAGATCATATCGAATTGAGCAGCATACTGCCAATAGCCTCCTCGACTTCATTAGAGCAAATAATTTAGAATCGGAGGTCGACCTCTTCGAAGGTGGCCACCTAAGCGTATTCCGGACTGCTGAAGAGGCGGCTGGTGCGAAGGCTGATTGGGAAGCTGCCAGGAAAGCAGACGTCGACATGGGCGACGTGGATGGGCATGGGGGTGTTCGATGGCTTGGGACAGAGGAACTCGTGGAGGTGCAGTTTTTCGCTCAATAATGCTACGATCTTCTGACCACTTGCAGATCTACGGATTCAACCCGGAACTCAACTACACTGCTGCTTGGTTTAGCGGACACAACCTCTGGCCATGCAAAGTCGTGACGAAACTCTTCGAAGATGCACAAAAGCAAGATAATTTAGACATCGCGCTGCACACGAAGACACCCGTAACGAGCATATCTAAGCTCGATGATGCACGGTGGAATCTACACACCCCGCGAGGCGAGGTCGCCTGCAACTACGTCGTCCATGCCACAAACGCATATGCAGGCCACCTATTACCGTTCCTCCGAGGACAGACCCCCGATATAGACTACATAGGCAGCCAAGTTCCCCTTTCCCTCCGACCACGAGCTGCCTTTGGCATCGTTCCAACTCGAGGCCAAGTCGGCGCCGTCCAAGCATCCGTCGACTCTCAGACCCTCAAATGGAAGAACTCATGGGATGGCGGCGCAGGGTGGGAGTACTGGTTCCCGAGATACCAGGATGTCGAGTCGCATGCAGGCCATCGTCCACTGATCATCCTCGGTGGCGGCCGACAGCATTCCGGTGAACATCTCGAGCAAGGGATCACGGATGATAGTGTGCTGAACGAGAGGGTTGACAAGGCGCTCAAGTCGCTCTTACCGCGGCTGTTCCCGCATCAGTTCAAACATGAAGACGCGGAACAGGCTTGGGAGATGCAGTGGGTGAGTCAATATCAAATGCCTCTCAAACTTGACGTTGATGTCTTCGCGTAGACAGGAATTATGGGCTTCACGAACACAGGAGAACCTTTCGTGCATTTGCTTCCTCCTTAACATCGACCTGCTTTAACATCAACCCGATCCAGGTCGGTCCTGTCCAACCTCTGGCCTACTCATCGAACCTCTCGGTGAAGAACCCTTACGAAGGCCAATATATCGCTGCTGGATTTACCGGGCACGGTATGACTCGGGCATTCGCGTGGTCAGCACCCCCACGTCTCCTCTCACACCTCCTTGTTGACGATACGATTCCAGTGTTGAAGCCGTTGCGGGTATGATCGTCGCCAAGATTCGAGGCGAGGAGTGGGCTACGCCGGAGTGGCTGCCGAGCAGATATCTGACGTGGGCGACAGAGCCGTGAGACGTGCTGGACAATTTTCCTTCGTACGTTTGTGTGCTTTTGCCTTGGATTAAAATCTAGGATTTGCAGGATCGTATCTGACATTCAACCGTGATCCGATTAAGAAATCGCTTGACCAAACATGGTAGATAGATGAAGACCAACATGTCCGTAATTCGGTATTCCGAAGCGATCACCCACCCTGGGCAGCCAATCCCCGTCGGTTGCGTCCGAGGCCGTCTATGAATCATTTTGGGATCAACCTTCGCGTGCGGGCAATCAGCGCTTCAGCACCGGCGTGCTAGCTCGAAGAAGCAAGGCTGGATGGTCTTGAGGACGAACCTGTCTCAGGCGCTAGGGAATTTTCGGTAAGACGCGTGTTGTGACCCTGGTGCGCTTGAGTGTTGCTGTCGATCGCGGTGAACTCGCCAACGAGAAAGTCCCAAACATGAGGTCCAAATTGTCGGCGAATTTGACTGCTAGGGCCGGGAAAGGATTCTAGTGAAGTCCCTTGCGCGGATACACCCGACTCGCATAGCAGATCAACCGCCTTGACGGACCGTTCTCCAAACCTATAAAAGACGCAAAACCGCTGAGCAATCCCCAGTTCAACAGCCCCGTTGATCACTTAAACGCCTCGTTCTACGACTCGCAACTACCTCTCTCACGAAACCACCATGTTCACCAAGATCACTGCCATCCTCCTCCTCGCTCTCGACGCCATGTCCGTCGCTGCCCATGACAACTGCAACACCGGCCCCGTCCAATGCTGTGGCGCGACTTACGCCCCGGGCAACTACGACGTCACCAAGATTGCCTCGCTCGTTGGAGTTGCCGTCTCTGATGTCTCTGGAACGGTCGGTCTTGGGTGCAGCCCCATCACTGTCATCGGTGCTGGTTCTGGCGCGGCCTGGTCAGTTTTTCTTCTAATTTTGTCCATGGTGTTTTGGGACTCAGCTCCCATTTCTTTCTAGCCATACTTCCCCTGTGTGCTGCGAGAAGAATTTCCAGAGTGAGTTTTCTTATTTGTTATCATATATTCGTGACTTATTTAACCTTCTTTCTAGACCAACTCGTGGGCGTCAACTGCTCTCCCATCACTGCTCAGCTCTAAGACGTACTGAGTACCTGCTTGCCCGATGGAGGACATTTAGCTACATACCTTTCAATTTTGAATTTAGATGATTCTATATGAATTAGCAATTAATGCCGCTATGCAGCCCATCGTCTAATTCGTGCCTAAGAAATTGAAGAAGGAATTAGGGTTTCAAGAAATTGTGTCGGCCCTCCGCATAAATGACCAGGGTACCAAGGTTAACTAGGACATGCTTCCGTCGAAAGTGCTTCCAAATGTGGTGGCCTTACTGGAGCCCCTATGTGTTCTTATCCTCGCCCTTTACTTCTGCCCTAGTCTGATAAGTAACCATGAGGATTGAACACGTCTGCATATATGTCAAGGACACCACTTGGCTGGAGGCATTATGCTCTACTCTCTCCAGCTGTGCAACCACTCGGATATGTACCCAAGCCAGAACATAGACACCAACAAAGGGCAGCATTGGGGTCCAGTTCAGGTGTCAAGAAGCATGTGTCTGCTTGCTTATCCCCACTATCTACACAGAATAATAAAACAGAACCGTCTGTTGACCAGAATGTGGGTCAGGTTGTAGGGATAGGCTTTGGCGTGGTGAGTAGGCACCGCGGTACAATCCTTCTATGCAGAAGCAATGTGTGAGTCCTTCTACCTAATATCTTCGCCCGTATCATTGTAGAGCTGCAGGCGGAAAATACACAGGACCACCAGCGTTGCACCCAGAAGGACGAAGAGTCGTGATGGTCCATTGCTCTATCCTGAGCTCCTGTTGGCGGGACTGGGTCTGTTTGGATGGGTAGCGGTGGGTCCTGTGGCTACCATATTGGCACGGTGAAGGGGATGGGAATGGCGGTTTGACGATTACCGAGATAGGAATAAATATTTTTGTACCCAGTGGTATCTGACTGGGCGTGGAGCCAGATGTGTATCATAGTTCGGCGGTGCAGGTGTCCCTGCCTTTGTCTTGTTCTCGATAAGTAATATATCCCTCGGGCAAGACGGCTGGACGCGAACGACGCGACGTAGAATAGGGGCGTCATTAACCATATGTGGGTGCCAAGGCAGTCTCACCCATTCCCACCGAGAACTAAAATTGAACTGAAACGCGAGTCATTTCGAGGGAAGCTATCGGACGCGAGACTGACTCACGCCTGAATTCGTCCAGCCAAAATTTGAATTGCCGACTAGCAACGAGGGAATTTTCAGGAATTCTTACCTGAAGTCCAGGCCTAGGATAGGTCCAAGTATATAAACCTGTCAAACGCCAAACCGACCCTCATGCTCCTTGTGCTCGAACCATAACATAGACGCCGCCAGATTCCCTCCTAAAGAGTCGTGAAATTCGAAGACAGCAAGATGCCCATCCACCACATAAGCCTCAATGTCGCCAACATCGAAGAGGCGCGCGACTTCTACCTCGCCGCACTGAAGCCACTCGGTTACAAAGTCACCACGTCCTTAATCGACGGCAAGGTTTTAGGAATGGGCACCGGCTGGGGTCCTGATTTCTGGCTTGCCTCCATGGACGCGCCGTGTGCGGATGGTAGCCACACAAGACACGACATGTCCACCTCAACTGGCGTCTCAGCCGGCTCAAAGCAAGTCGAGAAGAAGAAAGAGAAGACAGGCGAAATGCACCTTGCGTTCGCTGCGAAGAACAGAGAGCAAGTCAGGCAGTTCCACAAAGCAGCGATGTGAGTAACCCATACCTTTCTCCTTGTCCAGTGGCTCATACGTTCATCGTCTCAGTGCTGCTGGAGGAAAATGTAATGGCACCCCAGGCCCTCGAGCTCAGTATTTCGCCACCTACTACGGTGCTTTCGTCCTGGATCCTGACGGGCGAAACCTTGAAGCTGTGTGCTTGAAGCCTGCATTCCTCGCGGAGCCCTGGGGTCTGGTTGGTTGGGAAATTACTGGGTTGGTTTTGGCTGGTGTCACTGGAGGTGTCGCCACTTGGGCTGGGTGGCTTTGAGATTTGAAAAGCATCTGCGACACGTCGCGACGCGTTTAAATTTTCACGTGATGTTCGAGTTTCGCGTTTTTCTCATCAAGTTCAAGTTCAAACTCAAAAATCAACTTCTCTTCACTCTTCTCTAATGCTTTCATCATGTCCTTTGCCATCTCTTCTATGCGAACGTCCTCCGTACCACTTTCTGGCGCTATATCTCATTGCGCTCGAATTCTATGGACTCTGAAAAAAGCGTGACGTCATTCTCGTCGTCATTCTATAGAGTATGTCCGTGCGCAATACCTCGAAATATTTAGAGGGACGAACACCACAAAAAATAATGAATTCGCTCCGTTCCCCTCTCTCTGCGACGACGTCGCTTCGGAATCATGCCTTCCTCCGTTATAGAAGCAATCCAGCAGAATATGAACGACTACGCCTCTGAATCGGCCAATCTCCTACAGGCAGGCAACCTCTTATACTTTCTCAGCCCTATCCGACTAGCGAAGTTCATCTGGGACATGCTCTATATCCTCACCCAAACAATAATTATCCTGATATTCAAACCGGTAAGTATGCTGCTTCGCGGCATTTCGTCTCGCAGGCGATTTACCCCCACCTTTAAGCAACTCCCAAAAGCTCAGCAGACGCTATCAAAACCACGCGGAAGGATAGCAGTCATTGGGGCCGGAATAACTGGAGTCAGCTCAGCTGCGTACGTCTGTTTGAGCTTTGGGCGTGATTCCACAGCACCAACGAATCTCACTTTTCTTTCTCTAGGCACGCTATTGGTCATGGCTTCGAAGTCGTCATCTTTGAGGCGGCGCCAAAGTCCAAGCTGGGCGGGATATGGGCTCAAGTGAATCGCACGTCGGGCCTTCAGCTGAACTCGCTCCTGTACCGATTTCATCCTGGCGTTCTCTGGAGCCGAGCGTTTCCATTGCGAGACGAGATTCTGGGAGGTAAGTACTATTGGAACCTTTGCCGAGGGGAGTTTTGGTTTGACGTAGTTTGAAGAGGTTAAGAGGATCTGGAAGGAGTACCATCTCGACATCCGGACACGCTTTGAGGTGTGCGGTTTCTAAATATTTTCTCCCACTCAAACCAATTCCTGGCGCCATATAGACCAAGGTAACCTCCGTCAAACGGGTGCCTTGCCCGGAAGACGAGTCGGAATGGGCAGATGACCCCAATCGCTCTCGCTGGATCATAAACGACGGCCAAGAAGGCGTGTTTGACGCGGTCATCGTGACCATCGGTACATGCGGCGATCCTAACTGGATTAAGCTTCCTGGAATGCCAGACAACATCGGACAGGAGACGCCAAAAACACACGGAGCTGACTCTCCCCCTAGCCAAGATACGTGCTCAGCCTCGGACCAGAAAGAGCAAGGTCCTTCAGATGAACGAGAGAACAGTGAAGAAGAGTTCACAAAAACAATACTCCACTCCTCCCAGCTCGATTCGCCTGAGTTCAAGCTCAAGGGTGGCGAACGCGTCGTCGTCATCGGAAGCGGTGCAAGTGGTGTGGAGGCTGTCGAGACGGTGCTAGAAAAGGAGAAGGACGGCGTCGAGGTTTACATGATTGCAAGAGACGACAAGTGGATCATACCGAGGAACATCATGATCGATACCTTTATTTCTGGGCAGCCGTTCGGGAGGCAGATGCCGTTGAGGTGAGTCTTGATGTCGCCCGCCTCGAAACCCTTGATAACAACTTCGTTCTTGCAGTTTCCTGTGGGAAGAATTTCTTCGAAGATGGCAGTACTGGGGTGTCGAAGAGCTCGTTCCGAAAGATCGTGGTATCTACGAAGGGACGCCCGTAAGCCGTCCGAGCCTTCATACTGGGATGACTGAATATACTTACAGTTCCCCAGGTCGTCAACGACGTATTCCTCTCACAAGTACGCTCCGGCCGATGCCATTATGTACGCGGGCAGCCCGTCCGTCTGACCAAAGACGGTGTCGTCGTCACTGGCCGAAAGAGCAAGCCCAAGAATCGACACGCCAAAGAGGCCCGCAAGTCGAAGAACGGTGGTTCTGTAGAGGATATACCCGAGGGCGAAGAGAAGTTATACGAAGCCGATATAATCGTGTTTGCTACGGGGTACAAGAAACCGTCGATTGATTTCTTGCCACAGGATTTGTTTCCTGAAGGGTACCAGGTATTTCTTGCGATTATCATTCACGCTTTCCCGTTCGCTCATGAGCCTTCGTCAACGATACAGAGACCTGATCTCTACCTCCAGAATTTCTCGACTGAAGACTGGTCTATCCTTACGACCAACTCGGCGTACATGAACGCGATCGGGACAGTGTACGTCTACTTGTTTCTTGTTCCTCGTATTCTACTGCTAATTCTCCCTCGTTCTGTCTGGATCCTAGTGGTCATTTGTACGTCCATACTCTACTTCTCCCTCGAACTAAAGGCCCTAAATTGTTTGAACAGCCACATTGGGATCTACACGCGCATCCTCCTCACACTCCTCATGGACCCTACCGCCCGCCCATCGCCAAAGGACATGAAGCTCTGGGTTGACGTCCTCCGGTTCATCAAGCGCGGTGCGACGGGTGGCGCGTTGGGGTTCTTCACATATATGGAACTCAGTGCGTACCCGTCTCTGTTTTCTGGCCTGTAGGAGATCTGACGAAGTCATTGTTTAGCGATTTGGCTTTTGGGATTCCATATTCTGAGGCCAGACCGGTTGAGGTGGCTGTTCTTCATTATGAATGGGTGGGGCGTGTACGCGCAGTAGAAAGACCCGTTAATCGGGGAGTTTCAGCTACATTACAACTCTGGACAGTAGAATTATATCACTATCCCAGTGTAGAGGGTATAAAGAGTCCACGGGTATCGAATGAGAACAAGAGACGATGTAGGGATATAAGTAGAAGATAGTATTCAAAGCCTGCAGTGTTCCCTCTAGTCCATGTACAATATGTAATATCACCAAATAAGCTCGTTGAGCAGCTCCTGTTGCGCATGACTATACCGCGAGTCTACGACGCAAGTTCACGTTAACGAATGAAACGTAAGAGAGCGAACTCGTCGTACCACAGTTACCAGCGAAGACCCGAAGCGCCCGGAGCGCGTCGTGGGGGTCTGTGCAGACGTCCTTGACACAAGATCGGAAAGAGTCGTTATGAGGTAGGGTGCAGATGCACTGGCTGTCGCCTCTGGAGGTGGGGAAGATGTTCAATGCTCAATTTATCCACACGAAGATAAACCTTGAAAAGAGAGGCTCAAGGATGACATACAGATTACATCGACCTCCTCGCGCGGCCGGTCCGGGGTACACAGAGACGGTGAAGATACAAAATTGAATGCAGCTGGGTGTTGGCGTCGCGGCGGCCTTGGGAGTAGCGGAGAGTAGCAGGAAGAATTGAAGTACGACGGCGAAAATGAAGAAAAGGACTTTGGAATCTCTTGAGTAGCGCATCGTCTCAGGCCTCGGAGAAATGACAGGAAGGTGATTGGGCGGAGAGAGAATTAACGAGCGGTTGGTTGGACGGTTTCTTGGTCGCTTGTATAGCTTGAAGGACGTGAGATTTCGCGTTCCAAGTGTAAAGGACCTCTGGTCATTAGTTGAGCGGTCGCGTTTATACTGAGCAGTTTGAGACGGTCTGACGAATTCTGGGTAAAACATCGACGCGACTCAGCCCGGCAGCCAGTTTCGAATCCGGATTTAGATGTACTAGACACGTTAACACAGAGGAGATTTGACGAAAGAGCCGCGGGATCGATACGTTCGTCGTCAGTTCGAAGAGATTTGTTCAGCAGAAAGTTTGGACGAGTGAATTGGCCAAGTTCCTCTGGAGGGTAGCCCACTGTACCAGCGGAGCGCACTCCTGGGATTTGATTGACCACATACATCCTTGGGCGATAAGTCGCGAGTAAGAGAGCCATTATGGATTAGATGCAGAATCGATGCCGCAGTCTTCGTGTTCTAGAGACCCCGAGCTCAGGGGAGAAGCTTGGAGATGTGGGCGAGGCTGGGTAACGGCAACTGTAGAATTCGAATGGTACTGATCCGGGGTACGAGGCAGTAGCCTTCTTCACGTATTCTAGCATCGAAGGTGAACAGCATGAGCAGAGGTGAAGGTTTTGGACAAGGTTCAGACCTATGTCAGAATTGATGTGAAGATCGACATCAATGATAGAAATTATCCGCATCAGCGTTTGCTTGTTTGCTGGAAGGGAATTCTGAAACGGTTCTTTATCTTTACCCTCTTCTAGCCTTGCCGTTAAATTCCTTGGGCCCCTTCTCGTCGTGCCGCCTCTCTTGGTCATGGGCGCCTTAATCCCTGTGCTAAATGGCGGAGCAAGGCACCGCTTCACGGATGTTCATCAAACACAGCCGTAGAGAGCGCCCCTGGATGACTCTTTCAAAGTGTCCACCATGCTCACGACGGGAACCTCTCTCGCCCCTCCAAGGCCCCTCTCATTCCATTTCAACTCCTTTGAATTCGTGGAGACTATCCCTGTAACTACAAGATCTAATCTACCACCCGGGTCAGCGCGCAACGATCTATCAACCTCCGTTCCCGAACTTCTCGCAACCGGCGCGACGGAAATTGCGGCAACCGAGATAAAAATGCTCCCAATCACTCTTCCCAACGAACTCTGGTTATACATTGCGGACCTCGTCCCTCCACGCGAACGCCCGAAGCTTGTGGGCGTGAACAGGTTGTTCTTCAACATGATCATGAACGAGCTCTATGGGCAGCTCAGCTTCATCAGCGCCGACTCGAGGATCTTTACGGACAAGTTGAGGTCATTACAGTGCGTGTTGAGTCGTTTTCTCCGGTATTCTTTTCTCAATTCGACCTAGAGGCCCGACAGGTACTATGGGGGATCGAGTGCGCGTTCTGACACTCTGGCCGGCAGCAGTGCGGGATGCGATTAGGGCAGTGGAGTCACAGAAGGCGAGGAAGGCGCAGGAGGACAAGAGGCCAGCGACTCGGCAGGGCCACAATCGTACTGGGTCAGCGTCGCAGTTGATCCAGAGAGGGCGGCAGTACGTTGGGGAGCTGCTCCGACACCCCCGTTCTCAATCACCCACCCCATGGGTCCTGCCGCCGTCTCAAGGATCCATGCCGTCTCCCGAGGAACGGCTGCACATGTTCCTAGACGCGGTGAAGAACCTGACGAAGGTGGAGGAGTACGAGATTAGTTGGTATGTGGACAAGGGCGGGAAGGAGTATGGGTGGAAGTTCGCGTTCTTCGGGCAGATCTGGACCAGCATCGGGCCGAACCTCAGGCGCCTCACAATCGACGCTCAGCTGTTCAAATTGTCCGACATCCTCAGCACAACAGGACCTCTGCCGCGCTTGGAGGAGCTGAACCTTACGCTACGGAATGAGGCGATCGGAGAGGACCCTTACCAAACGACACTAGTCTCGCGGAACAGCACGGTCGTGCCGTACTTCCTGAACAAACTCACTCCATCTCTGCACACACTATCCATCAAGACAATAGGGCACCAGGAGCTCGCATTCTTTGGGCTCCTCGGGCAGTTCCCGAATCTCACGAAACTATCATTGATCATGCCGCTCGACGCCCACCACCTATACGACTACGTTGGCTTCCAATCATTCCTCCTTATCCACCCACGGATACGCGAGTTGTCCATACGGTACTCGCGCTGCTGCCGCGATGTCCCCGACGATGGTTTCCGCAGGGCCGACGGCACAGGCCACCTGTTGTACACCGACATCGTTCTCCCCGTTGTGCACTCGCTCGAGTACGGGCTCCGCCTGCCCATCTCGCGATGGGGCCCGCATCCGATGCTCTCGGCAGTGGCGAAGATGTGTACGGAATCGTTGACGTCACTGACGCTGACGGATCGGAGTCTGACGATCGAGGAGGCGAAGACCGTCCTGGGCGCCTTCCCGAGCTGGCGTCTCAAGAAGCTGTCGCTCTTTGCGCGCTTACTGAGCCCGCAGCTGATTGATGCCATTGCACATGCGTGTCCTGTTCTCGGCTCGCTGACACTGGATGTCGGAACGGTGGTCAAGAGCGAAGTGCTCAATTCGACCTACCCCAAGCCTAAGGATGATGTGGTCAGTTATTGATCTAGCACTAATTGTCTGGCAATGAACCCTGACATCTTTCATCAGAACGGATTCGCGGAAGCGCTCATGAGCTACGCCGTCGACCTCGACAATGATCGCTGGCGATACCGTGGCTGGACGCTCTCTGATATATCTGTCATGAAATGGGAGTTCAAAGTTGGGCATCAATGCAGCTGGCCATGCATGCATGCGATAGCGGCTGTCGTGCCTACAGTCAGGAGCTTCGCTGGGAAGGGCGACATGATGGAAGACACGGTCGTGCGGAAGCCGCAAGATGGGAATATTGGCGCCGACTGGGGAAACCGAGAGCGGCCTTGGGATACGTGATTTCTCCCCTTTCGAGTCATCCGCGGTTATTTTGGCTACGAAGCGATATACATAGCACTTATGATTTTTCAATATTTGTGTAACCTAGTTATTTTTATTGCTCTCCGTGCGTCGAATTTGACCATAGTAATTATAACTACTAAGTAGTAAAACTCAGTCTCTGACCTGGCAAGAGATTAATAGAGTACAAGATATTTGCCTCGCTTCGCTTCGGCCATAAACAAAATCCGCCACTGAGCAGAATCTCAGAAGAATAATTTCGGATGAAACTCGAATTCCTGTAGGACCACGGCGCAAAAATGAACGAAACTCAAGGACTTGACTTGGAGACTGGCGGCTTGAGAATATGCGGAACCTAGCCCCGTGTCATACGATCGAAAGTTGACGTTTTGGAAGGGGTGGAATCTCAAGAGACTAAAGTCTGGGGATAATGGAACTCGGAAAGGGAATAGAGGAGCAGGGAAGTAGAGGATCAAAAGTTACAACGGTGTGTAAGGTACAGTATTAATTGTCCGTCATGCAATACTCTAGGAAATAAGGACACACAGACCAACGGAATAGGAGGGAAGAGAAAAAATTAAGAAGCATTGAGGGGAATCGAGGATAGGACATTGCCTGATGACCTAGGGGTAGAACAATAAAGTGTCTGAGGGAGGAGAGACGAAACGGGAAAACGGGCACGAGCAGACGTACAAACAGACGTACACGAAGTCGAGGGATCAGCTTCATTATAGAGGTATATGTAGATCATTTCCCTAATTTGTGAAGCGCGCCCATCCTAGCGCAGAAAGTGACTCAAGAGCAGAGGTTGTTGAACATTCAGAAGGATATGGAAGTTGGCTACTGCAAATATGTACTGTACCACAAGAATAAATGTATCAGGTGCATATGAACTTGTAACGGAGTAGCCGTTACGCAAACTTCAATTCCATTTTTGGGTAGGCGCCAATATTCAAGGCGATTGAAGAAAAATAGAATATACCGCACGTAGGAAACCAGTACGGCGGTTGTACCGTTCATGAACTTGAATTTGCTGTGCTCAGCTACTCGAGGAGAGAATCTGCGGGACATATTTACATTCCAGATTGTGGCTAGGCATTATTTAAAGAAGAGAATACCAAGCGAATCGTTTCAGAGAGAATTTGTGATACAATTCTACCTATACGGTGTGAAGACTCCAGCGGCCATATGAGAAGTAAAGTGAGAAAAAATAGACTACTTCGCGACAGCCTGCTTTCGGACACTATACCAAAGTGAGATGATACTTTACCCGGCGCGGCCTACTTCTGAAAAGCGAAGTCCGGTATAAATCCAGCCGTCATGGTGTGGACGTAGCGGATTTTGCCTTCTTGAATGCGGAACTCGTGGCTGTCGGGTATTTCTGCAATGCCGAAGTTCAAAAACACGTCGACTGAGCCAACGGTCTCGTCAATGACATAGCGGCGGTTTATGAGTTGGACGCCATCCGGCACACCGAGGTTGCACGAGTCGGTCGGGAGACCTTGTCCGGTGTAGAGCCCGCCTTCGAGTCGTGCACATGGCGTGCCCCACGGAACGATGACGCTCTTGTCGTTGAACACGTCGAGGTAGGCGTCCGCCGCTGCTTTGATCACCTCGCGGGTGTCGCGCTTCTCTTCCGGGATCGTGTCCCAGCTCTCCCGCTGCACCCAGTACAGCGTCCCCGTGGCGTTGAAGAGCCAGTCGCCAGCGTCGGTGACGAGCAGGTCGGCCTTTTCGAGCTCGCCTTCTTCGCTGAAACGGAGCTGCGTGCCGACGACGTACGGGTGCGCCGGATCCGTAATAACGAGCTCGGTGTAGGTGGCGCAGGCGACCGTGTCGTGAATGCTGCGACTGTGGTCGATCTTGAGCGGCTGGGAGACCACGCCGGTGGTGATGTCGACGGACTCGAAGTTTTCTGTGTAGGCCGCGCCGGTGAGGTTGGCAATTTCACCAGTGGATCGTGAGGCGACGTAGTTGGTGGTTGCCTCCTGAATGGATTCGTAGCTGCAATCTGCCATAGCTTTGGCAGCGAGAGCAGCGCAGGTGAGCAAGATGGAGTGAAGCATTTTTGTCTAGGAGATTTTGGCGAATATTTTTGCGAGGGACGAGGAAATATTGCTGGCCTTTTTATCCCCTTGGTGTCAGTAACGTAATTCTCCCGAGAAGGCATACTCCCTCGCACTTAGAGAGCTACGGGATAATGAGTCCAAAAATTCCATTCTTCTACAATTGAAATGAGCGAGGGACGCAACTTCTCACTATATCCGTTTAACTTTCCTCGGAAGGTTCCCCGACTTACATCCTCTCATAGCGCTCGAAATATGCACCTGAAAGGAAGGCGCGGTTTGGTCGCGACGAGTAAGCAGGATAACGCCTGCAGAGAAGTGCTCTTTTGTACCATTTGTAAAATGACGGCGCTATCTCGTATAGCCAACGCCTGACGGCAGGTAGGCAGGAACACCAGGGGTAAGAAATGCCGAAATTCTGCGAGGGATGTACAAAGAAGTTTCGAACCCGAGTGTTAACGTACGTTGAAGTTGTATGTTATTCCGTGAAGCGCCACAGGATGATCGGTTAGGTTCTTTAGATAGCTCTCGAACAGCAGATGGCGACTTCTGTTCCGAGAACGTGCTTACCGAAGCGCTCATAAACTTCGACCTCGACTGCCGACGGCTGTACACTCTGGAATGCGTCGTCACGAAGCCGGAGGAGTCAGTTTGTACTTATGGACTGAATGGTTCGCATAAGTGCCTGCATTCTCACATATCCTGTCACAAGCAAGAAATTACTCTGCTATGGAGGAGCGTCACGGCGAAACGCGTTGGGAACCGAGAACCATGTTTTTCTCTTCCTCGTACAGCGGTGTAGAGGCCGTGACGCGTGACGCGTCTAACAGCTTGAAGATCCAAAAATGGCAAATGCGCCAACCATCGCATCACCGCCATCACCCGTCGATCATGACAAACCATCACATCAGTACATGGGGTGACTGGCGACGGACGTGGGTCCCCGAGGCTCGAGCTTGACGTAGATAAGAAAAGCGACTCGAATCCGTTGGTATCCAGACTTGGCCGACGTTTGACTTGCTTCGACCCGAGAACGTGTCAGCTGAATTGAATGCATTACACCGAAACCAGGCGTACTGGCTGAAGACCTCGTGAGGAACTGGAAAGAAGACGGCAAGACGAACGAAGGCGGAATATAGGGTGGATAAATGACCAGTAAACGGGGAGAATGAAGGATACAGCGCACGGTCTATACAACAGGGCACCTATGATAACAGCGGAAGAGCAATGGCGTGGCAGGACGTGAAGTGAGGCGTAAGGAGCGTCGAAGTTGGGTATCATAGATAAGGGTTGTCCGGGTGACTAAGACGGTGGGGTGTAAGAGGATGTCCATCCAAGAAGAGGAAGGAGGTGTCTGGAGAGAATCAACGGAGTAGCCTGAAGAGGGGGCGGTGGTAGGAGAGAATATATCAGGGTAGCCTGAACACTAGAACGTTGGTTGAGTGACACCAATAGCTGGTAAGCACAGATACGCACAAGTTATGATGAAGACCTCGCTCTCTTCATTCTCGCCATCCATAGCCCTAGCCCAATCACGCCTAGCAGCACCATCGCGAATGATAGTACAGCACCGCCAACGAAGCCGGCTGATGCAGCCGCACCGGTGCTCAGCATCTTCTTCGCCGATACGAACCCGTCCGTTTCGCCGTTCGACAGGCAGGTCACACCCAGCGGGCCCGCCACACCACCCACGCACAGCACGACAAATACGCACACAGCGTATCCCGAGTACCTCGCCCAACGTGATCCGCCGAGCATGCTCGAGTCGTCGTCTTCGAAGAAGTCCTCGGGGGCTGTAGGCGGCTTGCTCGGGAACAGCAGGAGGTAGAGAAGAAGCGCGAGCGGTAGTGAGAGGATTACACCGCCCGTTGCACCGGCTTCGACTGAGGAGAGAAGGGGCGCCTGATAGATGGATGTCGGGGAGGAGTTGCTTCGGCGGAGGATGGCGTGACCCGTCAACATGTATAAGAGCGATAAAAGAGGTGGTAGCGGTAGGAATATTAGGAGAAGGACCCAAGGGCGGAGGTGGATAGGAAGTGGAATAGGGAGGGTATGGCGGCTCGGCGGTCGTCCGACAGGGGGAGGTCGAGGATAACTATGCCCCGTGCTACTTTCCGGGGGTTTTTCGCTGCTGCTGAACTCGCTGGTGTTTGCTTTTCGGTGGATATGCGATACCGCTGTGGGAGTCTCCCGTGGGCTGGGTTCCGCTGGTGAATGGAACGCGGCGAGTGTGTAGGGGTGAGGTGGGGAGGAGACCAGCGGTGCGTCGGAGTACCGTGAAGGTATGCTCGAGCTGGGTGGGTACGAATAGGGACTGGACGAGGTATTTGGGTCGGCAGACATTTTGGAACTTAATTCCGCAGTCCAGGAGGGCTCGCCGTTGTCCTTGGGTCGTAGGAAGATACGGGAGTATCTTGACATGGCGGGGCGGTGGTTAAAGGAGTGGCAGCGCTAGAAGTAATAGAAGGGGTATCTTTAGGAAATCATGGTCGGGCTGATGATGTGTCGACAGTCGAGGCAGTGATCATGTTTGACGGAAAATAACCATTTCTTTCCCGCGCTCACGTTCTTGGCAGCCTGTTATTGACGCCGAGACCGACATCCACCAGCGACGCCGACAGAAGGAAATCATTCAACAATCATTCACGGTCGAGACAGGCTCCTAAAACCAGTCGATCATATCGCTTGTATCGCTTACAGGCGGCTTTCTAGAGGGGGGATGGAAATAGGGAATTATCTTATCGGATCAACGCGTTTCCTCCCCCTCTAGAAAGCCGCCTGTAAGCGATACGAGTGGTTTTAGGAGCCTGAATCGGGATGGATTACACCTTCCAATAATAACCTCATCGAGGGAACGGAGTTGGACTGTGACGTAGGTGCGAAGGACAGCGTGAGTTCCTCACGAGGGGTGACATCCATAATTGTAATCCATCTTCGGTACACGCATGTATAGGGCGTGACAGTGCAGTACATAGAAGATGCGGGTCAATGGGTGTGACTGGAAGTGAACGCAGTGAAAGCGGACGGGTATTAAGTAGAAGGAAATTAAATTTGGTTGGAATCTGGTACCTCGGTCCTCCAGGGAGGGCTCGTTGACGCGGTGGGTCATGGGGCGGCTCAGATATAGGACTAGCAGCCCCCGCGATCGACGCTGAGGCTCGACAGTACGGTGCGCCACTCGATGGTAGGCGCGATTTCCATTTTAGGTAATTGCGGAACTGGGAATATCGCTTTGCGATTCTGCGAACATTGTAGGCGAAACTTCATTCCAATCAGTTCTGCCATGATTTTGCATGCCGAAATTCCAAGAGGCGTGCTTCGACCATCTTTAAACTGAACATTGAAAAGATATAGATATTGCAATACAGGCAAGAACAAGACAAGACAACAATTTGATAACAACGGCAGAGCTGGGTCTATAGACATACACAATGTATTCGGACTTGAGGTTCTCGATCAGATATAAAACATGCTCCCTCTCATGTCGGGATGAAGCTACGTATAAAGATATTAGCATCTTTCAATTAGCATCAGGAAGTCACTTACCCCTTCTCCCCAAGATCTCTTCGCAGCCTCAAAAACTCTCTTAGCTTCTTCCTCTCTCGCCTGCCTTGCGCTCCATTGACTACCCCTTTCGCTGGGAGCAGCTGTCGAGGCTTTGTCGTCTACTAAGAAATCATTCAAATAGCACCTTCCTCTTTCGCATGCGAGGTCAGCGTAGTAGGCAGCCGGAATGAGGCTGACAGCTTTGGTCGCGCGCGCGTAGAGGTAGGACACGTCGTGGGTGCCCTGCTGAACGTCGTCCGCCGTCAGGCCATTCCCATCATAGACGACGGTGTAGTGCGTCGCCTTGACACTGCCTTGCAGCCCCGCGTGGGCCTGCAGATAGAAATCAAAGTCGAAAACTCCTGTGATGCCTTTGTCGACGACGGTGCCCGGGCGGGTGTTCCCGTTCCTGTCAGCGTACTGAGAGTTGGTAGGGTAGAACCTGGCATGGTGTCTTTTCCTGGAAGGAGGAATCAGAATTCGGATGAGAAGCAGGAAGTATGGCGTGCGCAGCCTTACCCGCAGATGATGATGGATAACTGGGGTTTGTACGGCGTCTTGCGCTCTTTGGTACTGAGCTTCTTGAACGCTTCAAGCATCTGGGGCAGTTCTTCCTTTAAGACGGCGTCGAATTGTCCCTAACGTCAAACACAATAATGAGGCCACGTGTCGAATACTTCGAGATTTGGTCTCACCTCAGACACTCCGTCTCGGTACACAAAAATCCTGACTGGAAGGGTTTTGTTGTTCTTTTCGTACACCAGCAAGCGTTCAATCAGCATGCTCTGCAACTCATCCAACATCTGTGCGCCGTAGCCCGTCAGTTGCATCGCGTGACATGACACTATTGATTTGCACCTCCTTCTTAGTCTCTTGAATTCTCAAGCTCGCTGGGAACTGGACGAACGAGTCATCGACACTGGCAACGACGGCAGCGATGGACGGGGTTCCTTCACGGCTGCCTGGGCCTGGATGGGTGACATCGATTCCAACCATCATGGTTTTCTTCTTTCTGAGCCAGCGCATGGCGCTGTCGTCGAGCTGAATATCTGATCAGGTGTCTAACAGGGAAGAGGCACAGAGACACATACGAGGTGATTCATGCCGCCAAGTTTGGTATTGACCTTCAAAGCGACATTAGAGAAATACTGATCCTGCTTTCGCTGATCCCCAAGCGCCTTCTCGAGTTGCATGTGCACGGTCTGAATACCCAACTCGACATCGCCAATTCTCTAATAGTGTTATTAGCGCTAGGGCATTGGGATATGGATCGTGACAACGTACCTTAATACCAGGATAGATATAGTTGTCCCTGTTTTCGAGCAACACGAGGACAAAACTCGGCTTCCCCCGCTGGGCCAACTCCGCTTTAAGGCCCTCTCGGATATTGTTAAGCGCCTGTGTCCTCTGGGGATCGCTTTGGGGTGGTGGAACAGTCGGCGGGCTCAACAAGCGAGGCATCCCAAGTGGGAGGCTCATACCGCTCTTTGCCAACTTGGATGCGAAGCCTTGGATCAACCCGACAAACTTCTGGTCGTTTGGGCCCTGGATGATGCCCTTTCCGTCGCGGATGACGAGGACCCACCAGCTTGAGATCGCCGCGCCACGATGAAACTTGACGTCGAGGATGTTCCAGCTGCCGTTCGCTACCCGCGCCTGCCCGACGCGGTATGACAAGCGCGGAGGGGGCAACTCGCGCCCTGGGACGACGGTCATGTTTGGGTCGATGCCAATGCCGAAGCCGTCAATAGGTGCTTTGGTCCCGGCTGGGCCGCCCAACCCCAGGGCGGGGAAGCCTTTGTTGACGATTTCCTCGGCGTTAATGCGCGGGGGGTTGCAGGCGTACCGAATCATTTGGGCAGTCTCCTTGTCGCTCAGCTTCCCGCGGTAGGCATTGCCTGGAGTGATCTCGCACAATTCGGCTGGGACCCAATTAGGACGTTTGACCGATCCGATGTTGACAACTGGAAGATCGGTAGGGTGGTCCAGCTTGATTTTGTGCTCTGCAGTCATTGATTAGCAGGTTAATAATTTGCCTCGCGGAATGGTTAGCGACGTACTCCTCTGGAAATATTGTTCGACAGAGACCCTGCCTCCGAGTTCTTCGCAATTGAAGAATTCATTTTGTGCTGACTTCGAACCAATGGCCAGGAGTTTCCTGGTGTGTCCAAGATGCTTGGTCCTAACTTTGATGCTCTTCACCATGGACGGCGGTAGAGTAGGCATGGCGCCTCGAGAATAACGGTTGAAATCCAGGAGCCTTTGAGCGAGATTACCTGGCTCAATGAAGGCAGTCATGCAGACGTTTCTAAAAAGCCGAGAAGTATTAGTACGTATATATGCAGGCTGTAAAATAGAAACGTACACGTTCACCATCAGTTGCTTGTGAGATGGACGAATTGAGGCGTAGAATCCTTGCCACGCTTCGACTCCGGGTCCCAGACTAATTTTTTGGGAGGACGGGAAGAAGTAACGGCTATTACCAACTCGAATGCCGTTGCGATTGGCGTATTGTTGGACGACTAGGTTCAACGCTGAATTGATTGGGAGGGTGTTGAAATCTCGGTATTCGGGCCTCCCTTCGAGATACCTATGCAGCAGTGACCAGATGAAGAAACAAAGACGAACATGAATGCGAAAACATACTTGTGCAATTCGCGAGGGTCAAGATCCCCCTGATATTTGATAGAAACAGTGTAGACCTTCGCATTTGGCGCAGGTCCTCGTTCATGGTCTTCGTAGAAAGGGACCTGGATATCAAGGGGCTGAGGAAGTTTCTTCGCCGATACTAGCTTGGCACTACGATCGTGAGCAATATAAGGCAGGTGTGGCTTGCACAGCGGGCTCAGCTCGAGCAGCTCGAAGATCCGAATCTTCAATCTGTTGATATCAGTTTTCGGGGAGATGTCGACCTCGTACTCGTAAATGGGTTTAGGAGGCAACGTCACTGGGAAGAAGTTCGCGCGAAGTGTGATTGGAGTGCCTACTGTGCCGTATCCGGGACGCAGAGGGCGTTCTGGTTGCACCTTCAGGCCTTTGAACCCAGAGAGGAGCTGTTGGAGGCTCGGATCCCCCAATCGAGGAGCCAGCTGCGCAGGCACGTTCTCTTGGAAGATCACAGAGCCTGGCGGGCCACCTCGTCCACGACCCCCACCAGGGCCGCCCCGACCTCCTCCTGCTCCTCCTCTGGGACCAAAGTCATGGGTGCCACCTCGACCTCCTTGCCCCCCACCACGTCCTGAGGGTGCGGATGACATGCTGCCCTGTACGCTCGAAGGAGCAGGACTGCCTCGTCCTCGTCCTCGTCCTCGTTCGCCAGGACCGCTGCCCCGTCCACGTTGTTGGCCTCTTCCTCTGGAGCTGCCACGGTCGCTCATCGTGGTTCGAGTCAGAACGGTGTGGGAGCGGAGACTGCGCAGTGGCATGGGAGCCATCAGCCTCAAGGCTGCTCTCATAAGGAAGCGCCCGCCGACAGAAGCCGAACTTTGACCCTCGTTTTGAACAAAAGGAAAGAGCGAGTGCCAATGCTGCATGATGATTATTCTAAAGGACAATTTTGGGGCAATTGAAAGGTAAAGAGAGGGCCGCCAAATCTTGGAAACTGTAGAGAATCATGAGTACAATGGCAGTGTAATTAATCCAAAGTATAAATTGGGTGCCGTAAATTTACGAAGTACAGAAAAAGAATCACAAAAATGAGGATGTCCGAGAAGATCGAAGGTTTGAGGCCGTCAAAGGGAACGTAATAAAGGGAAAGGAAGGCTTTCATGACAGATACTCATCTAGTTCCAGTAGGTCGCTCCAGAGGTCATCGTCCCGTTCATCATCGTGGCTGACTGCCGTCCAGAGATACGAATCCCGCGATTTCACGACGTCGCATGAGCTGTAGGCCGGTAGTAGGCCGCTGTCCCTCTTCGAGTCGCCACGAACAATGTCCTTGAGCATCGAGCCAATTCCAGAGACCGAGAAGCTGCCGTGGTCGTCCTGCACTGCAACGACATCGTAGGTGGGAGGGATGTCATCCACAGATTTTTCACTGTCAAAAGACTCGTCATTGTCGGCCTCAGAGGAGTCAGTTGACGCAAGGTTTCCGTCGCGCGCTTTACCAGCCAGAGAGCTCTGAGAATAGCAGGATGAATCGCGGTAGAAGAGGTCTCTGAAGTCGAGGTCTTCGGCTTCGGCGTCTCTGAAAGCCTTGAGCACATCTCGCATAGACTGTTTCCATCGAGAGAGGTCTGCTCCTTCGATATCTGACGAGCTCTTCGTGAGTGTGGCGGTGGCCGTCTCTGGGGTCGGCGGCACTTCGAACACGACCGACATGGCAGGTGTGTTCGGCGGCGACGCAGCCAAGTCGGATGCCTCTGATACGGAAGAATCGGAGGTGTTGCTCAAATTCTGTACGCACGGTCAACTATCGTCAGCTAGATGGATGACAGGGAAACTGGCGTACCTTGCAAAATTCGATGCCGCGTGCGCCTTCCAGGTTCGCTGACGAAGAGTTTGATGTTTCAGCAGAGAGACGAGAGCCTTCTTCGACAACATGCGCCGATGTATCTACAGAAGCCGAGTCTTCAAGCGAACAGTGATGGTCAGATACAGGACAGACAGAATCAAGCAAAGGAGAGTCGAGGTCCCTAACACGTTGGTTGTCGATGTCAGCAGAATAAAAAACGATGGTCGTTGAGGACGGAACAGAATTGAGTCGTCCTTTACCAGCGTCAGAATGACTGAGCGCGTCTAGACACTTGGCAACTGGAACGGATTGGCCTTGGACTTCCATTGTCAGCTCGCCACATGAGACGTCGTTGTTCTTGCTGAATGATGCATCCAGGACGTCGCCAAAATGAGGACCAGGCGCGCGAGAGGAATCAGGTGTAAGCAGAGAACCCGAGATGTTGGCAGAGAGGAGACTATCGAACTCCGTGCTCGAACTAGCCTCTTCGTTGGAGGGAGAAAGTTCGTTGTGGCCCGGAGGAGCCATCTCAGCAATATCTTCCGGGAAAATGATAGATGCCGGAGAAGGGTGGGCAGGTGGGTACGGGAAGAGCTCAAACAGGTCGTCGATGGAATCGCCATGCCTCTTAAAGACCACCGGACTGCTTGGGCTCGCCGAGTTGTCCGCAGCGTTGGCGACGATGGTAGGAGGTAAAACTGTCTTCCTGGTTGGAATTGACGTAATAAGAAAAAAAAGAAAAAGCCTCACCGAATTGCACGGCGCGTTGACGCGAAGTCTTCTTCGAGATAGTGATCGAAGACGTTCCAGGACGAATGGAAACCTCGTAGAATTCTACCCGAGCAGCACACGAAGGCACATCGAGTTCGGAAGAGGTGATGACGACGGCTTTGACGACATCTTCGTGTTAAGAGTATGGTATCTAGCATGTTAGTCTTCGCGACCTCAGAGGAAGTTGGGGCCAGACGCACCGATGGCCTTGTCCTGAACGTTCTTCAAAGTCGCGTCGACAACGCGAGACTTGACGGAGTGGATGAAGGAGACGCGTCTGCTCGGACGCCGGGTGGGTTGGTCGATGGTTGTGGCCTGGTTGGTACATCGTGGCTCTTCCTTCGCGACTTCTTCGTTCGCCGGAGGGTTGCTCTCCGGAGGGGGAGACGGAGCTGGATTGTCGTCGTTGGGAGGCATGGCTGACAAGGATGCGGCGTCAGCATCTGCATGTGGATAAATTCAGTACATCGTTGATCGATGGATGGGCATGCACGCACCTTCGAGTTTCTCTTCCACCTGGACAGTGTGAGGCGTTATACCGGCTTCGAGATCGCTAGTTGGTGCCGGCGATCTGCTGAGCGATCCCACAAATAACGCCATAAAAGAGGCCCATAAGATACGAAAGAAATGTAGGATGCACTCGAAGAAGGCGCGTAGGTCAGACATGTCCATTTTGGCCGGTCAGAAAGCGGAAGAAAGCAAAAGAATCGCCGAGAGCCAAAGAAACCGGCGAGCTCGAGAAAGAGAGATGAAAGAGCGTCGGTGTAGGAATATTTTGAAGAAATGAACGGAATGAGAGTGGGACGACCGCACTCTACCAGCCACCGGCTGCTCAGAGCAGCCTTAAATATTGACTTGCATCCCAGAGGCTGACCGTCGTATGGGCATCTCGGATATCTTCTTCCGGTGCCAGATGTGCTTTTAGGCGGCGATACATGGTTGATAAAGCCAACCTTTGTAGGTGGAGTTGGAGTTATACGTAAGACCTGGCTCCAAAAAATCTGCGAAAAATCGTTGGTTGCATACTGACGGTTTCTACATTAAAGGTGTCCCAGTGGTTTGAAAGCGGAAATACACGTACATTCAGGCCAGGCCCTCCGAGTCGGGGGCGGTATAATAATTGAGGTAGGATACTCCCGGTTTGCAGAACGTCCATCGCGATGAATTGAATAGTTCCATGGCAGGAATGAAAAAGTGGTGAATTGCCAGCGGGACCGGGAAACCAGGACCGAAATCGGAGCCGGTGCCGGAGGCGGGCTGCCACAGTCAGAGTCGACCTCAGCGAGAGACGCTGAGACGAACATTAATTCAAGAAGCAAAAGGTGGAGTACTTACTACAACTCAGGCATGTATGATACAGTCATAACGCGTCGTTAAGATAAATCCCAGTAAAGTACGGAAGATACAGAAGATATTACGGCCGAGGCACCAGCCTCAGTATTTTGCAAGATTCTTGATTGATTTGTGAACAGTGAAACGTTCGCGAAGATGGATGATCCCCAGAACCACGACAAAGATGACGATCTGACCAACAGCGATGCCGACGATGTACGCCGCAAGTTTGGCTCCTTGTTTCTTGGGGTCGAGGAAAGAATACGCTTGAAGTAACAGCTATGAGAGCCCATGGCAAGAATGGGGCGGATAAGAAGACGCACTGTATATCCCTTGTGTCGCGTGAGTGATGTAGGCGACTCCCAAGTAACCTCCTAGCATGACGAGCGTGGCGGGCAGGTCGATCCATGGCATGGGCCCGATACTTGTTAGAGTAACTTCGAACAGGGCGAAGACAGTGTTCAAGGCGTGTTTCGAGATGTTAGACCAGGCTGGACAAGAACATATGAGTACCAACACCACGGGTCGTAGAGAAGGGATGCAATACCTATGTAGGGCGTTGCGAATGTCGAGGACGAGGCTAGCAGGGCCCAGTAGACAATCGTCACTAGCAAGGCTGGATACCGCGCATTGAGACATATAGCAAGAAATTCATGTTCCGAGCGACGTACGAAATGTGGCGATGGTGGACAACAGCAGAACATGCAGGTATCGAAGTATCCGTGGCCAGGATTGGAGAGGATAGTCACTGATGGGACTCCGTGCATAGAAGAACGTCTGAACGCCCGACGCGAAGAAGTACGCGCACAACCCAATGAAGGTGAGGTTGGTGAAGTAAGAGAAGAATCTGTGTCCGTGTCAGGGGTCTAATGGTACCAAAAACGGGGCAAAGCGACGCACGAATCAATGCTATCATCCTTCGTAGACTCCCATGCTAGCTGGAACACCAAAGTGACCAAGATGTAGAACGCGATGGACAATCGGGCGCCCGCGAGCGCGAAAGGAGGGAAGAGGTACGACGTGACGAGCTTGTGTTCGCGGTCAAACTCGGCGCGAGACATCGCTGGCTCTCAAGGCACTCTGAGAGCACTAGACGCGAGAGGAGATGGGAGACGGGGGAATATTAAGGCAATGTGGGGAAGGTTGCTCCCATCGTGCATGCCCTCATTTATATCGTCGCTGTTTCACATCCGTCCGAGGCGTCTTGTTGCTTCCCCTGATGCCCGTTCATATGACTGGATGGTGGGAGAAGGCAACTGCTCGGCATTCTGCGACGACCGCGAGGGGCGATGCTCCGGAACACGATCGGTGCCTGATCCTCAACTCACAACAGTCACAATACCTTTCTTTCACAATTGGACCAGCAGGAGCCTCAGAGCTGAGCGCTGAGCTCTGAGGCTCGATGGGCCTTATTTTTTTACTGGACGCCGACCGTCCGTATTTTCTAATTTATCACAACCTTGAACGATAAAACCGGGGCTTAGATCTTTCTTGGAGCTTGATATTTACGTGCATCTTGTGCCATGTGGACTGTGCCAAAATTTGCTTCACCCAGCGCCTTCGTATCGTGCGCAATGTATTTATAGTACTCCGGAGTGACGGTGGCAGCTGGTGGCAGCTGCTTACAGCGTGGGGCAGTGTGCTCCCGTGGCTTTGCTGGCTCGGATATGAAGCGAAGACAGCAACAACATAGCCAGGTAGTCTGAATCAGCGCCGAAAATTCGAAATCATGGCAGAAACGCTCGTATAGCACCTGGATTGTCCAACCTCGATTAAGCGTCCGCACAAGTATCGTGGTCTTGCATAAATTGTTAGCCTGCACACAAATCCCTGACAGCGTGGAAGCCAATATGTGGAGGGTTTCCTTGCTGCCATGATAACCACCACGACCTGTCCAAGGGTGAACGTGGTCGCTCGCCGACCGCTCCCACGTAAGATGCGGGGTTTGCAGAAGTCTTTGAATACAGCCATTCACTGACTCCTACATAACTGTCATGCCCCTCGTTAGCTTTAGAATCGTAGGACCATAGCAACTCCCCCACTTCGGAACAGAAGTTCGCCAAAACGTGCGGCACCGAATAGCCTAAACTAGAGAGTAGTCAAGTCAACTGAGACTCTTTTCAACTCTATTGAAAGCGGACAAACGCTTTCTTGCGGGATGAAAGTTTTTGACTGGGGATTTCCGAGTCAGCGGATGGCTACAGTAAAAGCTTTTTGTAAGGGTGAAAAGCGCCATTCCTCGACTATATACGGGTCGGAATACCCAAGATGTGTTGTGGAATGCACGCTAAATAAGCGCCCAAACGTCAAATGAGACACGTATGATCGGACGTCGGGGTCGGCCATACCCGACGGTATTTGGCGACGAAGAGGAGAGCAAACAAATGCGAAACAAGGCTTCTCTGACTGTGACTCTTTCTACTTCGCCAATCCGCCATAGTAGAAGCCGTCTGTGGACCAGATTACTCTTGGAATACTCCAATACTGCCGTCGTTGACGTTGCAAGGCAATCGCTCGGTGCTACCTGGGTCTGCGTCTTTTCGACTTGTGTCCCGACATTGTGAGCATCTTTTTGCCATAATCTATGAGTCTGGGAGATTCCAAGATGTCCGTGGTCACCACTTCTGTCTGAAGGAGCTGATCATGAAGAAGAGAGTTGAGGCTCAAGCCCCACGTAACTACACGTGCTCTTATCTTCTGGGCAGCTCCAAACTTAGCTCCCCATCGAAGTGTTGTATGGCACCACGTACACCAACTCTCGCAATCTTTGCTCTCATCGGCGCCGTCACCTTCTTACTTTATAGCATCCTCACACCTCCAAATTTCAGCTACAAGCGCTTCATCTCTGGAATGTCTCAGACGCAGTGGTCTTCACCGTACTCTGCTTATCTGCAGCGTGCGGACCCCCAACCCGACTTTACACCCACCCGTTCAGCACTTCAGCTCGCAGTTCTTCGCAACTCCCCCGTCGAGCCAGAGGGATTCACCTTGGCCTTGTTCTCGCCTCTCACTGCAATCGATGCCAAGGGACATGTCTATACCCTCCAACAAGGAGACTACGAAGGGATTCTCGCCATCGCGGAGCGCGTGAAGCTCCTGCCCAACACAGGCGGGTTCAGAAACACATGGAGGGTGTTGCACGACACAACCAGCAAGCCCATCGATCGCGTGCTTTCGCCGAAGACCGCCTTAGGCGATGCCCCATCCTCCGAGGGATATGAAGCAGAATACGTCGAGACAAGCGTGTATGGGTTTGATAAGACGCGGAGGCAGCTGAAGGAGCCAGTCGATGAATATACGGAGCTGCCTGACGAGCTGTGGGAGCTGACGGGCCTTGCTTGGGAGGCGCGGGAGACGTCTGGCGAGAGGGACGAGTTGGCGCTCCAGAAGGTCCGGGCAGTCCTTGTGGACGCGTTGTAGCAGGGTAAGCTCTTTTTTGTACCGCCATTATGCCCCGTGCTCAATCTGTTCGCTTAGGCGTCTGAGCATTCTTCGGTCTTAGATACTTGTATAACAGAAAAGTAATGAAGAAGGATTGCGTCAAATTCCAATCTTGCAAAGCAGCAGTTTTTCGGTCTCGTAGATCCCACTCGTTTTTGCCGTCATGTTCTGGATATGAAGGCCGTAAGGCGGGCGAGGTACTACGGCTCGTCCTGCGTCGTCTCACCTGCCCAGGTAGCTTCTCCGGCCGGCATGCGTCCTCGGGGCTCTGTATATCTTGCGAGCCTGTCGAAGGGCAAAAGTACTTGATGTATGGCGCAGACAAGGCGTCTCGTAGGACCAATATCGAACGCGATACTTGAAGGACAAGCTATGACAAGTTGGAATCCTTGAGCTAATATCTAATCAATATTTGAAATGAACGCCATGCCTATCAGTTCCCCTCCACTCCTTCAATTCTCTCCAGGCGTGGTGGAAACGCATCTAATCGCGTCTCGTCAACGGCCAAATGCCCCTATTATCCTATGCCACGTGATCAACTCGGGAGATTTTGGAACCAAGTTGTCCAGAAACATGTCCCCCACATTCACCTAGTCTAATACGCGCAACCTTCACGGCTTTGAAGCTCACTTCAACTGCCTGTTGTTTATTGGAGGAGGTGCGGATGTTGTGCTCTTTCCGCCATGCTGTGCGGCAACCAACACGGGCATTGCGTCAGTTCTCCTGGACGTGCCGGAGGCTTCAAGCGGAGGTTCTGAATGCCGAAGTCGACAGCGCTGGTCTTACACCTACGGAAAGGATACGGAACATTGCCATAATAGCCCATGGTTCGTATGTATGCCTGTGCTATGTGTTCAGGCCGCTGACATTCATTGCAGTCGACCATGGCAAGACGACACTTGTTGACCAACTCCTTCGTCAATCTGGCACTATCAAACAACTTTCTGCCACGGAGCAGCTACTGTATACCCCTACTTCAAGTAGCGGTTCCGCAGCATCTGGGTCTTCAATGACGGCAGATGCTCAGATTGAGGACGGCTTCGTCACTCGCGTCATGGATTCCAACGACCTGGAAAGGGAGCGAGGCATTACTATTCTCTCGAAATGCACCAGCGTTAATTACAATGGGAACCTCATCAACATTGTTGACACGCCGGGACACGCGGACTTCGGCGGAGAGGTTGAACGCATTATGAGCATGGTGGATGGCGTTGCTCTCGTTGTGGACGCGACGGAAGGACCAATGACGCAAACACGCTTTGTGCTCTCAAAAGCACTGGCTCGAGGTCTTCGGTAAGCAGAATATCCTGACTTCCACCGCTACCGTCATTTATTCAAATTGTAGCCCTCTCGTTGTATTGAACAAAGCAGACAGGCCTACGTCACGACCTGCACAGGTTGAAAGTGATCTTTTTGATCTCTTTGCAACTCTAGGTGCGACAGACGAGCAAGCCGACTATCCTCTCCTCTATGCTTCCGCCAAACAAGGATGGGCGCAGCCCACATTACCACCACCATCTCTCGAACAACCGTCTTCACCCAGTATGACACCCCTCTTCAACCTCATCATGTCCCACGTTCCCGCACCCAGACAGCTTACCCGCTCAGCACCCTTCACGATGCTTACAGTCCAGATTGAAGCAGACCCCTACGTTGGTATCCTATATCTTGGCCGAATTCACTCTGGCGTCCTCCGGATTGGCGATACCCTCCACGCCCTGAATGCTGCAGGACAAAAGGTCGGTGAAGGCAAGGTCAAGAAGATTTATGGTCGGCGCGGACTCGAACGGATAGAGAGGGATTCTGCTGGTGCAGGTGAAATCGTGTCAATTGCAGCTGGTGTGAAAATCAACGTCGCAGGCCAAGGTGGGGTTAACCTGACGCTCGTTCACCCCGATGGCTGGGGGAGCCAGGGCCCACAGGCCCTTCCTACAACACCGAATCGACCCTCCAACCATCAGTATCGTAATCCACGCGAACGACTCACCGCTTGCTGGCAAGGAGGGGACGAAGCTCACCTCGCAGCTCATCCGTGACAGGATCTACAAGGAGGCGGAGACGAACGTCGCTTTGACCGTCCTTCCAGGTGCAACGTCTGAATCTTTGGAACTCCGTGGTCGCGGCGTCTTGCATCTCGGTGTTCTTCTGGAGACTCTTCGCCGCGAAGGCTTTGAGGTCTCTGTTGGTCCCCCCAAGGCAGTGCTCATCCCCGACCCAAAGACGAACCCCGAAGGCAAAGAGAAAGGTGCTTGGCTGGAGCCAGTCGAAGAATGCACAGTCATCGTTAAGGAGGAGTACGCTGGTAGCGTCGTGCAGAAGTTGACAATGCGCAAGGGCGAGATGCGGAGCTATGAGTCTGGCGATCCGGAAGAAGGTTGGGTGCGAGTGGTCATGGACGTTCCAGCACGGGGCCTCATTGGGTACATGGCGGGCGAGTTCAAGAACGATGTCCACGGGCAGGGGTATGTTGCTCCATTATTGTCAAGCAATTGAAGTGCTAATGGCTTGGTAGTACGATCAATCACATTTTCAAGGGATATGAGCCATACAAGGGTGCTATCGACACTGGGCGTAACGGTGCTCTAATCTCGATGATGACGGGCGAGTCCTCCGGATACGCTATGGCACCTCTACAAGCCCGTGGGACGCTCTTCATCCACCCACAAACCCAAGGTATATCTCCCTCTCATGCCCTTGCCAACGATCCTAACTCCTTCCCAGTTTACCCTGGGATGGTCATCGGCGAGTCTTCCAAAGCAGCGGACCTATATCTCAACCCATGTGTCAAGAAGCAGCTAACAAACATACGTGCGGCCGGTGCCGACGAGAAAATCGTGTTGGCGAGTCCGAGAGTTCTCACCCTCGAGGAGGCGCTGGCATACATGGCCGATGACGAGCTAGTAGAGGTGACACCGACGAGCATAAGGCTAAGGAAGAAGGACCTGGAGAGCGCGAAGAAGGGTCGGGCGCCGAAGGCCAAGGCGAAGTAGAATGTTAGAACTGGTGGAGCAGTGGGACGTGACGGACAAAAGGTTCGTTTCTTTTGCTTCTAATGATTGACGACGAGGTTAACTGCTCCTCCAGTCTGAACGCCAATTATACTTATCTAGAGGCCAAGATAGAGCGAGCCTGGTCAATTTAGATCCTATACCTTACGATTCGACTCGTGCTTGCTTGTCGACGTTAGACGGCCTGCAAGGCGCAAGTAAGTATTACTTACGAACCCCACTCTGCGTAATGGATAATCAGTGAAAGCAACCACGAGCTGCGACCTGCATCATCAACCTGGCTATTCGCAAGTAGATGAAATCCAACGTCGCACCGGAAGGCATACGGCCTCTCCGAGGTCCGTCCGAGAAGGATGTGCGAGCATGGCGGGTGTTCTTTTGTTCCAGTCCCATTACTGATAGCTCCGGATTGACATCCAGGCGTTCAATACGAACGATACGATTTGTTGCTTCATGACCCCAATCTGACTGCAGCGCTTTACCCCCTTGCGTGTAAGCAAAGACTAATTCATATAAGCTTATTTCCAGTGTCTAGCAGGATTCTCACACAATTGTGGTGGTATAGCGCCTCCAACGCTAGCGCTTCGTACATCATTGTGGTAGAAAGTTGTGCTGTGTATGTATGATTCGTGGTTGTTTCTGTAGTCAGCCTCGCTTGAAGTGATGAACAGCTGCCGCGATCGTGGATGGGAGGCGGCAATGTTAGCCGTTAAGTACATATCCGATGAGGAGTGCACTGCTGTTGAGCACTTCAGCATCCAAGAATCATGAACAGGAAAAGCAAAAATGGACTTCCGATACGGGGAATCGAACCCCGAGCTACCGCGTGAAAGGCGGTAATGTTAGCCGTTACACCATATCGGATTATAAAATTATTCAACATTAGAGTATATGTTCCTCCATCATTTCTAACATTTCTTCACGTTGCACCACAGGGCTCATAGCCAAAAAGTGGCCAACCATAAGGCGACGACCTAGCACTGTAGCATCCCTCAATCTCTATTTGTACTTTATGCTGTATTAATTGTAGTCAAACGAACTGCTAAATTGTCGTTATCGATGGGCCTTGTAGGCGCCGAGCCTTGTTCCTTTCTTGATGGCCTGAGTCACCGTCCCCCCACGAGGAATGCTGTGTCCCACATTGTGGGCACATGTACAGCAAGCAAGTATCCAAGAGAATTTAAACCCAAGCACTCCCAGCTCTTCTGCTATTTTTCTTTCCTTCACGATCTCAACGACCCCCGACATTCTAGGCCTATTCCCGATTTTTTTCATATCCCACTTTCTCGCATTCGAGGGTTGTTCGAGGGATTTCAGTATTCGGTCGCCACAGCATGTCTGACAGGCTCTTCGCCTTGGCCACATTTGCAGTTTCAGCGGCTGAGGAAGCTGCGCGCGCGTTGAATGGGACCCTCCCATACGACTTTCAGAGCACGTCTCTCAACCCTGATGGAGCTGCGCCAGAGATCCAGCAGCCTCAGCAGAGCATACCACCCAAGATTGTGTCCTTCGTTGTTCAACCCGAGCCTCATGACGCCAAAGACGCGCTGAAATTGCTATTTTTCCAAATGGACTTCTCCACCGACAGAACTACCGGGGACACATCTGCGCGGCCAGTAAAGTGGATGCTGTATGAGAAAAAGACGCCGGACACGCACGACGTATGGCAGAGTGCTTTTGCTCCAACGTACTTGGCCAGTGGACTCAAGGAGAAGGGGAAGGCGTCAAAGGCTCGGAGGAGAGCGAGCACTCCAGACATCTTCAGGCCTGCAAAGCTAGGGAACTACTCGGAGAAGCGGGTATCTGGCGTTGCGGAGCAGCTCGAGAGTTACGGAATGATTCAAGTTAGAGGATCTCGTGATGACCCTGTTGCAGGAACAAAGGACGCCCACAGGGCTGCCAGATCCGGCATAAGGAGCGCCCACAGACCGTCTCACACGGATCACTCCGAGTCTGAAGACAGCACACTGCGTCATCTTACAGCTCCAGAGGTAGAGAGGATTCGGAGACGATCACGCATTCCATGGATAGACATCGTCTGCCATCCTGAGGTGGGCCAACCTCGGAGAGGCTCGGACTGTGTCGGTCAAATAATCTTATCCTGATCCAATCTCTGATTCGCTAGGGCACGTTGGCGCCCGTAGCTTCTGATGTTCTTTCTCGTCGTTCGTTGAGCCCCATGGAAAAACATCTAAGACTTCTATCCATATGTTCAGGCTCCATGTAGCACATGCCTTTATGTACTATTTAAAGAGGGATTCGCTTAGCTAGGTGTACATCGCAATATGTCTTTCTGCTCTCAGAGAACTCAGAAGGCGAGCGCCAGTGAGCGAGCATAGGCGCCCAGCGTGGATAATCGGAGTTGCAGTACGGCAAGACGCGAACACTCAAAGATATGAAACAGTTCGCCGTGTTCATTCAAGCTCTCAAGTTTCAAGATAGTCATCGCCAAGTTTGGAGTGTTCGAGTCCGAAGAACGTCGAGCGCCCGAAGACAACGTACACGCATGGAGGAATCTGCATAATTGTCGAGGAGGTGGGATCTTTCCTATGCACCGCGTGTTACTTCCGTGACGACAACCGCTCCTTTATGTCATGTGTGCTGAACCCTCTTTGCCCAGTGGAAACTGTTCTGTTATTAGATATTCATCTGGACATACGTGTTTTAGCGCGAGAGCATCTCAGGTTGTCTCCACATGATTCGAGAGAATCGGCCCTTCGGCTAGTTTTCGGAGTTGTCATACGTATCCCAAAAAGTCAATTTACGCCATTTTTGGACACGATCGTTCCTGGACCATCACCTCAGCCTCTCTTTCTAGTTGATTATCGCAGAACGAGGCAGAACGCTATAGGTAACAACAACAATGTATTATAATCTATGTCCGAACATACATATGAGGTAGTAGGGAATCACAAAGGCCATAAGGTCATGGAAAAGGGAGATCATCTGTCTAGCAAAATGATAAATATAGTACGATATATGTGATGGGGTCTCGGACGTCGGAAGGCGATAATACGAATGGTGTAATCTACGCATACTCGCCATCTATTATACTCCGGATAGAAGATTCGAAAGAAGAGGATTCAGGAGAGCGCCAACGATGCCGAAACATGGTTGAAGGCGTCCCAGACATCTAGGCCGTAAAACCAACGTCGGCGAGATAGCTCGCGAAGCGGTCGTCGGTGAGGAGATAAACAAGTGCACTACGAGCTGCATTATTCTTGGCTATAACAGCAGTGCGTCCTTCCCCCTTTCCGTACTCATAGCCATCGACTACAGTGCGCGATTAGCATGTCAGGATACATAGGTCGGGCACAAGAGAATAAAATACTCACTGCTCACGGTCACGGTGTGTGTCGGGCTGCTCTTAGGGCCGCTAACAGACGGATTATATACCGGTCTGTGGGTATTTCCAAGACATTTCTGGCAGGCGTTGTTAAGAATGTTAATGGGGCCGTCGTCTGAAGAGGCATGTGCAATATTAGCCTCCCATTATTTGAGCGGGGCAGAGAGAAGTAAGAACCTGGCATTGTAAAATATTCCGCGAGTTTCTGCTGAGGAGATGGAATGCGGAGCTGCTTGGTGAAGAAAGGCCATACTCGAGTGGAACTTAAGTATTCCTCCTCCATCCCCCTTCGTACCATCATCACTGCATCGTTTCGTTGACCATATGAGAGGACACCTACCAAAAGGAGTCAAGCGGTACGCTAAACGGTAGCGGAGAATGCAGATAGGGCCGAGCTGTGAGAGAGACCATGTATCGTGTTCAATAGAGTTCATTTCTCGAGTTACGGGACGTATCTCCAATAGTTATGGGTTTCCCTTCAGGGTTTCAGCGCCCGTTGCTGATAGGTCAAATCAACAAAATTTTATCCTAGCACCCATCAACAGCATCAGTGTTAATGAGCGAGTTCCCGAGCCGCGTTTGGTCTATACCTTGTCGCCTTCGAAGAAGAGAGCAAAGGGGCAGCGGAAAGGAACGCAACGGCAAGGCAAGCATACACACAGGATAGCGGTAAATGGCGAACTACCGAGAGCGATCGGAAGAGAGCTCACACCATTACGCTGCGGCTTCAGAGCAGTCTTCACAGGACAAAAAATTTCAAAGGAAATCGGAAACCCATAGGTTAACGGAGTGGAACTATTCTCCTTCAAGCCTGGGTCCGCAAGAAATTTATTGTCGGCGGTGGGATTTCGGTCGCCCGAGAATGATACGGGACGCAACGCATTACGAAGGATCGAACAAACTGAGGTGCAACAGTGCACCCACAACGGGATCGTCGGGAGGCAAGCCAACACGAGGAAGTCGGGATTGCACCTTAATACATCGATCTCTTGCATTGGCGGACCTATACTTCACAAGTTGAGCATAGCCCGCCGATCCTTACCGTTGGGATTGAGGGCCTTGCGCGCCTATGTCTATCAGCGTCATTGGCGCTGGCGACGAGAGTGCGCGCGTGAGCTATTTTGGTCCACGCGAGCAATGAAGCACTGTAAATCATGAGTGATAGTTAGACGTGAGAAATGCTATATTATTATAACGCGTCATAACTTCGGTCTTCAGAGGTGGTCCGTCTGACTCCCGTAGGGCGAAAGCGCTCAAGGGAAGAGCAAAAGTGGCGCCCGTGAAGTGCCCGTGAGATATAGATTATTACCCCTATGAGACAGTCCAGATAGCGCGGGTAAGTCGCCCATAGATCTCGTAACTCGTTGGAGACTGGGACTTCGAGTCGGAAGAACGTCACGGCCGATGTAGAACAAAGGGCAATTCGGGATAAGACGCGGTAGGCTAAACAAAATTTTCAACATTCTTGGGTCAGTATTGCAGAGAAATTTTCTGAAGGATTCGGTAAGACATAGAGCAGATAACACCGTTACCGGGTATATCAGAGTTGAGTATGAGGTGGTCTGATAACAACATACTGACAGTGCCGATTTTGTGCAAAACCATGGAACGTAGTGCCCTTTCGTGATCCCACTAACTGAGTCGTCAGACACCCGGTAAAGCATGGCATTGCGAAAGAAATACAAGAACATACCGAGCATATGGCGACGAGCATGCGCTATGTTTTCCACCATTCTTGCCGTCCAGCAGCACAAAGGTCGGAGAAATCCCAAACATTCGCAAGGAGCAGGAGACAGCTTCGGGATCAAACAGCATTCAGCCAGAGCACATGGTAAATACCCCAGAAACGACACCAGAGTGCACTGCAGGTAGTACAGAGGCCAATGGAACACATAGCATCCAAGCTCGTGGAAAAAAAGACAGTAAATCCAATCGAGACCTAATAGAGAAAATTCTACATGATTGGTTCACTGATGACATTAGAACAAGTTTTCGGTCACCGTGCATCAAGTGTATGAGGAAAACGAGACGAGAGGAGGCGACAAGATGACGGGTTACGAAGCTGAAGCTGGGTGGTACCTTCCTTAGCTAAGCCTGTTACGTAAATAGTACCCACGCCCCTCTCTCTAAGTACATCAGAGTACATCACCCCGGATGCCGCTGACACCGCCCGAAGAACTTGTCGCTTGAATTTCTCTAGCCCGACCAATGCCAATTCACCTTGTCAGCAGCTCAATGATTCTGCATGAAATCATCCCCGTTTCGGCCCAGAGGACCTCAGTAATAAGTATACCCTGGGTCGACCTTACGGGGTTCAAATCTGATGCGATGGACTCAAAATGGCAAAATGGCAAGACTTTTATAAGACCGAGCCAATTGGGCCGTACGGACTAGCGAACTTCCTTCAACATCGTGCCACTTGTTCACTGATTTCACCAACTAAATAAGAGAGCAGTATAAACGCCCCACTATTGCGCTTAGGGAGTGAAGTTCGCCTATCGATAAACTTGAAGATCGAGCTAGATAAAGGGCAACACGATAGGACCGTTTCGCGCAACTCCGCTTCTCGCGCTTTTTTGCCTCTTCTCACTCGGGATAGCCCTATATCTTGCAAGGCACCCATATAACTTGCGACCCGGGTTTACTTCCAACCACAACCACCACCTTGCACCCAAAACCTCATTTCAGCACATTCTCAACATGTCCAGTGCGGAAGCCAAAGCTGCACGTCGCGCCAAGTTCGAGGGCGTCTTCGAGAAGATCAGGGACGAACTCGTCGAGCACTTTGCTGGAGAGGGGATGCCAGCAGAGGCTGTGAAATGGTACCGCGATGTGAGTGATGCACTCTTGATCCGTTCTACTGAAGATGACCTCCCAATTCAGAATCTGAACTACAATGTCCCGGGGGGGAAGCTGAACCGCGGGATGTCAGTCGTCGATACCGTCGAGATCTTGAAAGGGCGTGCCTTGACCGAGGACGAGTACTTCAAATCTGCCATCTTGGGGTGGTGTGTTGAGTTGGTACGTTTCGCGTTCTTTTCAGGCCGTGGTCGTGTCAGTTTAACCCGATGTTTAGCTCCAAGCCTACTTCCTTGTTGCGGACGACATGATGGACTCCTCTATCACGCGCCGCGGCCAGCCCTGCTGGTATAGACTCCCCGAAGTTGGCAGCATCGCAATCAATGATTCCTTCATGCTCGAAGCGGCCATTTACCGCCTCCTCAAGGTGCACTTCCGCACGGAGCCGTACTACGCCGATCTCCTCGACTTGTTCCACGAGACGACATACCAGACAGAGATGGGCCAGCTCGTGGACCTCATTACCGCTCCGGAGGACAAGGTTGATCTGAGCAAGTTCTCTTTGGAAAGGTGCACTGCTTTTGCTGGTTTCTTCAATGAAGTCTGTCTAATTGCTTATCAGACACCGCCTGATCGTGATCTACAAAACCGCGTACTACTCCTTCTATCTCCCCGTCGCATGTGCCATGCTCGTCTCTCGCATCCCCGAGACTTATACCGTCGCCGCTGCCTCCGGCTCAGCGACCGTCAAACCATACGATCTTGCACTCTCCATTCTCCTGCCCCTGGGCGAGTACTTCCAGATCCAAGATGATTTCTTGGACTTCTCTGGCACCCCAGAGCAGATCGGGAAGATCGGCACAGACATCGTCGACAACAAGTGCTCCTGGGTCGTCAACACCGCCATCAAGCTCGCATCCCCGGAGCAGCGCCAGCTCCTTGATGAGAACTACGGCAGGAAGGATGCGGAGAAGGAGAAGAAGGTCAAGGCGCTCTTTGAAGAGCTTGGCATCAGGAAGGTATATGCTGAGTACGAGGAGAGGGTTGTGGGTGACTTGAAGAAGAAGATTGGTGAGATCGTCGAGGTCGAGGATGGCTTGAAGAGGGAAGTGTTCGAGAGCTTCTTGGGCAAGATATACAGGAGGAGCAAGTAAATAGTCAGGCTCAAGGCTGAAGTAAGAAATTTTGTAGTATTTTGGTGCACTAATCCAACATAGAGATTGCTTTGACAGTTTGTGAATTGACTTGGAATCGCTAGCTCTGTCGGGAAAATGGCGGGAAATTCATTGGGAAATTCATTTCCTATTAATTCCCTTTCTCGTTCTAACAGATGCTTCTCAACTCGCTCACGGGGTGTGTATTAGTCCAACGTGGAAGCCCACTCCACGACCCAGGGTTCGTTTCCGTGCTGCTCGCGAACCCATGTTACGAAATCCCATGCTCTGCGGTCATAATCTTCGAACGGTCCCACCGTGCCACATACACATATCTTGTGGGTCAATCTGAAAAGGGAGGCGTGGTCGTTGCCTTTGGCCCTTTCAACTCGTGAGCTTCGTCTTCGACGGGATCCCCCAATGTGAAGGGACGTGCAAAAGCGAAGTCGAAGAACACCAGGTGTTCAGTTCCACCAGCGGATTGCACAAGACGGATATTCGAATCGCGGACATCTAGGTCGCAGAGACCAAGACCAAATTCGTGAAGTTCGTACACTCTCTTGAAGACATCTCGGACCTGTTATGTCGGACAATGACGTTATAGGTGGTAAATTGAATCAACGAAATGATTCTTGCCAAAGGGTACCATCGCTTGTCGCCAATGGATCTTCCGCCAAGGTTGAGACACCGTTCAACGAGAGACGCCCCATCGACATAGGACATAGCGATGGCATAATGCACAACTGTGTCGTCTTTATCTGAGGTTGTGACTTATAAGATTGCGCGATTAAGGAAGGGAGCCCAGAGTACAATAGCACACGTACTAGGTATGCACCGCGAAAATGTGGTATACAGCAGTGCCTTGCAGATGGGAAAGCAGCCCGTACACCCATGTTTCCGTCCAGGCCATGAGCTCCTCTGTAAACCTGTAGGAATTCGGCGCGGAGAATGGTTCTTGGGGAGACTCATAGCTTGCATCTGGATGCGGGTTGACATTAGGAAAGAAGTCAAAAGAGTAGATTTTCAGCACCACGTTTTCAAGCACTCCCAAGGCAGGGGTGAATAGAGTTCCGCGGTCCACTTGAGACCATGTACCAGGGCCAGTATGAATATTGTCTTCTGGAGAAAAATGCGCAATTGAAGGGAGCTCGTGCACAGAGTATGGCTGGGCGACAGGCGTGGGTCTCCTTGTTCGTAATGACTAGGGGGCTCTGCTCCTCTAGGTGGCCAGTGGCTGGGGAATTCGATTTGGTGGGTCAACCGAAAGCGCATAGCAGGGGTGATGCAAGGCAAAGTGTCCGTTTTAGTGTTCACAGTATTGATTTCGACTGGGAGCCCCACGCGTCGTCTCGCGATCCATCATCGGAAGGAGGCATGTCCCAAACCCGAAGGACCCACAACGACGGGACACAGGACTCAACGTGGCAGTCTCAGGGTGTGAGAGATGCGACTGCGAGTTCTAGACATGTATATACAATTTCCACGAGAATTGGGTGCTAGCAGAAGCTGACGGTGTTTGAGGGTTCCGCCAGCGAAGTCGTCGGAGAGTTGGGAAGAAGACAAGTTGTCACTTGATCGCGTGGCGCAGTAGCGCTAAACCGTAATCTTATCTTATCAGTACTGGTAATTCGTCTCATTGCCACCCTTCGAATTCGAACCACCTGGATCTGGTTGCCGTCATCTCTATGTATATCCCGTGGAACGTTGGTTATGTTACTAAGTAGTGAGACCCGCACCTTTCGATCGCAAGGATGCTTGGTTGCTTGGTTGTGAAATCACCAGCTGTGTGGTCTCCATCGAGAACTACCGGCCCGTATGCAAGCATACCGGGAGGCAAACCAGCTTCTTACCGCTGTGATAGTCTAACCACCAATCCGTCGTTTCATCAGAAAGGATAAGATTGGCCCAAGACGTCGCACGGGTTCGGAAAACTGATGGAAGTGGAACCAAGCTATGAAGTCATGTTCAATTTTATCTATACTATCTCTTCACGTCCTTCGGTCCTGATCTGACGTCGGTGTACATGCCGACCCAACAACATGTTGTGATCCCAGTCTCCCAAGGCTTATCAGGATTCCTCTACTCCGTCTCCATTATTCGGATATATCTAAATGTTCTGCATTGTATGAAGCTCTGAGCAGTGAGGTCATAGGTGCTCCCTGGACTGCCTTACCCTGGGAAAGGAAGCTTATCCAGACGAAACCGAGGACGTGGGAATGATCCCTTTCCGCTTCCATTTCCCTCGACTAGCACCAGACGCATCCTCTCTGATACAGAAACACGCATCGAGAAATATCAAGGGAGGTGGGGAACTCTTGCTCCGACACCTTCGATCATAATCGATACGCTGATGACGGCGATAATTCAATAGGCGCCCAAGTGTTAGTAAGTTAGGCGCCGGCCTTGTCCGGTCACGAGCATGCTGGTGTTGTCACTGTTTGTACCTGCAACGCGAGAATGAACCATCCTCGTACAAGCATCGGCATACGGGGTCAAGCGACCGCGACTACAGCTATCATGTGGGTCATGAATATCCTGCGGCTCGACTTTTTGGTCTGCGCGTCCCGGGTCGCCCGCGTAGGGCCTTCTACGTTGATGTGGAGTGCAGCGCCCACAACGAAGTTCGCTCTTGACTCAGGAATATGTTCATTTTCTCTCGAATGAGAAGGTTTATTCGGACTGCGGTTGCGGTCCCGGTTACGACAAATTTTGCATGTGCATTGGCCAAATGAACGTGTTGCAAACGCGACAGCGCCACGTCCCGTCTACGCTATCCGTCATGCTTTTTTGAAGTTCATTTTCATCGCTTTGTAAACGTTGAAACACGGTTTAATCAACCTCCATTAAGGCACATACCTCGACCTTTCCTGCACCGAGGAAAAAGAACAAAAACGTATCGCCGTGACGGCACGACTCGGGAACTCTTCCAATGACGAGGTTGACTCGAGGGTCTGTACACAGCGGGATTTTAATCCTCTTGGTCGGGCTTATACATCGGCTTGCATGGGATTCACTGTTGCAGAAACCAAAATCGTGATCCTTTTTCGCCTTCAAACCAAATCTTCGGAAGGGAAATTGGAGTCAAAACACGCCATTCCTCGGACCTCCCTTCATTCTTTCTTATCGAGCTCGATTGCTCTGCGGGACTCTGGGAATGCGGTTGTTCAGGGATACCAGAGGTACTCATTGCATTAGGGTTAGATAGAAGGATACATAAAGCACGAGAATGGGGTTCACTTTTCTTCTCCACGAAATCAACCACCGTGTTCTCCCAAAGCACCCAACAGTCTGCCGATATAATGTCTACTCGTAAGCCGTCTGTTTCCCTCGATTTCTGAGACCAGTCTATGAGATGAAGCTTATTTTCAGGCGAATTTGTCAACCTCCTGCACAATGCCTGCCAAAGCTGTCTCGGATGTCGCCCTCAATACAGTACCTCAGAGAGCGGACCGGAGAATAGAAAGGTGCATACAGCCGTCGTGTACAGTGGGTATTAATCAACTTCCTCTTTCCGTGTCTCTGACTTCGACCACTTAATAGTAAACGACGTGGAACATGGAACTGGAACCGGTGCGAGTCAGATGGCTGCCAAGCATGCAGCAGCGTACAGGACCCTTCTCATGCTCCGAAACGACGACGACTTCAAGAGTTATCTCGCCTCCCGTTTTTCTCCTTAAGCGTCATCACGGTGCATATTCCTTACGATCACTGCTACTTTACTTTAACATCCTGTACCTAGAAGCTTGAATCTTATGTTACAGCCACAGTAGAATCGACCATAAACCATAACATCATTTTTTGACTTTGTCAACCCCACTCTCTGATGGGTTCCTGCTTGCTCAGATTGGCGATGCTGCACCCGACCAGTGAACGCCCCCATACTTCGGGAAGTAGAAATATATGACAGCTAGAAAGAGCGTACCACCTGCGACGATTCGTGGAAGTTAAAAAGAAACATCAACAACTGTTCTCAGAAATGGAAGGACAGCGGAGAAAGCTATAAAAGCCGGATAGACTTACCGAGGACGACTACCGTGTAATTCAGTCCGCCAGTGTCGGGATGAGGGGAGGCTGGAAAGAGGAACACGACCATGATGAAAAGCATGAAGATCACAGCCGTCGCTGCCACGGGCTTGCTCTGGTTGGTGAAATTAAGTCGGGATACTCGGACGGTGAAGGAGAAAAGAGGACGACGAACCATCCTTCCAAGTGTAAATGGCCCTTTCCTGATCTCCTGGACGCCGAGGAAGCGCCTTGATATTGGCACTGAATAAGCGGTGTACTGGCCTGCCACGACCAATGAGAACACTGCCCCAATGGCAGCTGTGCTAGCAAATGACAGGAGCCCTAGCAACAGGGCCATGAACGCCAACGTCCAGACGCAAGTTACGCGCGCGAATGCCCACTTGTTGACGCGGTAAAGGTATCGCGAAAATGGGGGAGCGCCATCTCCGGAGAAAGTAAACACCTGCCTCGAGCATGCTGTTAACTAATGAAAGGAGGAGTTCAGAATTCGTACGTGTAGGGGCGGAATTCTGAGCGTGAAGGACATTACCATGCTCGTGCCTAGTGTGAATCTGGCCAATATTAACATTTGAGGAAGTTCCTAACGAGAAAAGACTAAATTCCTCACTGAATAACTATAATGAACGCCCATATCACCAACGTCCCTTTCTTTCCCATTGCGTTGAACAGAATCTAATCAAGCAGGAACCAATTTAGGCGCCCGTTGATGCGCCCGTAATTTCCATGACTCACCGCGGCCATCGGTTGCCCAATCGGGCTGATAAGAACGCTCTCTGTATACAGAACGCCAAGACAACGTTTAGACCCCATCCAACGACACTCATAGAGGTAGAGAGGATAATAGCGAAGGGAATAGCGATATCTGCATGTGTTGCTTCCTCGCTGATGCGAACCATCGAGTCAAAGGCTGCAATAGCCCAGAGGGGGCTGAGGAAGCTCAGGATGAATGCGTATCCGTCGGACCATCCGGAGACTACGGGACTGGTATATGGAAAACAGAAGATGGTTCTTCTGCTAGCCTCAATCAGGACGGACCATTCGTGAAATCTCCAAAAGCGTATCCAGCAGGGTTCACGAGTACCTCGAGGGTGGGTGGCGGAGTATTTTCCTTACAAGAAGTTTATAATGATGTATGGAATCTGAAGTCATGCGATAATTGCAGGGTCGAAGCTACAGATCGCAGCATGTGTCATCAGCAAGGCAGCGAATACTCCGCTACTGGCGGAAACTGATGAATCTTTTGCTCCCTATCAGACGCGGAATGACTGCTTACAAGGTCTGGGCCGTCGTAGCTTCGAACTTCAATCCGGAGTTGCTGCTTGCGGCGGCCATGATCTGAACAGAGCGCCCCAGTCGACACTGTGGGAAGCCAGGGCATTTTTAAAAACTACGCCAGGATGCAGTTAATTCTCATAGCCCGCATAAGTGTTTGAAATAACCACCTGTATGGCAATATATAAAACTACACCTGGTGGTTTTATGCCCTGCCGGAAGAAAGTGAAAATAACCGCCGAAAGGACTCTTTTGGCGGTTAATACAACTAAGCTCTGGCGGTTTGTCTGCCTTGACTGAGCTAGGTTTTATTTACGTTGTTTCTGGGTGTATGATTTTCTGCCGACATTCATAGTAAATTTCATTGCCCGAGGTAATTACATGGCTTGTGCTAGGTCTTGCGCCTCATACCTGTATCGACCCTTGCCCTCCCTATCTTCTCCGGCCGTCAATCTCGCATAGGCATGGTCTCTTGCGTCGGATCTCCATCGATTGTGCGTCGGACTCCTGAGATCGTTACAGCGCCAGCGGTGGACTGTATTCCGGTGGATGCACTGAGTGGGGGACCTTTTGTGCATAGAGATGACTCACCGTATCTTCAGCCTTTCCTGCTCTTGGCCGCTCGCTTACATCTCAACATTAGGAGGCATTCATTCTAATGCACAGGCAGGGCTGCAACAAATCAACAGAAGGCAAGTGCATGATACGCTCGTGTAGAAATGGGCACTTACGCTCATTGCAGTCCTTCACCGTGTTGCCAAGCCTGACAAGGTGGATAATCCTCAGAACCCCTCCTTCAACGAGCAGCGTTAGGTTTCACATTCCGGGTGGTATTTCATGGCCCAGCATCAGGAATTGTGGGATAGCAGCGGCGGTGGGCTGTGGGAGGAACACGGTGATAAATCATTTATCTCCTGCTCAAGAATATATACGCACCGAAATATTGAGCGCGAGAGTTCACGAAGCCAACGGCAGCAACATGCTACGCCGAAGGGAATGCCGAAACATGAAAAGAGGCCCGTACAGTTGCGGTGCAGGTGTCAGGGGGCGATTTAGGAACCGTGTACTGCGCCTTTTCCACGTCAAACTCCCGAACGCCCACCCTGGACCTGAGCTGAAGGTCGACACCGAGGACGCAGGTGGTGGAGAGGTGTGTACGCACACGAGATGGACGACCAGGTATCGTGCGGGTGAAACGAAGGTAGTAGAGTAGACGAGGCGTAGGGCGGAGAGCGACGTCGCTGATGCAGAGGGGCAACGGGCATGTCACAAAACCTGCCCTGGTAGCTCAGGGACAGGAGCCGCATGGAAAAGAGATGGCACAGATCGCACCTTTGTAAACAATTGGGAGCTGCCTCCCGCCCGATAGGTGTCCGCAGTTGACGAGGAGCATATATATGTGAAGTCGAATGGGAATGAGCGCATACACTCAACAAAATTGGAACTCACGTTCCCAATTGGCTGCGATCAGCCCATCGGAGTCCGGATCAGCCAGATCGGAACACGTAGTTCAGTTCTACAGGTGAGCTAGTCAAGTTTTCAGCAAACGGATGCCCATCTTGAGCCTCAGATGGGGGATCGGGACAGAGATGTGGTAGACACGGAGGTAGGAGATGGTGGTAGGAGGGAAGAAGGAACATGTCGGAGGCAGGAGTGACAACGGCAGCATCACGTGGTCGCCGTATGTTTGGCAGCGGCTTGTTTGTTCCAATAGGCAACCAAACAAAATGAGGATTTTTCACTCATTTTGTTTGGTTGCCTATTGGAACAAACAGGCTGCTGCCAAACAATGTTGGGAGAAACCTGTAAGTCCGTTGAGTAAGTGACTTCAACACGAAGTTGTGCGCGATCGATTGGCGTGGTCATGAAAGGCCGCGGCCTGCGCGTGTAAAAGTGTCACGACGTCATGATGATGGGGAATTTAACTCCCGATTGGCAGCTATTTCGCTATTTTTAGACACGTTTAATTTTACATTTCCTCAAACGGTTAAAGGAACCGCCATTCCCGGGCAGTTTCGGCCGATGCAGTTGTAAAAACCGCCAACGCTTCCCACAGTGTCGACTGAGGCGACACTGGCAATATTTCCGATCGTATTGAAATCTATCAGAGCAAGCAGAAATTCCAGGTTGAGGGATACTAGGATCAGCCTATCACAAGGATCCGCTTACAACCAACAATCCAGCAAAGGAGGCATCGCCACAGGGGTGGGGAGAAAATGAAGTCCAGTGACACAAACCACCAGATGTAGGGGCAATCGAGCCGAGCTCCTTCATGGCGAGCGCGATCATGGTCAGAAAGGATCTTACGCTGCCCACTACCCGATATGGTACGTGTCAGTCGGGCCAAGGTGATGCGCCACACACGGAAGGACCCCCCCCCCTAGACCATCGCGGACGCTCCTCCATATGGCATCGAGTAGACTAGGACGGATCTACGGTATCATGGCGGCGTTTTAGAATGGGGACTACTTACGCTAGAGAGGGCTCAGGGCACGAGCCCGACGATACTGAAGCCAACACCAAACATAACAAGGCGGGAGAAGTTGCATTTGAGCTCAGCAAATCCTATCAATCAGTGTCCAAGTCATCGTTGGAGCGATTGACCTTGGCGATATCCTAGTTTCGCCGAAAGACTTTAAGAGCTGCCTCCTCAATTGTCCATCGTCACTGGCAGAGTAGTGACGGTTGTCATCGACTTGGAAGATTTCTTCTCCTCCATCTTGATGCGCACTGCTGGCGGGACAAGATGAATGTAGAGATAAGGGGAGGTAGTGGCTTGTAGTCTTGTCTGCCACACTCTTGTCGGCAGATTCAAGAATAGAAGACCGATTTCGTAACTTATTTCGTAAACAAACGTAATTCGCATAGCGAATGCCTGTTTTAGTCAAAAAACAATTCTTCATCTTCCTTCGCAGCAAAAGTGAGTTTCTGGGGAACAATTAATGCAGTCCAGCTTCTCTAGTTCGGATACGGGGAATCGAACCCCGAGCTGCCGCGATCGTGAATGAGAGGCGGCAATGTTAGCCGTTACACCATATCCGACATGTCTATTTATAGAACTTGATCACTATTGATCGCTTTGCACAGAATCTCTTCCGTTGATCTCTCTCAAACACCAGCTACCCCGTAGTTGCTGATACTCCGTAAATTTAGACAGAGGGGGAGATGGTTAAGGAAGTTGAGATCCCCCGTAGTGAGGTCCGCTTATCTTACTATGTCGTCGCCTTCAAGTTGCCGTGTTGCACCACAAGACTCAGTAATTTAGGAGCCTTTGACCGGAAGAGAGAATGTCATTAGATTAGGTTATGGAGAATGTCCTTTTAAACCGCGAGAATATCTTGCTAGTCATCACAAAAATCGGTGATATTGGCTGTTATATATGCACTATGTTAAGTCCGAGAAGCAATATTCTGAGTCGGAGAGACCTTCCCCCAAAGTGGATCCACAATGACCAACAATCACTCCAGCTAAGATATTCAAAGTCAGAAAAGTGTGATTTTATTGAATACACTCTAGTAGAAACAAAAGCATTCCATGGAAAATCTGGGGAAGTTATATTGGGAAAAACAAAGGTGATTTTTCAAAGTCTATTTGACCTCAACTCGGACTCAGCGTTTGCGTCGGCGCGAATCGAGAAGGGAGGGAGGTTGGAGGATCCTCAGAAGTTAGGATCATTTGGGTGCTCCCTCTTCAAAGCCCCATAGGCAACGTTGGCTGCAACCTCCCTGGAGGCGTTCTCACTGGTTCCCGATCCAGATCCATAGAAGGTCGCATTAACTGTTCCAACGACGCAATAAGTCCACCATGATAAGACAATTAACGCGAAAGTAAACTGACTGTAGGCAATCGTATTGTAGCTTCTCTCGTTTCCGTCTCCACGAGAAGAAGTCATGTATTGGACTCTCTTCCCGAGATATTGACAAGCGGCGTTCAAACGCTTCTGACCATCTAGAAAGCCAAACAAAAAAAAGAATGAGTAAGAAAATGGAACTAGAAAAATAGGACGAACTGGAAGGTGACTGCGTAGAGCTCATTTCGTTCGCAAAGGAATGAAGGGAACCTGGGGCTGAAGGCGAGTTGTTGGTATTTAAATACTCGTCGTGGTGTGATGAAAGACATAGACCCTACGTTAAGACACTGCAGCACCGGTCGAACGAAAGGAGCAGGAAAGATAGAAGGTATGATATAGCTCCGAGCAAATTTCCTTCATGTATTTCGTGATGATGTGATGTAGGATATGCATACAGTAGGCGCTTCCGGAAATTCCTCCGGTGAAATGGGCGTTGAGAGCTATGTATCATTCGGACTTGCACAGAAGGCTCAAAAGGCGCAGCCCAGAGTCAGCAGTCAGCAGAATGAGATCGTCAGACTGGTCTCCCGTGTGATTGTGGTCCATGAGGAGGACAGAATCCTCTTGATGCACTGTGTTAATCTCCTTTGGTATAAACGGAGGGTTTTATTGATCTGCTGTGCATTTGGGCGGCTGGGAATCGATTGTCAGCTGAGATCCTATGTCGCCATTAACCCCAAGACGAAAGCTCAAGTCAGAAACCAGTGAGATGGCCTTTTATCAGAGGTGCGGCGCCATATTTATATCCAGAGTAAACAGTGACGGTGGGTGTTTTGACAGATATCAGAATGCCATTGCGGATTTCCAAGGACATCCTAGTCTAATTTCGGGTTGGGACCTACAAATGCGGATCAAGGCCTGGTGATCGAAAATAGGCAGCACTTGGGCAGCACACCATGTGTCCGAAAGGCCATGCCGGGATGTGATGTCGGGGCTCGAAGGCTGGTCGTGCTGTCGGACAAGGTTTCCATGTCTGGCAAAAGGGGAGAACAATGAAAAAGAAGGAAGTACAACGGGAAATGAGATATGCGGTCCTATCTCAACTCGAGAAGATCGTGCAAAGAATGCACAGCCCAGAATTGACCGCATTGCTCTTTTATTCCGCTGTCAGAAAGGTTGTCGTGGACGTGGTCCAGGATTTGCCGCAGTTCCCGGAAAGCTACGGAAACTCCGCGCTGGAGGTGGAAGTCCGAGTGTCCGAAAGCACAAGCCAATCTTCACGAGGGTAGAATGCGAAAAGACAAGCAGCGCATAATTTCCTAAAATATAGCTATTTGGTTCAAGTTCCCACCCGGGACGATAGCATTCCGAGTCTGGGGAGCTCAGGCCGTGACAATGTTGGTCGCACACCACTCTCGAAATGCTTGATCCATCTGGAATTTCAACATATTATAGAGTTGGCGTGAAATTAGAAGTACGTACGAGGTAACCTCTGAGCTGTTGTGCGAAAAGAAAAGTCGGGAGGATGGTTTTCGGAAGGATGCGCGCCAAGAAAAACGCGGAAACGAGAAGAATTACGTAAAGTCGGTGATTTGCCCGACCACGATGGTCGATGCGGCCTTGAGGCATCGGCTTGCTTTCTCATCCCGCTACAGCACGCTTAGACAACGACCATGAATATTTGAGGCACAATGAAGGCTTCAACTCTCTCTAGTAAGCCAAAAGCAGCTCTTGTCGCCAGGAACTCATGAAGTCTGTAGGTACCACTACGAAGCCACCTCTCAAGAGGCGAAAGCTCGCCCGGAGCACGTCCGCATCGACGGCAGCATCTCCAGCGGCACTGGGCACGTCGTCTAAAGTCTTAATATCGACCACGAACGTGAACAAGCCCGCTGCTAATGCCCCACCGACATGTATCTCGTGTCATCGCGGGCTGAACAATCAGGGAGCCATCATCCATTGTCCAATGTGCGTTATGCCACCTGATCGATACCTGGTGCGTCTTATGACTGCTTAGATGCCTCTCGACTACCTGTGCGGTGTGTTCGCGTACGTGCACGGACGCAGCGATGTCCCAGCCCCCTACGCCTCACCTCACCTGGTCTCCGACACCCTCACCCACACCGTCGCTGTCCGCACGTCGGTCCATCATATCCCTCAATTCTCCGAATTCGCACCTACATCCACACGCTATTCTCGAGTCACCTCTGACACCAACCCAGAACTCCGTCGCAGGAAGACGCAGGAAGGTGCAAGATGACGATGTCGTGCCATCGTTCGAAACTATTCCGCCGGAGTTTGACGAGATGTCCATGCCCGGACCGGGCTGTGGCAGAGTGGTTTGTCGGAAGTGTTGTTATGAAGACGTGTCGAAGTGCGTTTTCCAGGCCCTTGTTCTTTCTTCCTGCCTGACCCACCTTTGCTGTGGACAGCAACACTACAACATGTGTTGATTGTGCCTCCTCTTCACGCGCTTGATCGTGATCTCTGTGAACTGCTTCATCATCCACTTGTTTTTCTATTCATTCTGTCGTCTGTCCACAATTCAATCATGCACCCCCAATCACTGCATCCATGATACCTTTCAATCTAACACCAACTCTACTCCCATTCTACGTGTAATTTGTGCTCAGTCTCCTGTTGTCATTGTAGTTTTCTTCATTCCGATCATTTCATTTTCCACGGAGTCTCCAACGCAAATTATCGGCGCTATTTTACATATACAGTACATGTTGACCATCCTCGGTCTTATGAATTGCGACTCAACCTCCTCGAATTTCCGGGCCGTATGTCCCGGGGTCAGTACCGACGCTCAAAGCTGCCGCCAGCTTGTCAAGGCTTCCCCATGGCTTTCATCGTGTCTCCTCCCTTCCGCCGAACAGGATTGCGCTTGGTAGTGACGGCTCTATGGGACTTTCCAACTTCTCCGTTAAACGTTTTTTGGAGTTGAATCTATCATCAAAATGAGCGCCGTTCGGAAGGATGAGGTGTATTGAACAACTCACAGTGCTAGTACAGAATTCGTGTACACTAAGTTTTGTCAGTCTCCTTGCCACAAATCAGCAGATATCGTTGAAATACTCACGTCGAGTGATGCAGAACTCCATTCCCATATAGAGCAAATTTCTCGGTTGAGATGCATAAAGTGCAATTAACACAAGGTGTGCAACCCTGTGCATTGAATGTGTATCCAATCCCTTCTAGCAAACTTGAATTGCGACCTACGCGGTTAAAAGGCCAGTGCCGACAAAAAAGAGCACTAAAAATGTGACAATATCGGCTCCCCTAATCATGAAGCGCCAGTCGAGAGGTCAGGAAACGTGCATCAAGGAAGATCATTGTGCGACGTACCTCTGAGTCGCCTCTCCTCTACTGCTGTATACTATCAGGGCCATCATGGATCCTAGAACGAAGTCGACCAATGCAGCCGATCCCAGACCGAGGAAAATCACAATCTATCCCAGAAAGGTCAGGGCATTACTGAAAATGGACTGCACATCAATACCTTCTCGCTTGGAGTGAAGCTGTGGAGGAGACGGAGCTTCAATCTGATTTTGAACTATGAGTCAAATGTAATACCTTGACTACAGTGGAGAGCGACTCACAAGTAGAGTAAAAATGCTGGGTGATATTGGCACATAAGTAGGTTACTAATGGCATAGGAGTAGCTTTCCCTACCAGTTGCGGCACCTGTTACAAGTGAGTGGGTCATATTCAATTGAAAAAATGTGAGAGATAGCAACAGACCGATAGCATAGGCAATAATAAAAACGAGCACCGTCTGCCTCACTGGTCATCAACTGGCTCTCGAAAAGCGAAATAAATAGACATGCCTTGACAAATGCTGACAGGCGCCGGTCGAGATATAGACTTCGCGACACTGCGAATAATTTGATCGCTTATTCCCGCCAGAAATTAATGGTTTTCTCACTCTTCCAGATCTGCGATGTATAGAACCTAAAGGACGGTTTTCATTGACGCGTACCCTTGCCAAGAACTAGTTTCACCCACCCCTGCACTGAAATGACTGTAGCTGTCTGCGGGATGTGTTTATCAGCAGGAGAAGAAACTGAGAAAATGCTGCGCTTATTGCACTTGAACAACGCCGAGTGCCTTCAATCGAATGTCTTCTCAGTTATCAGAATCCGACGAGACCGGAGCCGGCTAACCTTGAAGATCCTGCCAGAAGGGAGACTGGTAAAGATTCCACGCAACTCGGTATAGCCCAGCACGTACCCAACGACACGCTGTTCCGGATTCGTTTCGCATCCGTAGTAGATAAGGATGTTGTACAGCATGTATGCTCCAATTACCAGATGGGAAAGGTCGAGAGAGCTGCCATGGGGTAATCATCTAGTAAGAGCGCAGTCGAGAGTACTCGGGAACTCACCAGATAAACAATGTCTAAGAGGCGAAATCTCCCATCGTTATCGCGTATGAAATCGACTTGTATGTCGAGCTTACGAATCGCTTCCGCATTCTGGAGTCCTTCGGGTAGTTGGTGAAGTACTGGTACGCCTGAAGGGCAGTTATGCCGAATAATCTGGAATTTTTGAGATTCTGTATCTTCGGCATGGTTGGACAAGGGCACTCACAGGCATCCGATACTATATCCAAGGAACGGGGCACCGAGCCCTCGATCTGAACCTCCGACGTGGTCCGACATGGCGGTGAAGGGACTGGAAGATGAGGGAGCGAAGAAGAGATGGGTTCTGAAATATCCCTGGGCATTCGTCGTTGTCCATCTTTCATACGTGCCTGCTCCATTTATTTAATGCCGTAGGAGCATTACCAAACATCAAGCCTCTGTCAACGTCAGAAGTTATTTGCAGAGCCACAGAACGCTGACCCGGCGTTTCATGTCGGCACAAGGGACGCGATTTGGGCGGTGGGCGGGAATTTCAGCTCACCACCACCACCACCCCCAAAACAGAAGATCAACCCGGGATACTGCTCACCTCCAGCGGAGGCGGTGTACAAGGCCTGGAGCTCTGAGAGTGAGTGGGTTTAAGGTGGTTGATTGCTCGGGCATAAAAATAACTTCAATCAGAGCGGAATAGAGTGGGTCTCTCTTGGGCAGTGCAAACCCGTCCGTAGACTACCAGCGTACATCACTGGCGCAGAGCGCTGAAGCACTTTGGGGTTAGAGACATCCCGACGCTACCAAAGTCCTTTAAGCGCCCAGCTTACCTAAGGGCCGATCCAGCGATCGAGACTTCGAGACTCTGAGACAGTTGTTCGAATATTCACCACATCAAACACACATTTCTGTCTATGATCACAAGAAGTTACCTTGAATGGCAGAAGAAATTGATGGCAATGACAAGCATAGTACGGTCAGTACGGTCAGTTCACTCATGTTTTTAATATCGGATATGGTGTAACGGCTAACATTGCCGCCTCTCATATATGATCGCGGCAGCTCGGGGTTCGATTCCCCGTATCCGAACTTTTGTTCCTCCTTTCTTCCTTTTTCACGTCATCGACAATGTCTCGTTGCCTCGGCGACTACGCATGTGCGTTACACTTCTTCCTCTTTGGCCATGATTGAGAACCTCGCAAATGAGATACTCCTCCGCATCTTCGGTGAGTTAGAGCTCCCAGGAATTATTGCGTCGAGGGGAGCTTGTCGAAAATGGCGGCAGCTCGTCCCCTACACGCAGTTCTTGCCGATTCGTAGGGCTATGCTCGAGTTCTACGACGAGCTTGTGGCGACCCCTCTTTTCCACCAGACTCGTCCATGGGTGCTCGCAAACCTCCAGAAGTTCGACCGCCAGACGTACCTCAACAAACTTCTGCGTCAATACCCCTCCGTTCCCGAGGACTTCTCCTGTTGGGTGCTCGAATGGCCAGCACGAGCTACCATCGCCTTTTCGTGGCCTGGACTTCCTCGAAAGAAGTATAATGAAGATTACGCAGACGATATCAACGTCGTCGGCGGCATCCCTTGGCTGGTGTACCCTCAAGTTTCTGCACTCATGGTCAGCGACGAGATCAAGCGTACGGCAGAGTACATTCCTGCACTCCTGGTCCATCACCACAGCCTCGCTACATGGTTGCTCCTGGACAAACGAAAAGAATTTAGCGGGAAGGTGTTCATTTCTGGGATGGCGGAGAATCGGATGGTCATTTCGGCGGGCGAAGGGGCATTCCAACTCAACTGGTTGTATCCCGACTGGATGGCCTATCAACGGAGAATCTGGGAAATCGTTATGAAAGCAGCTGAGAGTCGAACAAAAGCAGGACGGTTGATCTGGAGCAAAGTTGAAGACATACCTGTGGACAATTCGGAGGATTCGATGGCGGACATATCCAAAATAATTGCTCCAGCCTGGTTGCGCAAGGATCATAACCCTCATGCCCAAGCTTTGCTAGACATCGAGCGGGATCGTCTGCACGACTTATAGGTCCGCACAATCCTTTCACTCATATGTCTTATACGCTGATTGAGCCAATACTAGGACATGCCAGCACGCTCCCATGCCTGACACAATGATAGTGATATGCGTTGAGTGCAGTGATGGTTGGAATGAATGGCTTTGGGATTACGTGTCGCAGTACAGCGAAATAAGTAGTTGGTGAGTTCTTCCCTGCCATATAGATTGGGCAAATCAGTAACATATATCTATATCCATAGTTTGAACATTGTTCGAGGTCTTACGGATCCGAGAAATAGAACTTTTACGAAGCCTGAATTTAAGCAGAGTAAGTTTCAACGTTCAGCATTTTATTTCGAGCTATCTTTGGCCCGCATCTAACGGCAGCACTGTTGGCGCAATGATTTATTGTCATGTTAATCGTTTTGGCGGCTCGAGGGCTGAGAGGAAGGTGTACCTCTGTCCGATACCAGCGCCTCGTTGGACCAAATGCCGTGACTGGAGCTGCCGTGGTATGGAAGATGGCGGACAGTGCGACACCTATTAGAGGCCGAGTAAACTTAATTTTCGGATTACTATCAAATACTTATTGGTGTACAAAAGTGGATGGGAAGACGAGGGATCTCGAATTTTCGTGTCCATCTGGAAACTGTGCATCATCGTTTATGGAATGTACCGCCTCGTAACACGAAGCCTGTCCCCTAGCCGCCTTTGCGTCTCCCCAAGCATCCTCTTCGACTTCCGAACGACTCCATCAGGGCTTGAAATTTCATTCCTCTCCCACCTTCCTAGACTGTCATCAGAATCCCAGCCGTCGGTGTCCGAGTCGGTCTCATAATCCTCGGAGTCCGAATCCGAGTCAAGGTCCAGGAGATCGATTTCGAGTTCGGCTATAGTGAGTCGAGGAAGAAGTTGGGCGTCGGACAGGATGGTGTCGAGCTCGGAGAAGAAATTAACAGGAGCGTCCGAGTCATCGACATCTGTCTCGGAAGTCGGCCATTCCCGGCCTCGTTTGTTGCCGAATATGTCGTATGAGTCGAGGCGGAGGAAAATGATAACCTCTTGGATCGTTTGTGCTGACGTGCGAAGCAGCAGACACCATGGCTTCAGGAGCTCGTCAGGTTCCACGTCACCAACCACGTCCTCCAGCAAAATGGAGAAGGATAAGGACTGTAAATGCACTAGAGGCGATAATGTAATAAAAGGCCGGAGAGTGGGCGGGTCTTCTGGAGGAGATGATTCAGCGAATGGAGATCATTGTAAAAAGAGAATCGACAACTCACCCAACAATAGAAAGGTGTTTACATAAGAAAGCCTGTTGGCAATGAATTTCAAGCTCTTGAGACCGTGCGCACAAGCACGGATAAGGTTCCAACAATCTTGGAATGCCGGTGAATATTCGAATTCCGTGCTGAAAGTAAGCGTCTCAATTTTACTGAGATCGATTATACCTTGAGCGTTTAATAGGGTGCTTAAGAATGGCTGGCTGTCTTTGACGATAACCTCTCGCAACTGGACGAGAGGAAATCTGTGGATCCATGATTCGACGTTGCTATCTGGAAAACCCACAGAATCTTCAATGTCAAGGCACCTCAGGCTTCTGCAATGGGCAAGGATGTCGATAGGGATTGAATCTAGTCCGGAGAATCGGAGGGATGTGAAGTGAGGGCGTGATATCATTTCGAGTATGGCGCCTCGTAGATCGCACGGGAGGGTGTGCCAGGACGTTCCACCGATGCTGATTTCGAGCCCAAAGCTCGATATAGAGGTACATAACTGGAGCAAAGGAGGTAGCTGTGGGCAATTAACGACATATTTTGAGACTGTTTTGTCCAAGAAGTAGGCGATTCGGATGTAGCGCACTAGATGAGGGTGACGGGTTAAGAAATCGTAGAATCGAGGCACCATCGCCTCTTGAATGTGTTGATTCCAGAGGCCTCGCATATCGAAGGACTTGAATAAATATTTTCGACAGAAATGGAGTGTGGATCTAGACATGAGAGTGCATGCTTTGAGCGTTTGGTGGTCACCTTCATGACCGAGAACTTCGACGATGGAGACGAGAATGTCGTCCGGAAGGCGCTGGCCGACGAAGGCATGAATCACGGACATCGAAATAAGCTATGGGGAAGAGAAGTGGAGGGTTGGGTAATACTATCGAGTGGTGTTGGCGGCCAACTTCATCGTGGTTCTTATGCATGAGTGTTTCTGTGCGAATTAGTTCTGACTTCATTGGGACTTCGCCGGCGCCAGTAATCCAACCTTCCTTCCTTCCACTTTGTTCTCGGTTCGTTCTTGGTTTCCTCCTCTTTCGTCATGCGCAGTCCGATAGATTTCAACGGTCGTATCTAAGTTGCTTTGCGCAGCTTCGTGAATCGCGCTTTCAGAGGCGTTTGGCGACACTGTGAGTTGACTGCCTCGTCCTTACCCAACCGAGTCTTTCTGGCTGCACCCGGCATCGGCGAACCCATTGCGTGAATCAGGGAGCACAGGCGAGCTGACTTCGAGCACCGATGTCTGCATCATTGGGAGTGGTCTTACACCGCATGGCATCTAGTCAACCAGCTTGAGTCAGAGAAGGAGAGCCAAAGGCGAAAATCGTGGTGTTGAATGTCCGAGACTCGAGAGTTCTGTGCGTCGTTCACTTTTCTTGTCTGTAAGAGCTCAATTGATTTATTGTGTTGCCGTCCACCAGGTTCAGGAACTACCGGTTCATTACATCTCCTTCGCCGGTAGCGCCTACGCTGACTTTGTAAAGTGGACACCCGACGCCGACTGGCTGTTCTGGCTTTCACGAGCAAGAACAAGCATATGGAGCAGATGAAGCACGAAGATCATATCATATCGAGCGACACACCTCGAATACTCTCCTCAAATTCATCAAGGACAACGGCCTAGAGTCGGATGTCGACCTTTTTGAAGGCGGCCATCTGGGTGTGTTCCGGACTGCAGATGAGGACGTTGCTGGAAAACCAGATTGGGAAGCTGCGAGGAAAGCAGGGTGGTGGACCAGACGGGGAAGGAGATGTTCGGTGGATTGGAACGGAGGAACTCGTGTAGGTATGTTCCTCGTTGCATAACCTTAAGACTTAGTAACGCTCTATGACGCTCTACAGAAATTTGGGGATAAATACAGGCCGCATCGACACTGCTGTTTGGTCAACGCACACAACTTACGGCCATCCAAGCTAGTCACGAAGCTCCTTCTAGGCGCACAGGGGCAAAGAGTTGGTAGTGCCGAGGTCGTACTGCACACCAAGACGCAAGTGACGAGCGTCACAAAACTCGATGCCGAACGATGGAGCTTGCACACCCCATGAGGCGAAATTGCTTGCAATTACGTCGTTCACGCCACGAACGCCTACATCGGCCACCTTCTCCTTTTACTCAGAGGGGTCAATCTCGACACGGACAGCACAGGCACCCAAGTCCCCTTTCCATATGGCCACGAGGATACTTCGGCGTGACTCCAACTCGAGGGCAAATCGGTGCCGTACGCGCATCTGAAGGCCTTGATTGGCACAACTCATGGGGTACTGGTGCCAGACATGGCAGTACTGGTTCCCTCGGTACCAAGATGTCAAGTCTGATGCAAGTCATCGCCCGCTTATCGTTCTCGGTGGTGGCCGAAATCAGATGAAGCAGGGCACCACGGATGATAGCGTCCTGAACTCGCAAGTGGAGAAGGTGCTGAAAGCGTTTCTGCCTTGGTTCTTCCCGAAGCAGTTTAGAAAGGAGGATGCAGAAAACGCTCGGGAAATGCAGTGGGTACGTAAATCGCGATCCTGGCTCCTAACTTCTTGCTTATTCTCTGCGACAGACATGAATCATGGGCTATACGAGCTCTGGAGGGCTTTTGTGCGCTACTCTCTCTCTTTTTCACTTCAGCACTTAAGTCTAGGTTGGACCCGCTCAGCCTCTTGGGTATCTGAAGGCCAGTATATCGCTGCTGGCTTCAGTGGGCATGACATGCCGCGTACTTTCTCATGGTCGGTGTTGCCCAAATTTGCTCCGTTCCAGGCTGACAAGGGCTGGTTTCAGTGCTGAGGCAGTGGCAGACATGATCACCGCCAAGATTCGAGGCGAGGAGTGGACGACCCCGGACTACATCCTACTTTGCTAGAATGACGGTATCGACTAGCATCGGATTTCACTGCAAATGCTACATTGTAATACAAGACACAAGATGCGCCAATATAACACAGGCTTCGACAACTTGGCGAACCTCCTCATGGTTCCGTTGCCCTAGTTAGGTACCGTCTCGACAGCTAGGTCACGGCTAGATGCCAGAGACCGAAACGGGCATGTGTGGCGCATTGCATAACCCACATACCGAGAATAAGCCGACAACGTCCATGTGGAAAGTACGAAAGTGTAAATTCATGACCACCGAGGGTAAGAGTACAATCAACTGTATTCGTCGAGTCTCGTGTCTAACCGCCCTCTTCTGCTATTGGAGGTACCTGTAGTTTCTCTGATGTCATAGGTTTGATATCGATGACGTCCGTTCCCTCAGATTCCTGTGCTCATTTTCTGTCAAGAACCGAGACGGGAAATTGTAATGCAAAGCACTCGCCACTCCTGATGTTGCAGGCCTGTTGAAGTTTGCATTTCTCAAATCGAGGCGGATAGAGGAGAACTGGTTCTTTGCCCGGTTTGCGGCATCACGAACGAAACGGCGCGAGTTGAGATTGACGAGGACAGTGACGAAGTAGAGGGGCGATAGCAGTTGGTAACACCCAGGGATGGGGAAGATATTATTTGGAACAGCTATGAGAAGCTGGAGGATGTAAGTCATGAGGTTATATCAGTTTTAGGAGGAATGGAACTGAGTTGACCTCACCTCTATGATCAGGAACACCGCAACGATGGCCGTCCACATGCCCGTATTCGCCGATAGCAGCATCAGTCGAAGGAGGATAGAGTTTGTCCTGGAAGGATACACACGAGTTCGTGATGAGTAAAATAGTTGAGATAAGAGCGACGTACGATCCTAGGCTCTCGCGAGCAAGGTACCTCTTCCAGAGAAGAAAAGTCAAACTGACAGACGTCACGCCGTCGATAAGCGCGCTTGAAGCACAAGATGCGATGAAAATATCCTGGACAGAGAGTCATGGCCAGTATATTGGGGAAACGTAGCACGCACCCGCAGGATATGATAATACGACAACAAATTACAACTTTGTCGATGCTTGCAACTTTCGAGATGCCATAGGACTTGAACGATGCAGCGTCAGTCCCTTGCCTCCAATCCACTGCATAAGAGTTCATACCTATAGGGAAGACTAGAGGACGCTCTGTCGTTCAGTGGGTGTTGACGGGCGGGCAGGATCTGAGGCTGTTTCTCACCTAGCTGAAACAAGAGAAACGGGGCCTGACGCCGAAGAAGCAAGGAAGTTATCAACGGGCGCTCACGGTAAACCATAATGGAAAGATCACCAAGGCGACTCACGCTGATAATTGGAATCCATCGCTTTCTCCCGCTAACTAAAAGGAGCGTCAGTATTTGGAGTAGCTTGACGGGCGCGATGCATACAAGCCCAGGCCCGGTATATGAATAACGATTGGGTCGGTATTGAAACCAATGCCTGAGACGTAATCCCTCCAGGATTAGCATGTCAGGTGCTAATATAACGTTTTACTGACCGAAAAGAAATAAATGGCCTTATATATCGGCATATTCGTGAGCAAGACGTGATGATCACGAACAAAATTCGATACATACCGCAGAGCCAAAGCTGAAAGATACGTTATCTTGAAAAATTGCGGCGGTACGCTAAGCGAGCTCACAATATGGACCCACATAGAGGGATGGTAGACATCGCGACAATCCATTGGGCTGCGTTGTCTCCAACCGTCATATCTTCCAACAACGTTAAGTAGATATACAGGCGAGGTGACAATGAGCTATACCTCGTATCGTAAATGCTTGACGGACAGTATCCATTATTCTGTCCATGAAGCTCGGCGTTAGACGATCTTCCTTGAACCACGGTTTCAGACGAGCGCTCACACAACCCAGATAACCTAAGATATGGACTAGGGGGTAATTCTCGGTTGCTGACAGATACGGTCAAGATTTTACCAGAAAACTGAGCAGTGGACGGCTCTCTTTGTAATGCGACCTTGTATTAGCGATAAGAACTTTTGGCGCCCAAATGTACTCTTGGTCCGAGAACTCACCGAACAAAGAATTGAAAACTTGCGAGGGTCGCAGTTAGTGGCATATTCACAACTGATAGGCAACAATCGTACGTTAAGTTCATTCCCATCGCTAAATCCTGAGGTGAGTCTTTCGGTGCGCGCCGTCGGAGATGTGTATGGGAAGAGTGCTCACCCCACAAGCTTGCAGAGCCGATGACTGACAGAAAGGCCAACCTGGAAGTCGGGCGCACATCGTTTTGAATGTTCTGGTAGATCAGCGGGTCGCAACTAATAAGAGACATCGCCAGAACCAGCGCGAGGGTGGAAGTCAGCAGAAGAGGAGACGAACATGATCAATCGTCTGGTCTGTCCCTGATTTATAGCATCGGCAGGGTCGGAACCTCTTGTCAAGAAGAAAGCGTGTGAGCTGACGACCTTCCGTTGACCTAATCATCTAATGAACTTTGCTGATGTATCACTCGGTTAGATATCGCTATGGTTTGCACTTTGCCATCTTGAGATCACCGCTGACAAAAATGGTCGAGTCTGAGTCTGGCTCTATTTTCATCAGTGTCATGGGTCAATAAAGTTCAGTCATGAAACTTGCCTCGTCATTCGTGCATTCCGGGTTTCTTCCCTCCCCTTGCGCTCTCTGTCGGGCTTGGATGGACGTAGGGCCCTTCACATTCGCGTCGGTCTTAGATTATGTTCCCTACTGGTCACTGTTTGGTTCGGCTGCTGTGTGGGGTGCGTCGTTAGTAGATACGGACAATTCGCACCTTGCTGACCTTATCGAACAGGAATTACGGTCGCACAATTGTGAGGACCCAGATAGCTCTTCGACCCTGCAGATCCTCGACTCAATCGACTTTTCTCCATCCAATATCCAGCTTTCGCTTCTTCTTCAGGAATCGGGACCCCCTAGCATTGAAGGTGTTGGTGCGTCTGCCGGTTAATAGTCACTTTGGGCGAAAAAATGGTTGACGGAATGCCTCTCCGCGTTGTCGCAGGTCGTGCTGCTTGGGTAAGTTTGCCCGTGTGCCGGGTAAGCCTCAGGACAATAGACTCCAGTTCGCAGGATTCTGGAAACGGCGAACCAGTTATGCATGTCATATGTCGGTGAGACGCCTGGTAGAAGACCTAGTGGGACTATTCTGATCGGACCCGGGCTCTGTCAACAAAGTGATCCAGGTGTTCAACAAATGGCTATCTGGGGTGGGATTCTATCAATCTTTGTAAGTAACGACGAATAGTACATTTGAAACACCAGAGAGCTAAGCAAGTTGACTCGAAGAAACTTCACAGTGGTGGGTTTTCGACAGACACCCACAACCGGAAAGATCTCACCACTTGTCGCAGCTTTTCTTTGCCCTGCTGGTGCGTCGGTGGAGATCTTCCAAACTTGATGATCGAGACTGAATGATGATCCAGTCAATCACAGCCGTGCTATCGGAAGGCTTCTTTCTGATGCAATTTGCAGAAGGTCGGTCTCGCTCTTATACTTATCTTGAAACCAACCGCAAACATATGCGCGGGGGATTTGCAGCTTGCGGAAAACATAAACGAGCTGTCTTGTTGAGCGGGGTACTGTGGCCGTTCAGTAGCAGAGTAAAAGTTCTTCGACTAATGTGCGTCTGCTGCAGGCGCCTTTCGTTTTGCTACAAATAGGTGAGTTATCTATCCCATCCAGACCGCGCAAAAATGAACCTCGTACAAATTAGCCCTCCCTATCGGTAATGTCACTTCAATGCGCTCTATCGGAAATGACGCCTGAGACAACAAAATGGCAACAGTGGTTCGCATCGAAGCCAGAAAACCTTCTGACAGTGTGCATACGGCCTTTGTCGTCCTTGATTCGGTGTTTTATGCTCCAAACGTTCGTCAATCTTTCCAGAGAATATTGGGGAAGGTTTCTGATCTCGGGACTTGACAGAAATTCGTGCTGGCGGCCTTGGTCGCCTCCGCATCGCTAAACACAATCCTATTCGTGGGGCTGTCAGCACTCCTATGGAAGACTTACATGGCAGATGGGTCCGCAGCGTGGAGGTGAGGTTTCGACTCCGCCAGTGCTCCACTCTCTCAGGAATCTGGTCTCCATCTTCGTGCCTTGATATTCTCTGCTCTTTGGTCCAGAAAACAACCAATGTTTGTCAAGCTTCTTACAATGGGCCATAGTACGGGTTTCTGGGTGGCAGCATATTCCTGGGCAGTTGTTGTAATGGTCAGTACCTCTCATCGAAGATCGAGCTTCGATGTCTTGGAAGATCCAACGCTGAATTTCTATGCAGCAAATTCTCGCCACAACGAAAATCAACAAACTGCGTTTCGCGGGGTATGTACAGGCGCTACCAGCACTTTACTGCACAAGCGTGCTCGCAAGTCTGAACGTCTGCGACGATCTGGCCAGCGGAGGGTGGTCCTTTCGCTCTGCGAGTTCGAGACAGCTGCAGTCCACGACGCTGCCCATCCAGGAGACACTGGTGTTTCAAGATAACGCAACTTTCGGGGTGTCTACTGTTGGGCATGGATATTAGAATTGGACAATGAGGAAGCAGAGTGTAGCTTCTTTACAATTAATGACTGTGATACTTTGGCCATCCTTCTCCCGCGGGCACTAGATGCTACCTGGCTTCCGCGCTTCCTTCGGGGTCCGCGACATAACGGATAGAATACGGAGGAATCGATGACAGATGCTTTCCCGCCAACACTCGGTAAAACAGCCGCAAAGGGTTGTAATGACGTGCCAGACGTGCCCACAGTTCGTCTGTCCGTATTCTTAGAATGATGCCGGGCGTCGAGGTTGAGAGAAGACTTACTATACTGGAAGAATATCGCGGAAAGAGAAAGGGGTTGGCTCTGCGATGATGATAAGGTACAGTCTATCTCATGAGACCCGAGAACTCACCTCCAGAGATAGGTAGGGCTTTCGGAGAGTGCTGTCCTTGGACGTCGTGCTTGATGGTGTAACAAGTTTAAAATAGACACCCCCTGTATCTTGCTAGGTCAGATGAACACACAACTGCAATGAGCGGTGGCGTACCGGGCAACCTGTGGGGGTCTTTCACTCTCAGCATCAGAGCAAATAAAGGGAAATGATGCATGAACGCAAGTAGTGTCTCCAGCACCGCTTGAACGAGTAGAGTCACCAGACGGAGCTAGCAAAGAGTCAGCAAAATCACGACAGAGGGTGCGAGCTACTTACCCCCGCAAACAGGACATAATAAACAAGAGCCGTTGGGAAGAGGAAAGCGAGTAGCGTGAATAACACGGTCCCGAAGAGTAACTGGTCAATATCGTATGCCCATGAATCTGTCCGCTTGCGGAGCACGTTGTGTCTCTTTCCTACGAAATGACAGTTTGTGATCTGACGATAAGGAGATGGCGACCACACACCTCGAAAGATCCCCCACAGTAGCCCACCCCCCATCCGAACACCAGCAGCCCAGTACACAGTACGAGTCAGCTCGTACGCGAGCCGAAGGTGGGCAGTCAACACCAAAGAGAGGATGTCCGACATCAACGCTAGGGCGAGGGTCAGTCCACCAAGAGAAGAGCACATAGCAAGAACTCTGAAGAAAGTCGGGGAGAGTGGCGGGAGGAGAGCTAAAAAGGAACGTCAGAGAAGTGTAATGGGAGAAGACGAGCACGTACATTCCCATGTATCGATGACGCCGACGAGGGTGGTTACGTAGAACCTGCTCAGCTCGGCATTGAGCTTGAGACCTGCCGGCCACGAGTCCAGCCAGTAGAGAGTCGTACGCGGGAGGTTGACCAACAGTGCCTAAGGGGATATTAATCAAAGAGCATTTAAAATCACTGTGGTTCTCACCTGAATGGTCGAGTTCGCCATGATGGCAAGCACAACACTGTTCTCGCGCAGGAAGGTGCCGAAGGCAAGGCCCAGTGTGATATCGTTCATGATTAGCCACACCATGTTGAAGAAACTTTGGACAGTTCGTTGACGGCAGCATCTCACTCCTGAACGAGATTACTCACTCTGTATATCGTACGGAATAGCCTGCAACGTCATTGATCGTATGCCGTTGCAGATTGGCGACGTGGGTGGCGAAGAACGTGGCCTGCTCAAGTCGAACGTCGAGTTGCTGGACTATGGCGACTATTAGATATAAACAGGGCATAAATCATCACAGAAACTTACCTATGGCCGATGAATCCTTGAGCTTCAGGAATCGGTCGCTCTGACCAGAGTACTCTTCGATACCCGACATTGCTTGAGGGAGGATTGGTAGATTCGTCGCCAATAGAGCCACATGTCGAAGAAGAGACAAAAGATGGGCTAGCGGGGAGAACAAATGTGACTGGGCTGTCGATGCCAGAGTGAGGAGGAAAGATGCGGTTCTGGGAAGCAGCGAGAGATGGTGGGGTGGTGTCCGAGTTGCAACTATTTGCTGGATGATATGGGAGGCGTTGAGCTACTGAGTGATCATATTCAACTGGTGAGAATCAAGGAACAGGGAAAACAACTTTACTTGATTAATCACCGTCTCGTTGATTGCTTGATCTTCGCCTCTCTTCGAAGGCCGCGTAAAATCGTAATTGGAGAGGGGATTGTATGGATCCCTAAAGCTAGCAGGGAGGACAGGGCTCGTTCTCGGTGGATCAAGGGTGTAAAAGCGTAAAGAGTCTGTCGCATGAGATTTATATAAGACGAATGAGTAATCTTGGGGCGTTGAGTCTAATAATTTGAAGGAGGTCGGAATGGAGGTGGAATCGGAGGAGAAAGTGCATCGTCCGAGTCGAGTGGGGTTGCCTCCACAAGACTTCTTCAGCGATTCATCCCACTGTCGTGAATTAGACAAAGCTTTCGCAAGCTCCTCCTCTTCCAGAGAATCCTGGAATTTGAAACGCGGTTAGATGCACTAATTTTCACAGAAAGAAGCCTTGATGGAGTCATACCCGGAGGACTTCCACGACGCAGATTGCAGGTTCCTTCCAGCCATAACATACGCCATCCCTTGTACGCCCGCTTGGCCAGAATATCGATGTCGGTGCTCCTGTGGGCTCCCGCTTCGTAGTCGTCGTTGGCATGAAGAGATGCGCCCACGTGACTGACACACGCTCTTGTTGAGCGGCGCATGGTGTCCCTGTTCATGACAACCGCCACTTCGTTGAACCAAAATGGACTCCTCCTCAAGACGCCCGGATCTCAAACGCAAGCTCGTCGTCGTTGGCGATGGTGCGTTCGTCATGTAGATCGTGCCAAGTGTGCTTTGCTTACGACGTCGATCAACCTCCGGTTGTTCCATCACAGGTGGATGCGGCAAAACGTGTTTGCTCATCGTCTACGCCGAGAATCGCTTTCCAGAAGTAAGTTTGCAGAGCTGAAGACACTTCGAAATCCATCTAAACGCTAGCTTGGCAGGCTTACATCCCCACCGTCTTCGAGAACTACGTGACACTCGTGTCGTTCGAGAGCAAGCTAGTCGAGCTCGCGTTATGGGATACCGCGGGGCAGGAGGAGTACGATCGATTACGGCCGCTGAGCTATCCGGAAAGCGATGTTATCCTAATAGTCTTCTCGGTCGACTTTCCCACTAGCCTTGCCAACGTTCAAGATAAAGTACGTCACTGACCCCTGTTTACCTTTCTGTTCATGCCATTTGTCTCCGCACCGCCTTCCCTTTTGGGGCCCACCAATGCTGATGCCCGCTTTCTTTTGCACAGTGGTACCCAGAGGTGTCCCACTTCTGCCCCTCAACACCCCTCCTCCTCATCGGCACCAAGACCGATCTCCGTACAGACGCCAGCACCCTCCGTATGCTCTCCGCACAAGGGCAAGTACCCGTCACATCAGAGCACGGTGCCGCCGTCGCAAAAGAGATCGGGGCAGGCTACAAGGAGTGCAGCGCGAAGACAGGCAAAGGTGTCCGGGAAGTTTTTGATGCAGCCCTACGAGAAAGCATGCGAGGCCGCTGGGGCAAGGTCATCAAAGAGAAGAGATGCGTCATCGTGTAGGCTGCTTTAATTCTGGGAGGACAGGATTTGGATGGCCGAAATCAGGCAGAAAGGATACATTGTTGACAAGCCAGGGTTCTCGTTCGTCCTCATTCCTCGCTTCATCTTTCTTCTTGTATATTTATGGGGTCTGACTCTGGTCTTTCATTCTTGCATCGACATGTCTCTGTTGCAGACGTGGACAGCAGGCTCTGTTTCCGCATTTCTTGCATCGTCTTTGAGCAGACCTTACTTACATAGATAAATCCTCCTTTCTCTGCATGGACAACACCTTTCTTCTTCGAACTCCTGCCACATGTTGAGGCTGACGCGTTTAATGCGTCCAGGCCTGAAGACCAACGTCGATCCTAGATCCGCTCCCTCGCCCTCAACTTCCTTCACCCTCCCTGGTTCGCTGATCTACCTTCCTCCACGAAGTACTGATACAAGACGTACATGCCATATATTTATAATCAGCATTCTCTCTTTCATTGTTTCCTCGCACTGCGTTCGGTCTGTCAAGGAATCCTCAAGCTTCAAGACCCCAGAAATAACGCTAAGCAATTCAACACTCGTTGGACACCTTTCTCAACATTGTTCGACTCCATGACTGAACAAGCGGATCCATCGTTCCTGATTGGTGGCTTACAGGCAACCACGTAACTCTCATGTAACGAAAACCCGATTCAGGCGCTTGTTACTCTCAGCGATGGAGAGGTATGTCAACTAAACATTCTCGCTCCAGCCATCTGACATCTCTCTAGTCCCCCTCTGTCAACTGGCTGCTGCAAAAGTATCGACGTCACAAGTTTCAATATGCCCACCCTCCACCTCGAAGGTTTCGATGAACTCGATAGAGCAGTCACTCATGCGCTATACCGCTTTCGCAGAGCGTCCTGTGGCTACTTAAATGAGAGCTCCCGACGCCCTCGACCCCAAATCCGCAACTCAACATGCAGTTACTTCAGTTACTTCAGATCGTCTTGTTCGCGATCGCCGGTTCAGCGATAGCGATACCGGTCTCCCCTAGAGCCCTGCCTGCTCCAGTAGACGGTAAGGAGGCCCGGAGGCTCTTATCCCAACGTGCGTTGTTTGCCCAGTGTCCTGCATTTCTTCGACATACTGTCTTCAGTCACCGTGGCTGTCGACGTGAACAACCCAACGTATGATCGAAAGTACTTTAAGCATTGGGTTACAGGTGAGGAACGTATGCTCTCCGCCGATCATGTTTATTCACTCGTTCAATCCTCTCAAGTCGACGGAAATTGCACTGCTCGTCAATGTAAGCCATTCAGATCTTCTTCGCGGGGGGACTCATGCTTCCCATGACCATATTGACGTACAGATGTTCTCAAGCGAGATGGAACATCTGTTGTCACTGATAGCAAGTGCAATGCACTATCGGGAACCTGGCTCTCCGTCTATGATGACATCTCCATAACCGATCCTAGCAAGATTGACATAGTAAGTGTTCTTCCAAATTCATAACATTCGAGCTTAAATTGATTCCGACGTAGGATCACATTGTGCCCTTGAAAGAGGCGCGAAATGAACCTCTAGCCTATTGGATATTCCCTCTTACCCCCTTACTAGGCCTGGGTATCTGGTGCTCGACACTGGAACGATCAGAAAAGGGAGGCTTTTGCAAATGACATCAAACTCCCCCAGCTTGTAGCTGCTTCCCAGCGGTATGTCATTTTTTTTCCGTCCTCGTCAAGGATTTGGTTTTACTGAAACGATTCTAGTTCCAACAGAGCCAAAGGAGATAAAGGCAAGCCTCCCACTTGTTAATAAATTACGCATCTGACCGCTCCTGATTCAGATCCGGCCAGGTGGCTCCCACCTGATACCAACTACCACTGCACATACGCCCGCGCGTGGGTGCAAGTCAAGCATTCATATGGGTTGACGGTGGATCAGGACGAGAAAGATACTCTGGTCCAAATCCTGAAGCCCTGCTAAATTCGAAGGCATCAATCTCTGAACATCTGAATAACAAACAACGAATACTATCTTGTTCACGCGATCCTTCCTTGATCTGCTCCAATGGATGTTTTGAGAGTGTTAGAGGTTGGTCAAACCGGGATACCGACCTGGCCCGCTGGGATATTCCGATGGGGAAGGTCTAACTCGGAATTCGACTCCCATTATTCCTTTTCTCGGTTCAAAGTCGAGCCTCAAGAAAATCATTTTCTCCCACCGACTCTGGTTCGCTCCATTGCGTGCCTTCGCAAAGCCTTCTGGACGACATTCCCATCGACCTTGTCAAAAAGCTGAGACAGAAACATGATTACCAATTATTGACAGCAAGCCCTCTTCAGTTCATCCATCTACTGCCCTTCTGTCGCAAGCAACTTCTGGGCCGGGGCATTGTAGTGTCTGTGGTTAGATCATCGCGCGGTGATGGGTTGGGTGTACAGGGTACGTAGAAAAGAAGTATGTGCTTTTGGTGTATGTACTTAGACGCACTTTTCGGTACACCTGGGCCGGCTGTTTCTTTATAGGGACCGCGCGCCGGCTAATACACTTCCTTCCTTCCTTCCTTCCTTCCTTCACCTATTCAAGACTTTCGACATGCACGCTTGCTACGGTACTGCTCTGAATCAGGCATCCAGCCGTTACGCATATTTCACGAAAATGCGACCAGTAGTATATTCCACCGCAAATGCTACATCTTTTTACGAGACAGAAGAAGCATCTACATCGCAGACTTTGATAACTCGAGGTACCTCCTCATGGTTCCGTTGCCCACGTTAGATATCGTCTCGGCAGCCAGTCCGGCGTCGTCCACTCCTTGCCTCGAATCTTGGCGGCGATCATACCTGCCACTGCCTCCGCACTGGAACCAACCTTTGTCAATTTGGAACGGAGTAAGGTCGGGCAGCACTGACCACGAGAAAGTACGTGGCATTCCATGCCCACTGAAGCCAGCAGCGATATATTGGCCTTCATACGGGTTCTCCGCAGGAAGTCTTGATCGATGCCCAAGAGGTCGAACGGGTCCGACCTAGATTGAAGGAATGTAAGAGCGGAAAGTGGTTAAAGGAGAGAGTGGCGCACCAAAGGTTCTCCGGTGCTCGTATAACCCATAATTCCAGTCTATAAAAGGATGTGAGCGAAACTGCTGACACAGAATGAAAATATGCTCACCCATTCCATTTCCCAAGCTTCCTCTGCGTCCTCCTCTATGAACTGCTTCGGGAAGAGCCAAGGCAGAAACGCTTTCAGCGCCTTCTCCACTTGCGAGTCCAGAATGCTATCATCCGTGGTGCCCCGCTCCATCTGATTTCGGCCACCACCGAGAACGATAAGCGGACGATGACCTGCATCAGACTTGACATCTTGGTACCGAGGGAACCAGTACTGCCATGCTCTGGCACCAGTACCCCATGAATTGTGCCAACCAAGGCCTTCGGAGTCGACGGAGGCGCGCACTGCCCCGATTTGCCCTCGAGTTGGCGTGATGCCATAGTAACCTCGCGGTCGCAGGGAAAGAGGGAATTGGGTCACGTCTGTGATGTCTGTGATGTCCTGGATGTCGAGGTTGTCCCCTCTGAGGAAAGGGAGAAGGTGGCCGGTGTAAGCGTTCGTGGCATGAACGACGTAATTGCAAGCAATGTCGCCTCGTGGGGTGTGCAAGCTCCATCGTTCGGCATCGAGTTTTGAAATGCTCGTCACGGGCGTCTTGGTGTGCAGTACTACCTCGGCACCACCAGCTCTCTGATTCTGCACGTCTAGGAAGAGCTTGGTGACTAGCTTGGATGGCCATAAGTTGTGTGCATTGAACCAAACCGCGGTGTAATTGAGGTCGGGATTTACCCCATATTTCTGGAAAGGATGAGCACAACGCGGGATTATTGAACAAGAGGTGCACCTGCACGAGTTCTTCCGTTCCAATCCACCGAACATCCCCTTCCCCGTCTGGTCCACCCATGTCCACCCCTGCTTTCCTCGCAGCTTCCCAATCGGCCTTGCCAGCAGCCTCTTCATCTGCGCCGCGGAACACACCCAGATGGCCGCCTTCAAAAAGGTCGACATCCGACTCTAGGCTGTTGTCCTTGATAAATTTGAGGAGAGCATTCGAGGTGTGTCGCTCGATATGATGCGATCTTCGTGCTTCATCTGTTCCATGTAATCGCTCTTGCTCACGAAAGCCAGAGAAGACAGCCGGCGTCAGGTGTCCACCATTCCGACCTATGCAAAGTCAGCGTAGGCGTCGTTGGCGAAGGGGATACAATGAACCGGTAGCTCCTGAACCTGGTAGATGTCAACCCAATAAGTTGGGCTCTAACAGACAACGACTCACAGAACTCTCGGGCATCCAACACCACGATCTTCTTCTTTGTCTCTGCTTCCCCTGACCCAAGCTGGTTGACCAGATGCCAGGCGGTACCGACACCTGTAAGACCACTCCCAATAATGCAGACATCAGCGCCCGAAGTCAGCTCGCCTGCGCTCCCTGATTCACGCAATGGGTTCGCCGATGGCGGGTGCAGCCAGAAAGACTTTATCGGGTTGGGATGGGGCAAATAACTCAATTTGCTAAAAGCCCTTGAAAGCGCGACAAAACTGAGTAAAGCAGTGGTAACTTGAACAAGACCGTTGAAGTGTGTTGTATTGCGCATGGCGACAGAGAACAAACCAAGAACAAACCGAGAACAAAGGTGAACTATTCACACGGGAACTCTCATGCATAAGAACCACGATGGAGTCGACCGCCAACCCCCCTCGATACTACCCACCCTTCAGCACCCTGTCCCCATAGCCTCTTTCGATATCCATGCACATGATTTGTACCTTCGCCTACCAGCGCCTTCCGGACGACATTCTCGTCTCCATCGTCGAAGTTCTCGGTCATGAAGGTGACCACCGAACGCTCAAAGCATGCACTCTCATGTCAAGATCCACACTCCATTTCTGTCGAAAATATTTATTCAGGTCTTTCGACATGCGATCCCGCTGGAATCAACACGTTCAGGAGGCGATGATACCCCAATTCTACGATTTCTTAACCCGTCACCCTCATCTAGTGCGCTACATCCGAATCGCCTACTTCATGGACAAAACGCTGGTCAAGTGTATCGTCAATTGCCTCCAGCTACCTCCTTTACTCCGGCTATGTACCTCTATATCGAACTTTGGGCTCGAAATCAGCAACGGTTTAACAACCTGGCTCACCCTCTCGTACGATCTACGAGGGGCCATCCTCGAAATGATATCACGCCCTCACTTCACGTCCCTTCGATTCTCCGGACTAGATTCAATCCCTATCGACATCCTTGCCCGTTGCAGGAGCCTGAGGTGCCTTGACATTGAAGATTCTGTGGGCTTTCCAGATAGCAGCATTGAATCATGCGTCCACAGATTTCCTCTCGTCCAGTTGCGAGAGCTTATCGTCAAAGACAGCCAGCCATTCTTGAGCTCCCTATTAAATGCTCAAGGTATAGTTGATCTCAGTAGAATTGAGACGCTTACTTTCGGCATGGAATTCGAGTATTCGGTGCAAGATTGCTGGAACCTCATTTATACCTGTGCGAAGGATCTCAAGAGCTTGAAATTCATTGCCAAAAGCCCTTCATACGTAGACCATTTTCTACTGTCGGGTGAGTTGTCAATTCTCTTTCCAGGATGATCTCGATTCACTGAATCATCTCCTCAGAATACCCGCCCGCTCTCCAGCCTTTTATCACATTATCACCTCTCATGCATTTACAGTCCTTATCCTTCTCCATTTTCCTGCTGGAGGACGTGGTTGGTGACTTGGAACCTGACGAGTTCCTGAAGCCGTTGTGTCTATTGCTTCGCACATCAGTATCGACAATTCAAGAGGTCAGCATTTCCCTCTGCCTGGACTCATTCGAGATATTCGGCAACAACGAAGACCGTCAATGGATGACTTCCGGAACAGATGCCGATGGTGTTGCCGTCAATTTCTTCTCCGAGCTCGATACCACTCTGTCCGACACCCGACTTCTCCCTCGACTCGCTCAAGTCGAACTCACAATCTTTATCCTAGACCTTGACTCGGACGATGACGAAGATTACAACACCCATTCGGACGACGGCTGGGATTCTGATGACAGTCTAGGAAGGTGGGAGAAGAATGAATTTCTAGTCCCTGATGGAGTCGTTCGGAATTCAAAGAAGATGCTTGGGGAGACACAAAGGCGGCTGGGTGATGGGCTTCGTGTTGCGCTGCTGGACATTCCATAAACGATACACCGTTTTGCTTATGGATGAAAAAATGAATTGAGAGCCCTCTTGCCTTCCAATGCATTTTTTTGTAAACCGATAAGTAGCACATTCTGCATATGTTACGAGTCCAATAATGTGATAGTTTTTTGGCCCGGTGAAGTACTGTTGGGAACAGGAAGACCAGTCGGACACCGGGAAAACGTAACTTAAACTCAAATTTTCATGTTTTTGTTGGGCTGCATATAAAATCCCGCCGCCACTAGAGACATAAAGATAACCTTGAAATGCTCATAGTCGACAGAACTACGGAAGGTCTCGGCCTTGGGAAAAGTAGGAGCACGATGAACTCTTTTCCGGGCCACGGCTTCGCGTTCTATGATCTCCAGAGTCCTCCCTGCATGGGCGGCAATTGAGAAGTCATGTTCATAAATATCTTAGTCAACGCTAGTTCGGAGCGCATGTTAGCCGAAAACTCAGTCAATAATAGAACCAGGGGAAGGGATGATAGCCGCCGATCACGTTGTGGCACGTTCAGCCTGCCATATTAGGTCAAGCGATTTCCTAATCGGACCGGATGTGCACCCCTGTGCCCAGACAGACGAGCCGAAATTGAAGTTCACACGGTCTGGTCCAATGCTGCAACACGCTCGTCGCTCCGGATTCTGCAGCGGGGAGCAAAATTCTCGGCCTTGTCGCCGTTGATGTCTAGTCAGTCACGGCCCCCGTCGGCGCGCAGTGCACGCCCGTTACAGTTATTGGCCTCGGGAGCGGTGCTACTTGGTGAGCTCCTCTCATTGTCATCTTCAAGGACCCTGGCAGATTCACGAGTATTCCAGCTCTACGTCACCTGTTTGCCGCTGCGAAAAGAACTTCTCGACTAAGTTGGCTTTCAACCCTTTGTTCACTTCTTTCGATGAAATCCAGATCTCCTCGTTGGCGTCAACTGCACCCCAGTGACCGCTCAGCTTTGAGGAAGCTTTGAGGAAGCTTTGAGGAAGCCAGTCCGAGGTCCGAGGAGTCGCGTGGTGTATATACTCTATTTTACCTGAAATTGGGAGGATGTCGTAGACAGGTACTTTACGCAACGATGAACGGTATCCACTTCCTAGTTAATATCAGTTCATAAATTCAAGGCCTTTTAGTTTGTTACAAGTCAATGAATGGATCCTTTACCTTCGAATTCCGCAGGGGAGGAGGATAGTAGTAGGCGCACTGTTTCCGGAGTTTGCCGAATTCGTTCGCCCACGCTCGCTAATTTTCTTGAACGTGCCCCCTTGAACGCGCCGCTTCCTCTCTTACTTAATACCACCCTGCTTGAAGGTCTCTGCCAGTCTGATGATTCCTATGAGGCAAGAATTGCGTGTAACGCGTTATCTGTGGGGAATAGACCGTTGTGTTGACTGAAATGCCATGGTAGAGAACGGCTCATCTGATAGGTATGTTGAGATCCTCAATTATCCAGTTCTGTGCTTACCTGTTCTCGATGAGTTACAACGACCTCGATGTATTCCTTGCGATATTCTTTCACAATCGCAGACCGGACTTACGTCCCGTTTGGACCAGCATGTGACCCCTGCTTCGTATTCTAAGTCCACTGCCGGGACTTCACCATACTCGACTCGGGGGACAGCATGATTTGCCCGATAGCCATCGTACACGATCACGGTTCGAATGTGCTCAGCCAGTGCCTACACTCTATAAATTCCACCTCCGATGGCGCGTTTGTCGTGTCATTGCATTGATTTCGTCGACGTTTGAAATACGCAGACGCCATCGGAAATTCGACGTCCTGTATGCGACTCGTGGGCTCGAAAACTCGCGGCCAAGACTTACCCATTGCGCATGTCGCCATGAGTGACTTACATAAATGCGGCGAATATGTGACCCGTCTAAAGCAGTGTCCTTCTATTCTGGCTCTTGTCCTCGTCCAGTGATTTGACTGCCGTTCCTATTACACGCCAACTTACCACTTGCTCGCGGATTGACCTTATGCCTCCGGGTCATGAAGACGGCGTTCTTTTCTTGTCTGGCACCTGTGGCGAAAGGACGCTTTCGGACTCAATGCGTTGATGAGCCGGCTCTGCTTCTAACCCCGGAAATCACGCAAAACGGCTCTTTCAAACACTTCGTCATCGCGATCTGGCACCACACCTCCGACACCTCGTAGATGCGTCATAACAATCACCCAAGCGACTCAATAGGCCACAAATGATCACTCAGCAAGCACAGCTATCCCCGTGACCATCACCAGCTCTCTCCATGTGCACGAAGGCGCTCGGCGCGCCACTCTTTCCGCTTGAGGCAAGTCTTGCTACCTCCCCTGCCCCTTGCCTCGTCGTTTCATCTCTTATTCTCTTTTTCCTTCATTCATGTTTTATAAAATTTCTCTTTATCTTTATTCCTGAACCCGGTTCGGCAACGCACTCCCTGCCGGTCTCCCTTTTTCTTCATAGTATAAAAACCTCTGTATTTCGTGCTTTTATGCAATAACACACAGTTCCTCGTCTCATTTGCCCACTCGGGGCACTCGTATCTCATCCTCACCTCTCGTACTCGTCGTCTCTCGCCTCTCAGCCTCGTTTCGACTCGCTGCCTCAACCTGCAGTCACCTTGTCTTTCGAATTCGCCGTCATCGTCGTCCCATTCCCACGCTTAGCGCCCTCGTTCGTAGTCCGTCTTCGAGTCGTACGAGCCCCCTGGTTAGAGCCGCACAGCCGTGGAACTCGTCCTCGCACCTCAGAGCCGCTCGTTACGGTGTTTGGGTGTGTGTTTCTTCTTTTCCTTATCCACACGATCACCCCGCTGTAGGCACATCAGCGTTCAGGATTTTTCGTTTCCAGCTGGTAAAACTCATCGCATTTCACTCATTTCTGCGTCGGCCTACCTTTTCCATGCCCACCTCCGACACTTCAACGTAATGGAGTGACTCCCTCCGAGTCCTGGGGCCAATGTTAGCTATTTTCACCGCTCTCAAATGGTCCGAAGACCTCGAATTCTCTAGGCCCATCAAGTGTCAAGGCAGCTTCGAGAGCAGGTGGGTCTCCTTCACCAGCGCAATCACCTTGGAGAACGCAACCATGATCATCGATGCATCAGGTTTCTTCCTTGGTGGCGTTCATGATTCGGTGCAACTGTCAGGCCGCTTCGAAGACGTGGCGAGATTGGAAGATACGAGAGAGGTCCGAACGCTTCTGGTTGCTTCGAGTAGCTGATGGTCAAGGAGAAAAGGTATGTAAGTATCTGAATCCAGTTTTTAAACGACCGAGGCCATGAGCGGTTTCCTACTTCAGGATAATATAGGAGGTGTAGAAGATTAATAATTAGCGCTCAGTAACTATGAACGCTTAAGGATAAATGCAATGGTCTTCCGAAGAGCACTGGCCACGAGTAGCGCTCGAAAATACAGGGCCTTCTCGCATCGCGTTGCTCTCTTGAACCATGTGGGGCCACACCGGTCATTGGTCAAGAAGCCTAGAAGAACCTCATTCGAGGGTATTTTTACATCGTTCTCCATCATACTGCCTGCCGCAAACCCAACTGAGCTTGAGGCTTGAGCTGAGCATATGGCATAAACTGGTAAACCAATCAACTCTTCAAGGTATGGAGCAACTTGCCGACACAAAGAGGAATTATTTAGATGCTACCGAGGTAGTGGGATGGCTTGCATAACTCTATTCTGACATGCCCAATTCCTCTATACCTGCACAGCCGTGGCGGTGTATATGAATATCGTTGTGGATAGAAGTTTTGCAGTCAGCACCAAGTGCTCAGCAAGTGCTCAGCATCAGCATTGCTTCCGACAGCACGCACCCCAAAAAAGCCCATACATTCTTCAGCACTGATAAGCTTTTCCTCCGTCCTCCGTCCTGCATTACTGAACGATATAGATAATGGGATACTATATGGCATCGGTAGTAGCGCGTAGTAGCGCTCGGAGGACCCACGGAACCCTATGGGAGGCGGAGCGACGTACCCGTTACTCGGAGCTACTATAAACGAGGAGATAGTGCAAATGGGGATTAGAACGAATACAACCTTCGCCTGCTGTTGATCTGGAGCAGAAATCTGGTAGGCAGGGTTCTGCCGAAGAAGGCGAGCAAAGGATGGGGTTGGTCAATGCTAGCTTGTTCGCTTCTTGAATCTTAACCTCGACATTGCCCCGCCTCACCACACCTGCGCCTCCGTGGTGCCCCCTCTTGTTCCCCCAGCTCGATGTGCGTGTAGAATCGAGGATGGACTCTAACACGCCGGCGACGGTGACGTTGACGGTGAGTGCCACAGGGTCGATTCGAGACCCTAGCTTGTTGCAGCGCTGACGAAATGCTGCCGGAAACTGCCTTTTTGGCTGAACTCGAAAGCAGCTCCTCGATACAGCGCTCGTCCAGTGCACTTTGGTGGCTTGCATGACGCTTTTGGTGCGTTGTCGATCGTATATCATCTCCAACATCCGTCCTAAATGCTAATTTTTGAACGATGACCAGATTTATGACTACATCTGTACGCTGGATCAAGAGGCGAGGATCCCCGTACTGCTCTTGGTCCTTCGTGCTGATCATGTTGGGATTATTGCCAGGTTGCCTATGTCTGGAAAAACTTCCAGTGGTCTGTGGGGGTTGTGCTATTTCTCTTGAACAGATACCTACCCTTCATCGATACCTTCGTGTCTCTCCGACGTACGTCCCAGTTTTCGACTGCTTGTGTGGTCTTACTTAACGCCTCTGGGACCACCAGTCAAGCTCTCTTATGTTACCCCAGAGGTCAGCGATTCATCCCTCTCGCCTGTTCGGTCGCGCAGGATGAAGCTCACGATAATTCCTATCGTCAACTGTAGACGTGCGACACGCAATTCAAAGTCGTCTCTTGTTCGTGCTCAGCCCGTGCCCACCTCTCGCCTTTTAATGCTGAACGCTCCTCCTTTACGCGCAGGGTTCATCGTGACTGGAATCATTATCTCAGAGAGTAGGTTTCTCCTTCCTCTTCGCCGTCCGAGTTCTGACAATCCCTCTAGCGATCCTCCTCCTGCGGACATACGCTCTCTGGGAACGAAAACGATGGGTCGTCATTCTCCTGGCAGTAACAGCCACTGTACGTGTCCATGTTCTTTTTCATTCGCCAGCTCTATCACCCCATCGTAAACCTTAACCCTTGTCGAGGCGTCTTTTACCACCGACTCGCCCCTTCGTCCGATCACCATGGCTGATAGATTTGATCTCCCTTCCCTATAGGCCGCTTTTATCCCAGCCATCGTGATCACGCAGCTCGAGATACTTTCATTGAGATGTATGTCTCTTAGGCTTTGATGGTCGCTCGCATGGGCGAGGAGTCGAGAAGACTTGCTGACTGGGCGGGTAGATGTCCAGAATGACTTTCCTGGTTGTCGGGTGTCCCAGGCCAGCCCGATTGTTATCGTGGCCTATATACTCCTGATGGTGTTGGAGACGAGTGAGTGCCTCTGGTATTGTTCGGGACGGAAGCGCTGATCCACCCTTCACCCTCAGCCATGGCGGTCTTGACTGGGATCAAGGCGTTTCGACATCGTGAGTCGGGATGCTTATTTGAATTGCGGGAAGTCTAAATAAGAGACGGCTTTAGTCAGACACTCGAATTCACCTTGGGTCGTTCAACTTTATCGTGATGGTATGTGTTGTGTTAGAGCCTCCGGCGACCCAGGCTGATTTCATCCGACAGGACTTATGTTCTATGTGTATCTGACCTGTATGCCCGTCCAGAAAGCTCCCTCGAGCAGACGACTGATTGTTATGCTAGGCATATCTATTGCTAACGTTTTGGTACCCATACTCGCTCCGGTAAGTTTTTGGCCCAACGAGTTTAACCACTGTCTTATTGCCTCTTAGCGCACATTCTCAAATTGGTTAGCGACGTATGTCCTTCCGCTCCTCCTTTACCTTTCAGCTTCTGATTACGTCCCAGACCTCAACGCGTCATGCATTCCGTCCTATGCACGCGAGTGCTCTTCCTCATCCTCAAGCAACGCAACGCCGCGAACATGACCGTTCGACGCCCAGGACGACGGTCCGGCGGCTCGCCGCGTCACCAAGACCCCGTCTTCACGTCGTTCTACGACGAGGAGCTCAGCACGAACATGACGATCATACCGCCGAATGACACTGATAATATACCTTCGATACATGACGATAATGGGGGTTTGGACTCTATGGAACTCTCGGATCGGACACGGACTAATACTCGTACTCGTTAGGATTTATATGATGGGCTAGATGATCTGTATTGTATCATTATTGGGTGTAATTTTATGGTTGGGGTAGTACGTAGTACTGAGTAAACACCAGGCGTACGAGAATTTTCCAAGTGTCGAGAACTCATTTCTCATTATGGCATGGTGCCCAGCTGATCGTCTGTCGGTCGAGAATGGGCGATCGTTGCCCCTGGCTGAGACACGAATTAAAAAGGCTCGACCTTCCTTTTTCGCCGCCATTTCCAATTTCCTGTCAGACGCGCCACACAATCCAGGGACGCAGACGTTCTGCAGGCAGGGAAAAGGTGTATCCCGTCAACACCTCTGAAGACACGCCCGTCATTAGGTAGAACCATGCACCCTTCTGTCAGTGTCATGCAACCGGTCTGCTGCCCGTACACCGGGCCGGTATGTCAAAGTTTGGTCGGTTCATCTCTGCTTGGCTGCTTTCAAGCCTGGCCAAGATAATTGTAGGTTTCACAAGATTGAACTTGAAGCCTCCGTCTCATGGATTTCCTTGGGCCCATACGTCGACTACGAATCACCCCCACCATGCGCTATCTATAAATCGCCAATAAATCTGCCAATTTCTTGATAAAACAAAATATGTAAAGCCGGCGTTTGCAAGGCTCTAGACATTCTATTTTACGTGCGTATCCTCGGAATCCTATGCTACCGCGTCAAATAGAGCTTGTTCTTCAATCTCTTGGCTTATGTCCACGTCCATGTTTACAAGTAATCTCGCGCTGACTCGCACCGGCATCATCAGCGGCGCGGCCACGCAGGCCCCGAGTCGCGCCGCATCTTTACTTCGTATAGATGTTAATACTGACTACAGAGCCCGAAACGTGAGCCAAAGCCGAAACGAAGCATGGTAAAATGGGAAGCTAGAATCAATCAACGCTCCTTATGGTCTGCTTCGAAGTTCACTCTGCCCGATAGCCCCACTTTGTTGGGATGCCAGGATACTTAATTATGAGGGCATGCACCGGCCATCGATATCGTCATTTTTCCGCTTGCTTCACTACCACTGTCGCTATACCCTGGCCTTGAACGTGTGGACCTGGGCGGAACGTCGTCCGCTCTGGCTGTTATTGCTGATAGTGGAGGATGGGCACGGATACGGACACGCAGCTAACAGTGCGTTGGCTATTTGCGCTCAGAATCCTGGGTCGGCCGAGAATTGAGCGCGGGGTTCTATCAACAGGTATTCGCGACTCAGCTCGTGCAGAGGACTTTGGCCGCGTGCGGAACTCTTTTGGTGTGTTTTATCTTTGCGATCCTTCCTGATTTCGAGGAAGCTTGACATTTTTCTCCGCGATGTTCTTGCATAGATCTATGACTATCTCTGTACGCTAGACCAAGAAGTGCGTATCAGCTTCGCGAACCGCGCCCTCTTCCTATCGCGCCGGCGCATGCTGATTCAAAGTTTGCGTGGAGGTCACCTATGTCTGGGGACATTTACGCTGGTCCATGGGCACGGTCCTTTTCTTCATGAACAGATACCTACCGTTCGTCGATACGTTCCTCTCTATCCGCCGTGAGTATCTCTCTTCTCCAAGCCTAAATGCTATCCGTCTTGTCAATGTCAATTGTTGGCGTTGCTAATTGGACGGTCACTTCTTTCGGCCTTTCGTCGTATCTAGTGAAGTTCAACGTCAATAGCCCGGAGGTAAGGCGCTCTGAGCGATGTTCCTGTCAGCAAGAGCTTACGGAAGATCTGACGACTTCGTTGTGACTTCCCGTGCGTGTGTGGGTATTTTTAGCGCTGTGAAAGTGATTTTCAGATTATGACTTGTAAGTGGATCTTCTTGTTTGAACCCGGGTACGGGAGAAGAGCGATTTGACGAGTGCTTTGTAGGGTTTCTCTCGTCGGGGATCATTATTTCGGAGAGTAAGTCTCGTCGAAGGGGCATTGGAGGGGCGCGACGACAAGTTAAATTAACTCTACGCGTCTAGTTATTCTTATGCTGCGGACATATGCGCTCTGGGAGTGTAAGCGGCGGATGGCGATTTCGCTTGGTGCACTAGGCTTGGTGAATATTTCTGTTGCATCATGCCTTATCGTTCGTCTTACAGTGCTGATAAATTAGCTATGTTTCGTCCCGGCGCTCATCATCGTTGAACTCGAACTCCGGTCTCTCAAATGTGAGTTCATGATTACCTTCCCCCCTTTTTTTTATCTCAGGAGTACCCAATTCTTGTTCAGATCACCCAACGGAGTTTCAAGGGTGCCACTTGGAGACGGCGAGCTGGATCATCCTTATTGCCTACATCATGCTCATCCTGTGTGAGACTAGTGGGTTCTTTTCCTGTATTCATCCAAAAAAAAGCGAGCTTATCATTTCTTAAAGCGCTCGCTATTATGACAGCCATCAAGGCCTTTCGGCATCGTAAGACTATCGCAAGATTGAATAATTGATGTTGACCCAAAAATCAGTGCGCCACACTCAATCACCTTGGGTTGTACAGCTCTACCGGGACGGTAAGTCCGCCTAATGACCAAGCTAAGTATCGAGTGCTAAGCTGATTTCTTCTAATAGGCCTTTTATTTTACGCCTGCCTGCTACGTGCGTTGCTACTGTTGCTCCTCCAAGAACCTAATAAATGTTTTCGTGCAGCGATTTCCATCGCTAATATTCTAGTACCGATCTTTGCACCCGTAAGCTTCGCTGCTGGGCAGAATTATGGTGCTATAAATAACTTGCTCCCTTCAGCGAGTCTTCGCAAATTGGCTAGCGACGTAAGTTCTCTCTTCTTCCTGGCCCTCCTACGACCGCCTCAATCCTGAAGGCCTCAACGAGTGCTGCATGCAGTTCTGTGCAATAGAGTAATACTTTTTATCCAGAAGCAGCGTGAAGGTACTCCTTCATGTCGGACGGACGGCCTTCCAACATATGATGATGATACTGATGGACAAATTACATTTCTGCGCTCTAATTCCTGCGCACTAAACTCGATGTTAAATGACGATACTAGTAGACTGTCCTCAACTGATCCCGGGGATCGTATTGTACTACCTACACTAAGTCAAGTGACTCCATAGCATTTGACTATATTCTAGTTTTTTTCTTGGTGTTTTCTCTTGGTTTTCTGAGCGATTTGCATTCTTTCCTTTCGGGGAAAGGAGCGTGCAACCTGTTTTGGGAGGTCCGATCATTCTGAGCTGGCTCTTTCCCGTCGACGACGATGGCGGCCACTCTCCGCCGCAGGACCCTCTCCCGCTTCTTCTTCTTCGCAGGCGCCTTTTTCTTCTTTAAACTCGTCTTCTTCCCCTCCCAACCCGTACAGGACAAGTCACATTCCCACCAGATACAGAGCCACAACTTCATTGAACGCGCAACGCGCCCAGACAGGTCTCTCAATGTCCAGCGACACCCGTTTTTACAGGCTAGGATGGGCAGGGATGAGAAGGAGGATATCTTCAGTGGACTAGTGAGGAATGGCGTCCGTGACTACTGGGAACGCTTTCAACTCCCCTAGTGAGTGCCCCTTGAGAAATGCCCCCGGGCATGGCTTGACGTATGAATGCATGATAGCATCCTGAACAAGGAGACGTCGTCGATGGATGCCCAGCACGTCCTGGGCGCCATTGACCAGCTGCTCTCCCTCAACGGCTGGGTCGCAGCACTGTGCCCGACCCTCACCCGCCCTTTCGGCCAGAACAAGCGGGACAATGCGTACGACGACCTCATCAGCCAGGACCACCTCTATTACATCGCCATCGTCATCCACTCCGCAGACCACTTCCTCGTCGACCAGCTTGCGGTCATCGTGCAGATGGCGAAGCGTCTCGGGAGCAACAACATCTTCGTGTCGATGCTCGATTACGACTCGACGGACTCGACGGAGACACTGACGGATTTGTGCGAGGCGGTCTTGACGCTGCTGGGGGTTCCGTTTAGGATCAGGAGAGTGCCGGGGATGACGGAGGACCCGGCAGCGGCGTATTATCCGCGGGAAGAGGCGTATATGCGCAATCTTGCGCTCGAACCCTTGCATGAGCTCCAGACCAAGAGGAACATCAAGTTCTCCCGAGTGGTGTGGCTGAAGGGGTTTACGTGCCCCAATGATATTCTCGAGACGATCAAGATCAGCTTTGCGAATGAGGCGGCTATGGTGTGTGGGATGGACTGGGCGGAGCATAATGGTTTCTTCATCTTCTCTGACAGGTGTGTCCCACCCTCTTTCTCCGTCCAAGCATCTTGACTAATAGCATATACTTAGGTGGCGAACACGAGACATCGAAGGCGACCAATTTCGCCAATCCAAGTCCTCATCCAAGCCCGACGCCGTCCCTCCGCGCGACAAACAAGGCGCACAGCGCTACGCCCAACACCTACCCTTCCAGGTCTTCTGCTGCGAGTCCGGCACGCACGTCGTCGACCCTGCCCAGTCATACTACCGAGGCATCGCGTACCGCGCCGGCACCGACTTCCAGAACCTCAGCAACGCGGAGGGTGTGTCAAATAGGGCTCCGGACGCCGCGTGCCTCGACAGCAGCCAGGCGTGGTTCTGCAGAGACTTGTGGGTTAGGAGTGCCCAGGACGCGGTCGATGAGGTGGACGTGGGGAACAAGGCGGGCACGCGTAGAAGCTTGACCTCGGGTGGCTCGGGCTGGAGCTGGTGGAAGAGGCGCGGAGAGCCAGAGCTCATTGATGTGGCGGAACGCGACCCGATGATGGACGAGGCCCAGGAAGCCCGTGAAGAGGCGAAGCGCGATGCGGTGAAGGTACAGCTCGCAGCGGACCAAGTGGAGGAGGTGAATGACGACGGGACGGACAGCAGGAGGAAGCAGGGCAAGAAGGTCGACCCGGACGCGAACGCTGGCTCAGACTACGACGCAATGCCCGTTGAGGATGGAGGAGAAGATGTTCCCCCACCGAGCGATGCAAACATGGTCTTGACGATACCGAACTCGGTCTTCCGTCCCGCGAGGATACTGGTCAACCCCAGATGCCCGACGACGTATGCGGGGGTGAGCCATACGCAGCTGGCGAGAGATCTGTTTGGAGAGGGCGATGATGAGCCAGTCACGTCGTCCGGTAAGTATGTGTTGGATGATTGGGAAGGTGCTCCGGAGAGTTTCGTGTGTCAGGAGCAGAGGTCCGTTTTTCTCGTATTTTTTTTCTTTTCTTCTCTGAATGCTGACCATACACCCGTTGGCGTATAGGCAAACTGGAGGGAGGAAAGCCACGAAAACACAGCGCAGACTCGGATTCTCAATACATGACGAGCTACAGCGCTTGCAACAACAATAATCTTACATCCTGTTGCGTGTAGCTCTCGGCCAAGGACTGTCGTCAGTGCAGTATGCTATCGCCCACCTCCACTTATGCACTTATACAGTGTGCACGACCAGGACCCATGGGCACCTCTTTATCAAAACGTTACTCTAGATTATGGGTTCGGTGTATAATGGGCTAATTATTCTGTCGATGTATGGAGTTGTATCGCACATGACAAGGACACTTCCTCCTCTTCTCCCTTCATTCGGCATACGAGGCGATACCCTGTCAAAATCCTCCATAAGCTTGCACGTATGTTGCATATGCCATGAACACGTCTTCCGGCACCTCGCCCATAATCTCTGGCAGTTTCTTGATCATGTCCCCCGTCTCCTCCTCCGGGAGCGACATCATCCAGATGCGTGGCTTGCAGTACTCCCAGAAATCGGGCATCCAGCCAGACTGCTCCCAGTCGATGACGGCCAGTACTCGCGCCGGTCCCGGGGCACTGCGAGGTGTAATCATGATGTTGCTGAAGCTGAGGTCGCCATGCGTGAAGACGATTGGAGAGTCATAAGGAAGGTGAGGTAAACCGAGGCTATGGGCGGTGTCCCGTTCCGAGGAGGGCATCTGCATGAAGAATTCATAGAAGGCCTGTGGATCGGGGAAGGGGGAAGAAAGCCGCCCAAAGCAGAGTAATTCCATGGATGCTTGACCACCTATCGCGCCTGGATGCCTCCTCCGTCATACACGCTCCTTCATACATACAAAAGGCGAAACGACGGTCCTCACCAATGAATGTTTCTTCAGGGGGCCGCCTCAAACGGCGCCAGGCACGCACCATCGCGCGCAGCTCGGCGCAGAGCTGCGCCTTTTCGTGTTCTTCAAGCTCCTCCCATCGCTTATGCAGCGTCTCCCCCTCGATCAGCTCCATGAACACGAAGAGCATGTCACCATCGCGCCGCCAGCCATACACCTCTGGCACAGGCACCTCCGAGTCAGGCAGGAGCCGGCGCAGTGCCCAGAGGACCTGTCCCTCCGCAGCCGACGCACGGTGCCGTGTTGTCATCTTCACGCGCTTGACGGCGAGCGAGAGGTCGGGGAAGAGGGATATGTGCCGAGAGAACCCGGGGAGGGCGGCAGCGGCGATCTTGGCTGGGGAAGGAAGGTCGGAAAGAGAGTGGTGTTTGAAGAAAGAGGAGTCTGCGAAGAAGGCTGTTTCTTCTGTTGGGAGGAGGGAGGGCGAGATGAGGATGGGTGGGGAGGGCGAGATAGGGGCAAGGCTCATGGTTGTGGATCATACAGTAAGTACAGGAGGAAAACAACTGGAATTCCGAGTCCGATCGGAGATAAAATCGCATGTTTGTCCTGGACCCATACAGATCCACAAGCCAAACAATCGACTCGGACAAGCGCCGCTTTTGAAGCCAAATTTCGGAAGGCAAATACTCATCGCAAACTCTGTCGAATAAGTACAATCCAGCACATGAGGACGTTCACCTCAGAGTCGAACATGCATGAAGAAATATTATTTAGATCGCGTCGCCGAACGAGTTGATACTCAAGCAAACTCAGGCTGCCTAGATACACTAGCCTCTCTGCCCTATTTCTAGGCCCCAACCTCCTCATCCAACTAGGTCAAGGGGTCAGTCCCTCTTCACACGCTTGACGCGGAGGGGCATGTTGTCCTTCGGCTCTGTGGATTGCCTGTGAGTATATCACGCAGTAGGTAAAAGAGAAAGGAGAGTATGTACGCACTCATCGTCACCGCCGCCGTCGGCTGGGGCACCTGGCCCTCGTACGCAGGGGAGAACTCGAAGTGGGTGATGAGGGCGCTACGTCGAACGGTGTCATCACCCTCATTTAATGATTGTTCAAAGGGAAAGGGAACAGGGAACAGGACCCACCCGAGCACGGCCTTCATCTCGATAATCGCCATCGTCTTGCCGATGCACGCGTGTGGGCCTGCGATGAATGACAGCGTCGAGAAGGCGGGGTTGTACTTGGGCGGGAGGTTGAGCCAGCGGGACGGCTTGAACCTGTGTTTATTCCGTCAGAAGGAGCGCAAAGCAGGAGAGATCTGTAGGTAGGAGGTGTGCGTACTCTTCGGCGTCGGGGCCCCAGACTTCCTTCCAGGTGTTGATGACGCGGATCTACAGAGTACGAGCAAGCGAACGAACGAACGAACGAATATCGAGCGAGTTATTCATTCACGTCAGCGGAATGGAAAGGCGAGGATGAGAGGGAAGGGGAAACGCACGGGAACGTAGAACAGCGTCCCCTCGGGCACCAGCACGCCGTCGATGTAGTCCGTCTTGGCCGCCTGGCGGAACGTCATCGGGACGGGGGGGAGGACGCGCAGGCTCTCCTGACTGAACGGGTGTAGAAGGGCAGAAAACAAATGAAATATGTAAGGAAAGATGAAGGGAAGGGAAGGATGTGAGATACAGGAAGAGACGTACACGACACAGTCTAACCACGCGAGGTCCTTGAGCGCGCGGTACCCCGGGCGGGGGGGCGCCTCGGTGGAGGTGGAGGTGGAGGTGGAGGCGAACAGCGGTGTGACTTCTTCGCGCAACTTGGATTGAGAGATGGGGTCGTTCGCGAGGAGCCAGAGTGTCTGTGGGATGGGGGGTAGAGGGGTAGAGGGGTTAATGGGTGAGGGTGGGTGGAACGAAAGAAAGAGAGAAAGGAAGGAAGAAAGGAAGAGGGGCAGGAAGAGAGGAAGGAAGGAAGAGAGAGAGAGAGGAAAAGGAAAGTGAGGCGCACGCACCCACGCGAGTCCAGAAGCGGTCGTCTCGTGGCCAGCGCCGAGGAAGGTTAACTATAAATCCAAATCCAAATCCAGCCTCAGCGTATATAATGCAGAGACGAGACGCGTATGCGTGTGCTGCGGGTAGGGCACTTACGACCTGGTCCATCATCGCCCCATCGCTCAACGTGAACCCTTCCTTCCCCTCATCCACCCCCGCCCTAGCCCTTACAAGCAACGACATGATATCCCTCTTCGCATCAGCATCATTGGGAAGGGAGGCGGCGGCCTCGCGCGTTTTGGAGGCGAGGATGGACGCGGAGACGGCGCGGATGCGCGACATGGAGGTGAGGAGGTGGGTTATTTGGGCTGGTGGG